GAAGTGGTCAACGTCTGAGACCTGCATCACTTTGGGTTTTTCTCCCACATTAAGCTGACAAGCCGTGATATAACTGGAATAATGTTAAAAGTGGCGTTAAACCCAACTCATTCACTTTCTCACTCATGAATGTACTAGATATAAAAATAGAGTTAATTATTATTATTTCATCCTTTATAGTTCAGAATTGGCAAATTTATGCAAAGTATGCACACCAGTACTTAAATTAAGAAGTAAAGCATAGTCACCTCTTACGTCAAGGATGGTTCACTTAAGACCAATTCTAACCAAATCTTCACGGGTGTTCTTCATCAACTGATGCTTGTCGCGACTAACGAGATTGGGTGGTCAGAGATTGGCTTGGTTGATAATGACAATCATTCGACTGACTGTTCAAGCCTTGAATATTTACAGACAGCTGTCATACAACTGGAATACTGCTGAGTTCAGCATTAAACAACAAACAAACAAAATAGTTTTTGGTAATGGTTATAAATTCACAAATAACAAGATTTTTTAAAATTTATTAATTGTTGGAAATTAACACTGACTGAAAAGGTATCTGTGTGTGCTTGTGCAGAATATGAAATGTGCATGAAAATTTAGGTGTATTTTTCACATGGAAAGATGCCCACTTGTAATAACAGCTGATGATCAAGTAATCAAATATCGTCAATTTCGAAATACAAATTTCACATCCTGACAGCAATCATTAACGTACTGATTAAGGAAACATGCCAACATTGATCAGAAATTATACATCTATATGTGATGAAAATGTGAGAGACGAGGTCTGATTTGCCATGAATCTTTCCTCTCTTCTTTGGCAGGCAACCGCGTAATTGAACGGAAATTAGCTCGACATTGTCATTTGAATCGCCATTGCCTTGATAATAGGAAAATTGGACGACTGAGACCCTGTCAGCTGACCTGGGCATTGTCTTCCAGGGCTTGAGGACAGTGGTGTTGAACTACTGACCGTTTTAAGGTCACTCCTACGATCATTTTTCTGTCAGGATGGAAAGCCTGACGGATGTATAGTGTTAGGATCTAGGCTAAGGATGATTGAGCTTCTAAAACTGGAAACAATGGTAAACATGCAGGAAACATTCATTGAAAAGAATTAGTACTTAAGCTGTTTACCCTTTGACCTTTGGGTTGTAAATGTTAATTCATGGAAAGTGGTGATATGTGGAGACATCCTACAAACTTGATGATGTTTTCAGTGGTTTGGGGTTAGAAATGAATGGATAGTTTAGTTGTTTTGTTTTTTTGTAATTTGCAAACTGATGAAACACTGATGAAGGTTTGTTTGTTTTTTGGGGTGTTTTTTATTTATAACACCGCACTCAGCAATATTCCAGCTATATGACGGCGGTCTGTAAATAATCGAGTCTGGACCGGACAATCCAGTGATTGATATCATGAGCATCGATCCACGCAATTGGGATCGATGACATGCATCAACCAAGTCAGCGAGCCTAACATCCCGATCCCGTTAGTTGCCTTTTATGACAAGCATAGTCGCCTTTTACGGCAAGCATGGGTTGCTGAAGACCTATTCTTCCCCAGATCTTCATGGGTCACTGATGAAGGAAAAGATTAATAGAAACATTCTTGAAAGAGGTATTGAATAATACATAGCTTTCTACATGAAATGAATGTTATAATACTAATCCTCAGAATTACTTTATGGTCAGAATTTGCTCAGATGTGGGCAGATATTGTGGAGTTTCAAGTTACAAAATGACGTCCAATTTATAGGCTCTGTGCTGGTCGTTGTGCAGAGAGGGCTTGGTGTTGTCTATCTTGAAGACAGATAATGGAGATCATATTAGTTAACAAAAACCTCTTAGTAACCAAGTAATTAAGTCTTTAGTGTTAATTGAAACAAAACTGGAGCCATGTTCATGGTAATCAAATCATGATAAAAAGGTTAATAACAATCCTAACGATGATGATGAGGGTGGTGAGGATGAAGATGGTGATAAAGATGATGATGGCGATGATGATGATGATGATGATGATGATAAAGATGATGTCGATAAAGATGATGATGATGATGGCGATGATGATGATGATAATGATGATTATAAAGATGATGATAAAGATGATGATGATGATGGCGATGATGATGATGATAAAGATGACGGTGATGGTGATAATGATGGCGATGATGATGATGATGATAATGGTGATGATAATGGTGATGATGATGATGATGATAAAGATGATGTTGATGATGGCGATGATGATGATGATGATAAAGATGATGTTGATGATGGCGATGGTGATGATGATGATGATAATGGTGATGATGAGGAGGAGGAGGAGGATGGTGATGATAAGTGTGTCTTGATTCCCCCACAAAGGGTGGTCACACTACCAACCACAAGTTTCTACCATCAGCTCTCTTTGTGCTTGGCTTCACCAAACTGCCCACCTGGGCCATATTCCACCATACAATCAATGTACTTATATGAACACAGCAGCAGTACAGTCATACATGCTAAAATCACTTTGTAGATCAGGCCCTGGATATAGGAGGACATTGTTTTAAACCGCAGTTCAAGTTCATAGAATTCAGGTTTGCTAGCTGTCTACAACTTCTATCAATCTATAATCGACTCTGCTTTTGGCAGAGATTTCTTGTGGCCATGAAAATCGTTTTGTCGCTTTTATTCGCCTTTTCATTTATTAACGAAATCCTTATCTTCAGCCAGTGTTTTACATAATGTACGATGTAGGACTGATATGTCATTGTAAATGAAACAAACATGAAACACGCCCCAGGATGCTATTAGCACCCATTCCAGGAAAGATATTAACAACGTTTTGTTTTACGTGTCGGACAGCTGGTAATGGAATAGATTGCATCTCTTTCGTTGAAAGTAATGTTTTGGATGGTTCGTCTCGATGGAGACAAGAATATTTAACGTCCAAGTTGCCATACAACCCACAGCTTGCAAGAAATGTTTGTGGTGATAATGAGAATTTATTAGGGAAGCAGATTTCCTGAGCAGTGTTTAGATAGTTTAATGTCAGGCCATGTTGGTGCACAGCATTAGCTGTTTCAATATGGAATTCTATATTCCTTAGTTTTACATTTCATCAGCTGCGTGTCGATATTAATTGGACAGGATTCAGTTCTTTAAGTTCATTGTTTCTCAGATAGACTTCTTATAGTTTCAGGGGCGGTTGGGTAGCCTTGTGGTTAAAGCGTGTACTTGTCACGCCGAAGACCCGGGTTCGATTCCCGACATAGGTACAATGTGTGAAGCCCATTTCTGGTGTCCCCTGCCGTGATATTGCTGGAATATTTTTAAAAGTGGCGTAAAACCATACTCACTCACAGTGAAAAATATCAAACAAAAGCATAAAACTCTATGTTTGATGAAGTATTGATTGATTATGAAATCCCTCTCGGTGTCACCTCATATTTCAAGGTGTATCTGTCACTCAACTTCAGCGATGACAATATTACTTTGAACTTCTACTGCATGTGCATGACATTTATACTAATCTGAATGTGAAGATTGGGACAAGGGGTTATTTCCTTTGAAGATTTTGCCATTTTGGTAAAAATCCATTCTCATTAAAATAGTTCCTGGTTGGTGTGCATAACCTTTCTTGATGCATGTCTGGTGATCAAGGGTGGCCTCATGGATATAAAAAGATCTATATTGTAATTAATGATCTAAATATACAGTACATATATTTAGAAAATTAATTACAATATCATTCTTTTAACATCTATGCAGTTACTTGGAGCCATGTTTCTCTCTGGAATCGGCCAATACCAATATATGTTATCCCAGAGTCTCAAAAAGGAATGATTCTATTTCAATTGTTAGAATACCATGTATTCATGTCCTTGTATAGGGATACTTTCTATAATGCCATCTCAAGGTATTGCTGGATTTCAATATAAAGCCCTTGTAGAGATCTGGGTTAGAATGTCGAAAAAGGTGACTAAATGGATGGGGTGGTCAGGCTCACTTACTGGTTGATGTGTGTCATCGTATCCCAATTGCATAGATCGATGCTCATGATGTCAATCACTGGATAATCTGGTCCAGACTTGATTATTTATTGACTGATGTTGCCTCACCTCCTCAAGATTAAATGATCTAAATGCTTCTGAATCTGCATTCCTGAGATATTGAGTGGAAGTTTACGATTGTCCCTTCTGAACTCCCTAGGGAGAGTCCGACGGTTACTGCTTTATCTTGATATATCTTTATAACCTTTATTCGTCACAGATCCCTTCACCTGGGAATCAACCGAGACAAACTATTTGAAGTATATTTTTTCAAGATAAATCGGTGAGCGTCCCAATTGGCGCCAGCATAGGTAGATCTCTAAGGGGATTTGTAATGATTTGTTGAAAATGGGTTGCAAGATTCCATGATGCTATACCATTCCTTTCGTAATCCCCATCTGATGAGCGTTAAGGGAATGCTCGTCCGTGGAAGATGTACATTGAGCGTGGATTTATGCACTCGCTATTATTTGTCCGTTAACACACGGGACAATCTGTCATCAATGAGGACAAGATTTTCTTCAGTGACTTGTACAATACATGGAGCCTTGTTACTTAGATACTCTGGAACCGTCGGTGGTACCATTTTTCATCAGTTAGAGTCTGGGTCCTTATTCATAATTATGACCTATCCCATAGTTGGGACCAGCCTTTTTTATTCTGGAGGGGGTGGCGTGGATGGGGTGGGGTGGCCTCGTCAGCTCATCATGACAAAGACCCGGGTTCGAGTTCAACTTGGGTACAATCACACGTTGAGCCTCTGTGATATTTCAGATATATGGGCGTGAATCTGTACTGACTCTCACTCCAAATTGGGCCTGGGGTGTTTGGGTCACTGCTTCGAAAAACAATTTTTTTTCTTTGAAAGGAAGAGCCGAACATATGAAGATGAAGATTACGTTCTGTTTAAAAATTGTCATCCTTTGAGAAAATGAATTGTCTCCTCTTGCGTTTGCAGGTCAACGAGGAATGCAGCACACTACGTCTTTCACTTGCGGAAGTCCAGCAGGAACGAGAGGTAGCCAAGGAGGACGTCTCTACGTTGCAGTACAAGGTTGATAGCTTGGAGATACTTGTCAGGGTATGTATCATCACGACATCTCCGTGCAGTGTCTGTTCGTGTTTTGTGTTGTCAAGTATGTCATGGCGACCTGCATATTTTGACCCATCAGAGTTTGTTTGTTGTTAATCGCCCCACTCAGCAATATTCCAGCTATATGACAGCGGTCTGTAAATAATCAAGTCTGGACCAGACAATCCAGTGATTGACATCATGAGCATCGAACCACTCATTTGGGATCGATGACATGCATCAATCAAGTCAGCGAGCCTGACCACCCGATCCCGTCAGTCGCCTCTTACGACAAGCATAGTTGCCTTTTACGGCAGGCATGGGTTGCTGAAGACCTATTCTACCCCGGATCTTCACGGTTTTGACCCACCAGAAGAAAAAGGACCTTATGGGTGCTAGGATACAATTGTGCTGTGACGTCATAAAGACTTTGATGTCAACTTACTTCATTGCAGATCGCCATGTGTGCGGACAGTAAAAAAAGAAAATCTTATTCTTCTCTCGTTAGTTTGTAGTGTAATAAAAACATTATTTCAAACACTTTCAGCATACAGTCCACTTTCAATTCATCAGACATTATGTGTAAAAAGTGCAATTATTACATAAACAGTTATAAGTCGGAAAATAAGTCCAAATGGTATACATATGAATTGAACCTTGTGAATTGTATGATTGTGTTCCGAAAATACTGTACTATTAATTTATAATGAAAAGTCACAATGTGATTTTTCACCCATAAGGCCCCTTATCTCAGGGTTGGTCACAAATAATGAGACCCGTGAAGATCCGGGGTAGAATAGGTCTCCAGCAACCCATGCTTGCCGTAAAAGGTGACTATGCTTGTCGTAAAAGGCGACTAGCGGACTCGTGTGGTCAGGCTCCCTGACTTGGTTGATGCATGTCATTGATCCCAATTGTGTGGATCGATGCTCATGATATTAATCACTGGATTGTCTGGTCCAGACTCAATTATTTACAGACCGCCATCATTTAGCTGGAATATTGCTGAGTGTGGCGTTACACAGCCAACAAACCAACCAACACAAATAATGATATAAGACTGGTAAGACAAACCAGTGGTTGGTATAACGATCAGTGTCCATAGCAGATGGTATAGTCAACCAAGTCACAATTTGATCCAATTTAGTCACTTCTTACAGCATGTAATAGAATGCTGGGCTTCCTGGAAGTAAGTGAGTAAGGTTTAAATTCGCTTTTAACAGTATTACAGTCATGTCACGGCGTGTCAGCTTAATGTGGGAGGAAAGCCCGAAGTGATGCAGGTCTCAGACGTTTACCACTTCGGTGAAACCCACGAGGACGGGTATGGTGGTGACAAACCTAGAAACATAAATGAGGCGAACCAGGATTCGAACCCACAATCATAGGTTTCTGGTGACTCCAAGGGACACAACTCTGCACAGCGAACTGCGGCGCCATAGACGACTGGGCCACCAGTGCCCCCCTTATTTTTAAAAAAACAACATGTGCATCCCTGTGTTTGATTGCAATGTAGCTGGATGAGGCATTAAACAACAAACAAACCTGACAGAAAAGGGATGCCGAGGTCTGAGGATTCAGAGAGGGATTATCTTGTGGAGTTGGTACAGACATAGAGTCACAATGCTCCCATCTCCGTCTGTGTGATGCACAGTGATTAGGAGCTGTTGCTGATAGATGACGAATGAGCATGTAGCTGATTTATTAACAAGACAGTGATGTAACGCGTGAAACTGACCCCAAACCCACACATATTTACGACCCGTCGTGGTGAAGGATTCACTCTATTAGCGGCTTTCGGGAGAAATGTGTGTTCATTTATGTTGGTATGTAAAGTTTACATCAAGTTGGGTTTTTTTTGTGGATGGGGTTGAAGGCTCATTCAGTCGTCTTTAGCAGTACATGCGTCATCTGACTTTGTACTGAGTGAGTGAGTGATTTGGGGTTAAATGTCGTTGGGATTCCAGGTTAAATGGTCCCCAGCATCATGTGAATCTTGTATATCAATCAAAAAGTTTATGATTACACAGAAACAATGCCCCAGTTTAACCAAAGTTTGCCTCCATGGTCTCGTTCCATGTTAAAAGATGGTAGATGTTGGCCTGCCTAGCGCATGGCTCAAACAAGGACTGGCTGACTCAGAGTCATTACAACATGTCTGAGTGGGGTGTACACAGCAGAGATACACACTAACACACTAAAACACACACACTGACACTAACACACACCCTCTCACTCAAACACACACACTCACTCACACACACACACACACACACACACACACACACACACACACACACACACTCACTCACTCACTCACTCACTCACTCACTCACTCACTCACTCACTCACTCACTCACTCACTCACTCACTCACTCACTCACTCACTCACTCACTCACTCACTCACTCACTCACACACACACACAATATAACAATTACGATTTAAAAGTACAATAATCTTGAATGCGACATTTGACCCAAGTTCACCTCACCAGTTCAAGCGAAGGCACTTCTACCATCTGGACCCAAATATCAGAAAGCCAGCATATTGCAGAACCCGATCCCTCTGTAGGGTTACCCTGCTGCATTAGAACATGACCCCACCTGCAGCCAGTGGTCAGCCAGTGTCCAGCATGTCTGTCTTGTGGCCACTTAATGCTCTTCAGTCAACACAACTACTCGTTCTTATCATTAATCCAAGGCAGAGTACAGACACCAGTTACAGTGTCCTGCACGCCTGTCTTGTGGCCACTTAGTGCTCTTCAGTCAACACAAGTACTGGTTCTTGTCATTAATCCAAGGCAGAGTACAGACACCAGTTACAGTGTCTGCATGATTGCCATCTGTTTCCCACCATGCTGGAGCAGGAACACTTGCTGCCTGTAAAGGTCACTCTTCTCTAACCCAAGGACAATCTGAGTTGGCTCGGGGACAACAGTCTACTGGATCACTCCTGTTTAACGGCAGTTGTTACATGAAAGGAATGGTAATGGTTTTCTGTTAATTAGAGTCGGAGAACCATTCTCACTTGGAGTGCTCTTCCACCTGATTCTGTTGGAGGGTCATTAGCTTGCTGCTGTCGTGTTTTGCATCAGCATTATGTCAGTGCCGGATTAGCAGAGATGTTAGGAGTGGTGTTGGGTAGCCTGGCGGTTAATGTGTTGGCTTGTCATGCCAAGGACTGAGGTTCCTAACAGCATAGAATGAGTGAAACCCATATGCTTGGTAATGCAGGCAGTTAACAAGGAGTAAGGGGCCACCTTAGCGGAGAGAGTAAGGGACCAACTTAGCGGAGATAGTAAGGGACCACCTTAGCGGATAGAGTAAGGGGCCATCATAGCGGAGAGAGTAAGGGACCACCTTAGCGGAGAGAGTAAGGGGCCATCATAGCGGAGAGAGTAAGGGACCACCATAGCAGATAGAGTAAGGGACCACCATAGCGGAGAGAGTAAGGGGCCACCTTAGCGGAGAGAGTAAGGGACCACCTTTGAGGAGAGAGTAAGGGAATACCTTAGCGGAGAGAGTAAGGGGCCACCATAGGGGAGAGAGTAAGGGGCCACCTTAGCGGAGAGAGTAAGGGACCACCTTTGAGGAGAGAGTAAGGGAACACCTTAGCGGAGAGAGTAAGGGGCCACCTTTGCGGAGAGAGTAAGGGGCTACCATAGGGGAGAGAGTAAGGGACCACCATAGCAGAGAGAGTAAGGGACCACCTTAGCGGAGAAAGTAAGGGGCCACCTTAGCGGAGAGAGTAAGGGACCACCATAGCAGAGAGAGTAAGGGACCACCTTAGCGGAGAGAGTAAGGGACCACCTTTGAGGAGAGAGTAAGGGAATACCTTAGCGGAGAGAGTAAGGGGCCACCATAGGGGAGAGAGTAAGGGGCCACCTTAGCGGAGAGAGTAAGGGACCATCATAGCAGAGAGAGTAAGGGACCACCATAGCAGAGAGAGTAAGGGGCCACCTTAGCGAAGAAAGTAAGGGACCATCATAGCAGAGAGAGTAAGGGACTACCTTAGCGGAGAAAGTAAGGGGCCACCTTAGCAGAGAAAGTAAGGGACCACCTTAGCGGAGAAAGTAAGGGACCACCTAAGCAGAGAGAGTAAGGGACCACCTTAGCAGAGAAAGTAAGGGACCATCATAGCAGAGAGAGTAAGGGACTACCTTAGCGGAGAAAGTAAGGGGCCACCTTAGCAGAGAAAGTAAGGGACCACCTTAGCGGAGAAAATAAGGGACCACCTTAGTGGAGAGAGTAAGGGACCACCATAGCAGAGAGAGTAAGGGACCACCTTAGTGTAGCAAGTAAGGGGCCACATTATTCGGGGTGGGGGGGCCTGGGATTTTGTATTGAGATTAGATGTTTATTTACCACAAAACCAGATGTTTCATATTTAAGACTATGAGTCTGAATCTTTTAGAAGAAAAACACCTTGCAACAATGCAATTTTTGTGGCATGATTTTTTTTTTCAAAAGTCTGAGGCATTATATTTTTTTTTTCAAGAATTTTCAGGGACAATTTATTTTGTTTGTTTGATAAAATCCCGGTCCCCTCCACAATATCAAATGCTTGGTCCCTAAGGGATCACATTAGCAGGAAAAGTAAGGGATCACATAAACAAAGAAAGTAAAGAACCAAATTAACAGAGAGAGTAAGGACCACATTAACAGAGAGAGTAAGGACCACATAAACAAAGAAAGTAAAGAATCAAATTAACAGAGAGAGTAAGGACCACATTAACAGAGAAAGTCAAGAACCACATTGATAGAGTAAGGACCACATTAACAGAGAAAGTAAAGTACCACATTAACAGAGAAAGTCAAGAACCACATTGAAAGAGTAAGGACAACATTAACAGAGAAAGTCAAGAACCACATTGATAGAGTAAGGACCACATTAACAGAGAAAGCCAAGGACCACATTGATAGAGTAAGGACCACATTAACAGAGAAAGCCAAGGACCACATTGATAGAGTAAGGACCACATTAACAGAGAAAGCCAAGGACCACATTGATAGAGTAAGGACCACATTAACAGAGAAAGTCAAGGACCACATTGATAGAGTAAGGACCACATTAACAGAGAAAGTCAAGGACCACATTGATAGAGTAAGGACCACATTAACAGAGAAAGTCAAGGACCACATTGATAGAGTAAGGACCACATTAACAGAGAAAGCCAAGGACCACATTGATAGAGTAAGGACCACATTAACAGAGAAAGTCAAGGACCACATTGATAGAGTAAGGACCACATTAACAGAGAAAGTCAAGGACCACATTGATAGAGTAAGGACCACATTAACAGAGAAAGTCAAGGACCACATTGATAGAGTAAGGACCACATTAACAGAGAAAGCCAAGGACCACATTGATAGAGTAAGGACCACATTAACAGAGAAAGCCAAGGACCACATTGATAGAGTAAGGACCACATTAACAGAGAAAGTCAAGGACCACATTGATAGAGTAAGGACCACATTAACAGAGAAAGTCAAGGACCACATTGATAGAGTAAGGACCACATTAACAGAGAAAGTCAAGGACCACATTGATAGAGTAAGGACCACATTAACAGAGAAAGCCAAGGACCACATTGATAGAGTAAGGACCACATTAACAGAGAAAGTCAAGGACCACATTGATAGAGTAAGGACCACATTAACAGAGAAAGTCAAGGACCACATTGATAGAGTAAGGACCACATTAACAGAGAAAGTCAAGGACCACATTGATAGAGTAAGGACCACATTAACAGAGAAAGTCAAGGACCACATTGATAGAGTAAGGACCACATTAACAGAGAAAGTCAAGGACCACATTGATAGAGTAAGGACCACATTAACAGAGAAAGCCAAGGACCACATTGATAGAGTAAGGACCACATTAACAGAGAAAGCCAAGGACCCCCATTGATAGAGTAAGGACCACATTAACAGAGAAAGCCAAGGACCACATTGATAGAGTAAGGACCACATTAACAGAGAAAGTCAAGGACCACATTGATAGAGTAAGGACCACATTAACAGAGAAAGTCAAGGACCACATTGATAGAGTAAGGACAACATTAACAGAGAAAGCCAAGGACCACATTGATAGAGTAAGGACCACATTAACAGAGAAAGTCAAGGACCACATTGATAGAGTAAGGACCACATTAACAGAGAAATACTAGATCAAAGAGGCTGGAATCTCAAAGCCTTCTGTCATCCTGTATGGGCCCTGAGTGAGGACATTACAAGTAGAGGTTATCAAGACAATCATGTGACTATCATGGCAATGAAGAGGAGGTTAATATCAGCACTGACAGCAGTACCGTAGTTGATGTAATAAATCCCAGGACACAAAGGAGCCAAGGGTGAGTGCTCACCAAAGGCTCAAACAACCTCACTATCTTATCTCCTTATTCAGCAGAAATAAATTCACTGATTATCTCCCCTAACTTTGCAGGAACGCAATCTCACTGACTTACCTCCCCTTACTTTACAGGAACACAATCTCACTGACTTACCTCCCTCCCCTTACACTACAGGAACACAACCTCACTTACTTATCTCCCCTTAACAGGAACACAATCTCACTGACATATCTCCAATTACTTTACAGGAACACAATCTCACTGACTTACCTCCCCTTACTTTACAGGAACACAATCTCACCGACTTATCTCCCCTTAACAGGAACACAATCTCACTTACTTATCTCCCCTTAACAGGAACACAATCTCACTGACTTATCTCCCCTTAACAGGAACACAATCTCACCAACTTATCTCCCCTTAACAGGAACACAATCTCACTGACTTATCTCCCCTTAACAGGAACACAATCTCACTGATTTATCTCCCCTTTACTTAACAGGCACACAATCTCACTGACTTATCTCCCCTTGTGTTACAGGATCTCCAGCTATCATCAGAGCAGCTTCACCAGTTGGACAATGACTATCAGGAAGCACTCCGAAAACTTGAGCACAAACAGAGTGAGATTGACCGGCTGCATGAGGTAGGGAAAAATCAGCATCCCAAACACTATTTGTGGGCTGAAACCCATTTTGTCCAAAATGGCTTCAAAAATGGGATAGCATGATCACAAGTAGGGCTGGGACAGGTAAATCAGGTACTCGGTTTGGGTGGGTACTGAGTAGGACCCGTGGTTAGTCACGTGATAGCAGGAGGAAACACCTAAACCCTACTTTCTTCAAAAATAGAATAAAATCATTCTCATTATCAATAGTACTAAATTAAAAACAAAATGCAATTTGGAAGTTTTCCAATATATATTTAAGTAAATAACTAAAATAAGTTTGAGGTGCCACAGTTCACTTTGCAGAGTTGTGCCCCTTGAGTGTACCAGGATTTCATCACCCATTGACTTATTTCTGTTACAGTCACAGGAAGAGGCAAAAATAGAACACGAGACAGCAGTGAGGGAACTCCAGGTGAGCCATTGTCTTTTGTTCCAGGTATTTCTGAAACTACATCCCAGGTAACTTGATGATGGGTGGGTCAGGGTGTGTGGAGGTCGACCACATGCAATTTGTTAACCAACCAGAATTGAGACAATTGTTTTGGGATATTCATTCATTCATTCATTTTTCTATTCTTATTGTCTATGCCTTCATTCAGTCATTGCTATTGTCTGTTCATTCATTGGGGGAGGTTGGGTAGCTTAGTGGTTAAAGCATTTGCTCGTCACCGCCGAAGACCCGGGTTCGATTCCCGACATTGCTACAATGTGTGAAGCCTATTGCTGGTGCCCCCAGCCGTGATATTGCTGAAATATTGCTAAAAGCTTCGTAAAACCACACTCACTCACTCACTCACTCACTCACTCACTCACTCACTCACTCACTCACTCACTCACTCTTCATTCAGTCATTCATTCATTGCTATTGTCTATTCTTTCATTCATCCATTCATTCGTTCTTCATTCATTCGTTCTTTCATTTGTTCGTAATATATATCATAAAATCTAATTTATCATAAAAAATGAATTGATATTCAATGACATGATTAACAACCTGGGACTGCTTTTGGGGCCATTAGAGCCCACTTATAGCTTAAAACTCACTTGGACTTTAACATTTTTGCAACAACCAATCAACTATTTTTCAGATAAGAATACAAGACCTAGAACGTCAGTGCCAGGTGCATGAACACCGACAAGCTGACTTGAAGTCCGAACTTACAGCAATTAAACATGAAGCTCTGCATCACAGAGCTCTAACCACTTCCACAGAAATACAGACCGAGAGAACGCAACATATATCTACTGGTACTGATGCTCTCCCCTTGTTGCCTAGCAACAGTTATAATCGAAGATCTTCCTCCAATCAAAATGGTCACTCAGTAGAGGGTTTGTGGTGTTTTTCAGCATTTTCTCTATCGTTACATATTCTCCAGGCAAGGTGGCACCTTTGGTGATCCGGTGCCATTTCTATAGAATTTGGTGCATGAATCTTTTAAGGTTTTGGTATGTTTAGTAACAAGGTGCGATTTATACACAATGTTTAATGCAAGAAATTTTACCAGGTTTAATGAAAAGTTCTAACTTATGATCAAATACCCAGGAAATGTTACTGAAATACCTGGTCATTCATTCAAATAAACTCCTTGCCTATGCCAGAAGTAGGTAAATAACAAGATCCACGTTAAGCGAAACTATATTGTCGCCTTGCCTGCGGAAGATGTGGTGTAAGGCTTTTATTCCCTGAACCTGATGATTCTCTGTGTTACATGATGGCCTCCGTGGAGAGCCGAAGGTATGGGGTTCGATCCCTGGCCACGTCATACCAAAAGACGTTAAAAGATGGAACTTGTTGTTACCCTGTCTGGCGATCGGTATTAAAGGGATAAAACAAGGACTGGTCAGCTCGGAGTCAGTATACTGTGTCTTAGTGGGGTATTTATGTTAAACTGGGGCATGGTATCTCAGTGGGCTAGCACTATAAAATCGGCATTAGTCTGGACTAGTACAAGCGGACACACACACACACATGCATGCACATCGCTATATAAGTGCAATAATCTTTGACGTGATGTTAAACCTCATTTCACCTCACCTCACCTGTAATACATGACCAAGGCCCACTTGCACAAAGCGATCTTAGCACGAAGATGATAGTAAGTCCCATACTTTAACATAGGCTCACAATAGTCGTATCGCTAAGATCGCTTTGTGCAAGTGGGACCTAAAGGTCACTTGGAATATTGGTGTATTCTGAAAGAAGCAGGTGAATGTACATGTATAACACGTGAAGAAAAGTAGTGATTTCCAAAAATATACAATACAAGTTGAATATCACTATTTTTGTCCAGTGTTAGAATAGTTATGAAGTAAGCTTTGCTTGAAATTAGACCAAACTGATCCTGAAATATAAACAAACTTATTATACTAATATTATATTAGTTTTATTATACTAATTAGAACCATCTTTAACACAGAAGGAAAAATAGTGATTTCCTAAAATTTACAAGATATACAAACATGTATATCACCAGTTTTCCTCCTATGTATAAAGTAAAGTTTGTCTTGAAAAATGATCATCAAACATAACAAACCTAATTATACTAATAGGTTTAATTAGAACCATCTTTAACACAGAAGGAAAATCAGTAATTTCTTAAAAAATACAAGATATACAAACAGTTTTCCTCCTATGTATAAAGCAAAGTTTTCTTGAAAAATGAGCATCAAATATAACAAATGTGATTAGTTCCTTTTATGGCATTTGTACAGGAAAGTTTGAATATTAAGGAACATATTCTGTTTTCTCATAAAAAACAACAGCTTGCCATCAAAAGCTACGACATTAACCTAGTGAAGAAAGATATTTTGACATTTGTTGGTTAGTTAAACTCATGGTACAATGGCATTTGGATCTACAGCTTCGCTGTTCAAATTAATATTGGTTAAGATTTTCTGTAAGCAATTTGAACATTAAAAGGTCACTGTTTGGTATAACTTACCGTTATCTTTGACTGTCAGACAACCATGGCACATCAAAATATACTCAGACTGGATTTTTGAAATTTATCTTATTAATTTGTCATTACAATAGAATAATGAAATATACTAATTGGATGGACACCCCAATGCATTATCTTTAAAAAAAGCCAATTTATTTTCAGAAAGGATGTGTGTGTTAAATTTTATTGTAACCAAGGTGATTAATTTTTTATTTGATTCTTTGATTAAGCTGAAAGCACAAATGCCTGTATTCATCTGAATCTGATTGATTTATACAGGAGATAAACAGAATTTGCTTTATGACTTATTGAGTTTTGTTTAGAGGTAGACGATGTCAACTTGAGGTTTCAAATGCTAAAATGCGTCTGCATGTAGATTTTACATTGTATTTACATAACATTTGAGACTTAGAACATTTTTTAATACTTGCAAAGTATTCAAATTCACAGTGAAATATTTCCAGGGTTTGCAATACCATTTTACAACAAGCTTGTACTTTGATATGGTTTATTCAATTATTGATTTACATTTATAGGAAACATTTATTTTGAAACACTCCGTCATTACCTGCTAATTACTGTACATCAACCCGTGAAGATCAGGTGTAGAACATGTCTTCAGCGACCCAGGCTTGTCCCCCATGAAGATCCGGGGTAGAACATGTCTTCAGCGACCCAGGCTTGCTGTAAGAGGCGACTATGCTTGTCGTAAGAGGTGACTAACGGGATTGGGTGGTCAGGCTCGCTGACTTGGTTGATGCGTGTCATCATATCCCAATTGCATAGATCGATGCTCATGATGTCAATCACTGGATAATCTGGTCCAGACTCGATTATTTATTGACTGATGTTGCCTCACCTCCTCAAGATTAAATTATCTAAATGCTTCTGCATCTGCATTCCTGAGATATTGAGTGGAAGTTTAAGATTGTGCCTTCTGAACTCCCTGGGGAGAGTCCGACTGTTACTGCTTTATCTTGATTTATCATTATAACCTTTATTCATCACAAATCCCTTCACCCTTCACACTTTACAGCCGTCATATAGCTGGAATATTGCTGTGTACAGCATTAAACAATAAACAAACAAAAACAAACTAGTAGTACATCAATAACAGAAGTGTGGGGTTCTCTACAAGACATTTAGCTTCTCAAATTTTATTGTCAGCCTATAGCTGTTTCTATGAAATAAATCATTTATAAACAGATATAACTGTTATGGCCTGAGAATTGTAATATTAAAGTATTGCTCTTTAATTCATCTTGTCGCTGAGGCAATTGGTTTCTTTTAGGTCACTGAATATAAATTACATGCTTATCTAATTCACAACTACTTCTTCATTAGAGATAGTATTTCATGTCTAAATTATTGCCTTGTTAGGTGAGGTGAAATGGGGTTTAGCATCGCATTCAAGATTACTGCGATAATATATAGGTGTGTGCTGGCTCAGTGAGATACCATGCCACAGTTAAACGTGAATACCCCACTCAGACACAGTATCCTCAAAGCTGACCAGTCCTTGTTTCATCCCCTTAATTCCGAGCACCAGGCAGGGAAACATCAAGTTCCATTTTATAAAGTCTTTTGGTATGACGCTACTGGGGATTGAACAACCGACCTTCTGCTCTCTTGGCACACACTGTATCAACCTGACCACTTGTTAATAAATGCTTATCTGCATCAACTCACACATATTAGAGCTCAATATATATTAGATTGTAATGCTTTATAATGTTCATGTATACCAAGAGAATTTTACTTTTCAAAAGTCATGAATATTTTTGGAAAATTTTGTCGGCCATCTTGATTCAGGGTAAAAATGTGAAGAGTAAGTAATCAATTTGCCGTCGCCATGATCAAATTTTCTGTCTTTTTTTGTGTTAGTTTAGAATTCCTTTTATCATCTTTCTAAAACTTTATCTAGATCCCGTGGTCTCCTCCCATTTCTCCCTCAGTGAGTCAACTGTAGGTTATATTCCAACCTCCGAATCCAGCAAGTCTCTTGATACAGGTGAGGGGATTTCTTTATGAATTTTGTAGTTATTTATTATGATATGATTATAACATTTTCAAACTTTTTCTTACAGGCATATATGTTTATTACAGAAACTGTGTAGTTTGTTATGGCTTCACTTATCACTGGCAAATGTGTGAGTCATTTTCTGATATCATGATGAAATTTGGTATGTGAAAGAAATTGCATCTATTTTTGGCAACATGGTGGGTGTCTTACATAAGGAACATTTGGTGATCATTTGTGTCATATTCATGTGAACACTTCGATGGTGGAGTGTCATAATAGGCGTCCTGCATCCAAGAACTGACTTAATTGAGGATTGGATGGTAACAATGTCTGTTGATTATTGTTTTGGTTTGCTTTGTCACCCTGATATAGTTGAAAAAGTGCTGAGTGTTGCGTAAAACAACGTTCACGCAATCAAAATGACTAATATATTGTCATGTGATTGGCCTAGTTGTGAAAGCGTTTGCTCGTCACACCTAAATACTAGGATTGATTCCCTGGGCACAGTGTGTGAAGCTGGTTTCTTGGTGCTCTCGGCCATGATGTGGCTGGAATATGGCTGACTCAGCAGAATACCAAACTCACCTGTATATACTACTTGTGTCAGGTGCCTACACTTTTAAGCATAACTTTTCAAATGCTGTAAAACTGTTGAGACTTTTTGATGACAAGTTATTGTTGAGCACTTGCAAAATACAGTGTTGCATCCAGATGGCATAAAATCAGTTTCAACATGGATAAGGAAATCTCACTCAAAACGTTTATTTCAAGGGGAGATAACTCCTGCATCTATTTTATTCAGTACTCATTAAATTATCATTTATGGATTAAATTCTTATTTTGAAGTTTAATGGGTTTCCAATGATTTGATTGGTTTATTTGCCGATCACATGGCCCGTTCATTTTTCAACAAACTTAAAAAAATGACGTTTACAAAGTTTAAATTTCACTTTTCAACTTTCCAAAATTGAGCTGAGTCAGAAACAGGGGACTCAGCACGAATTTTCTTTCTTCTTCTGACGAAGATGTAGAGATTTAATATTTGGATCGTCTGTATGTCAAAATTGCTAAGGTACTGAAGTTCTTGACCCCTATGTATTATTTAAAGTTTTAAAATTTGCTAAGTATGAAGTAACTAGGACAGTTGCCTGTTGTTGTGACCTATACAGGGTCACAATAGGTCCCTGGGTAGCAAGCTGTGCTTGTAAGAGGCGACTAAATGCATCTCAGTAACATGGTTCATTGTATGACCTCATTCCCCCATAATATCAATCACTGGCTTGTCTGGTCTAGACGCTTATTTACAGGCCGCTGTTACATAGCTGGAATATTGCTAAGTGCAGTATTAAATAATGAACAAAAATTTTTTTTTAGAAAAAAGACTCGCTACAAACAAGCTTATTGTAGTTGAATATCCCAGTTGAACCATTAAAATATTTTTTGATAAAATGGTCAACTGTTATGCCAGCCGAAACATTCACCAAATTTGAATACAATTTTAAAAATATTAATAAATGCTTAATTAATCCCTACATAATTTCAGGCCATTAGAGATAAGGGGACAGAAAATGACCTCTGTGATTGAAAATACCTTTTTTCACCTTACCAACAATATCTTTTAAAAAATGACTTTAAAATTTAATTTTTTAGTCATTTATAAATTTTTCTAAATAATGAAACTATGCCGTATCTGGGTGCAACTTGAAGATGATACTGTTACACATCTTGCATTGCTTTTAAGCACTGTTTGTTAAATTACTGTTTTTAACCATTATTTTCTTCACAATAAGCAACGTTACACAATAATGCACTTGTAAAATAAATAAACAATGCAATATTTTTGTTCATCTGACACTGAGAGACTAGATATTATTGAAACCGTTAGTTTCTCTGTTGGATCAGCTTTTGGCTTAAGCTTCTAGACAGCTTTATGCATCTTATTATGTTCAGTGAACACATCTTTAAACCATATTATTTGATATTCTATATAACCAGCTCATTGAGTGACATTTTGAATTGTAAGAAAAAACAAACTTTCCATGGCAATGTCATTTAAAAAAGTTATCAAGTTTGCACTTTTCTTTCTCTTCATAATAATACTTGTCATTTACCAAAAAGTGAATGTAAAAGAAATATTAAAAATTAATTTGTTTGAGCAATCTGTTTAAAGAGAGAGTGTATTTTGGTTCATTAGAAAATTCTCATTTCCGTGTTGGAATCTATAATGGTAATTTCCAAGAGTTGTCAGACCTTTACACCTGTTTTCAAGTTTCCCCACAAATGTAACTCTTAAATGTGCTGTAAAAGTACCTCAAATAAGTCTTAAAATAACATCTTTATGTGATAGATCTATTCAGAGGAAGATAGTAATCGGTAGTCGTTTGATTGCATGTGACGTCAGTAAAAACCCGCTTCTGTTTCCTGTAGTAATCACTCGTTACGAAGCTATCACCCAAGAGGAATCCATTTTGGTGTGTCGTAAACAAGACCACGCCATCGTGAGGATGTTGATCTCGGACGAGGATGTCCATGGTTCATCTTGTGGCAGTGAAACATGCAACCTTTTCCATTACCGAAGCTCATAAAAAACATCGGAGACCATGACAGATTATTATTAGAAATTGTAAAGGTTTCTGATTTATAAAGCCTCATTAACTTGGCTTCAAGATGGGCTTTCTCGGAGGACCTGGGTCTAAAAAAATGTAGGATAATTTTGTAGGATAAATAACATTAATTAGTAACAAACTTCTTCATTTCATGATTATGGGCCATAAACCTGATAAATGATTTTCACTAATATGATGTATTAATTGGCAAATAGATAGTTTTAATAACTAAAAGACTTTTGGCTCAAAATATACACGAGTATGATCATGTCTTCATTTTGGTATCAGGTTTACAAATGGGTGTTTCTTTTTTTGTAATTCTTTGATTATCAAAACATAACAAATATTGAATTAATTATAATTCAATGTTGAATTTAAAATTTAAATTGTTATTTAAAAAATTAATTTGAAAATTTAAATTAAACTTTCAGTACTTTTACTATATTGCTTTTATATAAATGTTTATTATAACAAAGGATTTTGTACAAGAATTTCAAATTCTTTGAATAATCCATAGATTTGAGGTACTTTTGCAATATGTCTGAGAAAGTTTTCTATTAGTGATCAATAGAGATGTAACACACTTTAGCCAAAGTTCATATTAATGTCATTAGAGGACAAAGAATCTAAACCTATAGAAAGAGCGTTCAATATGCCAGAAGGCCAGTGTTCCTGGAAGCTTTGACCAATGTTCTGACATTTAAGGTACCAAGGAACTTCCATTGTTTAATGGAATAACTGATCACTAGATTTGGAGATAGACGCAACTTTGAATAGATGTGACACAATTTATTTTGTGATCAGCTTCTTAGTTTCCCGTTGGACTGATGAGAAAAATTATCTCATTTATTGTAGTTACATGTTGCCATGGTGACACGGTAATCCAGACCAAAGGAGACATTATAGGAGGCCTCCTGGATTATGAGTGTAGCTTCTGTTTGAGGATAGATTAAATAAAAGTTTATAGGCAGTTTAATTTAAATATATAAAAATTTCAGTTACATTCCTAATCTATCATGTAATAGAATACTTGATCTTCACATATGATAGAAGTTTATACTTCAAAGAAACTAGTTTAATTTGATTCTTTTGTGTGCATTTAAGTAGATACCTGTTTTGAGAAAAGTATTTTAGTTGATTCCTTTAAAACAAAACATTAACTGTTATCGAGGTATATATATTTGGTGTTTAAGTACATATAAGACCTCAAGGCTTTATGGGGCGGTCGGTTAGCCTAGTGGTTAAAGCATTCGCTCGTCACGCCGAAGACCCGGGTTCGATTCCCAACATGGGTACTATGTGTGAAGCCCATTTCTGGTGTCCCCCGCCGTGATATTGCTGGAATATTGCTAAAAGCGGCGTAAAACCATACTCACTCACTCACTCACTCACTCAAGGCTTTATGGTGTTGTATGAACAGAGGAACTCAAGCCCTTGTGCGCATGTCATTACAAATATAAGGTATTCTCAATATGCATGCTTATGTTCTTAATACTTCTTTAATCTCAAAATGCATGTTTGATCTTATTTGATCTTAAAGTCTATCTTTGATCTGAAGTGCTCCACTAATCAATATTCATATATCATTCCGCCATTATCTCAAACTTCAGGGGCAGTGGGTTAGCTTAGTGGTTAAAGTGTTCGCCCATCATGCATAAGACCCAGGTTTGATTTCACACATGGATACATGATGTGAAGGTGTTTCTGGTGTCCCCCGACATGGTATTGCTGGAATATTGCTCAAAATATGACATCAGGACAACTCTTGAACATTTGTTTGAAATTACAGCCTTTCTGTTTTATGTCATTACATGATATTATGTGAGATCCCAGTTAATCAAAGCCTATTGTGATCATTAACATCATTATTTTAGTAAATTAAAATTTAAATGACAAATTGATTGAATACTGTACTCAGAACCACTTATTTTTTTTTATTTTTTTTTTATTTATTTTTTTTGTGAACGCCTCCGTGGTCTAGTGGTAGAGCGTCCACCCGAGAGCGGAAGGTCCTGGGTTCGATCCCCGGCCGCCTCATGACAAAAGACGTTACAAGATAGTACTTGGTGTTACCCTGTTTGGCGCTTGGCATTAAGGGGCTAAAACAAGGACCGGTCGGCTCTCAGTCAGTATACTGTGTCTGCGTAGGGTATTCATGTTAAACTGCGGCATGGTATCTCAGTGAGCTCGCACTATAAATCGGCATCAGTCCGGACTAGTACAAGCAGCCACACAAACACACACATGTACATGCACGTCGCTATATAAGTGCAATAATCTTGGACGCGACGTTAAACCCAATTTCACCTCACCACCTATTTTTTTTTGTGAAATTTGTTTGAGTGGCGGTGTAACTGGCAGGCCAGGACATGCTTCCCCTCTTTGCGAACATCTGGTGTCATCACTGATTTTCAGTGAGTGAGTGAGTTGGGTTTAACGCCACTTTAAACATTTTTCCAGTTTTATCACGGCGTGTCAGCTTAATGTGGGAGGAAAACCCGAAGTGATGCAGGTCTCAGACGTTTACCACTTCTGTGAAACCCACGAGCACGGGTATGGTGCTGACAAACCTAGAAACGTAATCAGGGCGAACTGGGATTCGAACCAACAATCATAGGTTTCTGACGTGCCCAAGGGACGCAACTCTGCACAGCAAATCGCGGCGCCTTAGACGACTGGGCCACCCATGCCCCTGATTTTCACCACTATATTACCTTTAATGGAATCTGTTTCGACGGATGATCGAGATTGTTTATTCCCTGTCATTGCTGTTATACATATATACAGGTAATCAGTTAAAATACTTAAGTGTTACTTAATCACTAAATCAATTAAAAATAAGTATTGATTTTAGTTTGTTCAAAACATTTTGGTGAAGCTCAAATTAAATATTTGATCTTCTCCATGAAATTAGAACACAGCAGCTTCTTCATGAAATATTTCATGACGTTTCTAGATGAAGTTTCAATTCAAAGTTTAAAGATTATTTGTTCGCTTCCAGATATTGCTGATGGTGATGGAGGAATAATTGCTGTATTTCCTCTAATAATGATCCTGGAGTATATTGCGGAATTTAAATTGTGTAGGCTTCAAAATCAAATACTGTGGTTCCAATAACCAAATTCACATAATCACTTTGCCACTGATCCTTGTGTTCTGAGTGATATACAGTTCAAGAAGATTGACATGAAATGTTTGTATTTCAGCCCGGTTTTCATTATTAAATGAATGCATGTTCAAAATTGTATATTCCCATTGACCATAATTTCATAAAATCAGATGATTAGGAACCACATGATTTATTTTTTCACCCTATGTAAACATTAATGCAGTTTTTTAGTCGGATTCCTTAATAATTTTGGCTATCTTTTTGTCTGATGCTTTAGTATCGATAGTCATTTATATTCTGTTTTTTATTAAGAAAGCTCAAGCCACTTGCTTGATGGTTCTCTGTGGTAGTGTTAAACAACCATTTATTTTGAAATGGATTGAAAACCTTGCCAAATGGAATAAAGATTTGCTACAAATTGAGGGGCTCAAATTAGAGGAGATACGGTAGGCACAATTTGCTTTTACGTTTTTCTACAATAATTACTCCCTATTAGGTTTCGCAGAGGAGGAATTGGAAGATGATCTCAGTAGCAACAATAAGTCCTCCCCAAACAAAAGCGATTGTGAGGACCCTGAACTGAATGAAATCTCCAAAAAACTTAAAGAACTTGCCGCCTCAGATTCGGATGATGACAATCAAAAATCTCTAGAAGGTGATTGGTTGCCATTCCTGGTGCTTTTTGTAGTGGTCTGCATGTCATCACCAATTATTCTTGTCTCCCTTTACTTTTGTCTTGATTTCCTGTTTGTGTTTTTTCCTTCATCTATGTAGTTTGTGACACGTACACTTGAACAGGTATATACTGAACAATAAAAAAAAAGTAACAAATTTTTCAGTACGTAAATAAACATGTATACCAGATGGCTGGTTTGATCTTACAAAATCCCAAGACCAACATACATATCATTCATTTGTATTTTTTGCGAACTTACATATAAATAAAATTTGAATTAGACAAAATGTTACGAATTAGAGTTCACAATATTCAAAGTATACAAGATATATTTTCAGTTTGGTCAATTTTTAATCAGAAAAATATTTCAAAATGGATTTAGCATCATACAAAGTATTGAAGATATATTTGTATAGACACAATTTATGGATAACATGAAATAACTTCTTTATTTTACTGTAATAGAGATGTTTCGGATCAGATCCGTAGACCGTTGTCAAGCAAGACTGACATGCAGTCATTTAAATTTGACTTCCGTCAACTTCGAGGAAATACCAATCAAACAATGGAATTAACAGTATTCAAACTATTCAAGATGTATTTGCATTTTTGTCAATTTGTAATTAGAAAAAATAATTCAAAATGGACTGGACAGTATTTAATGTATGCAAGAAATACTTGTTGTATTTTGTTTCAGTACACTAAGGCAGTGAAAAAAACACTAGATAGAAGTTTTGGTTAAAAATAAATTAAAATAGTTGTACTGAAAGTATCATCTTGCTACATTTGTCAGCATGAATATAATAAATATTGAATCTCACAAAGAGACCACAGGGTTCAGACGCCTTTGCTTCATTGTATTACTGGTCGAAGTACTCCACTAAGTGGGGCGGTCGGGTAGCCTCGTGGTTAAAGCGTTAGCTCATCACGCCGAAGACTCTGGTTCGATTCCCGACATGGGTACAATGTGTGAAGCCCATTTCTGGTGTCGCCTGCCTGATATTGCTGGAATATTGCTAAATGCGGCGTAAAACCACACTCAATCACTCACTCACTCAACTAAGTGTACCAGTCAGCCCAGCTGTAAGATGGGTACCCGGAAGTATGTAAAATCTTGTTTTAATAAGTGTGTGTAGAGTTCCTTAGTTTGGGAAAACTTGCATTCAAACTTTAAACTGATTTCAATATGCGACTGCTTCCATCTGTCATTTGTGCTGACAAATTGCTGTATGTTGTATTGATATTAATATATCGTTATTATCATTGTTATTTCACAGTTCGACCCAGAACACCTGGGTTAGAATAGGTCTTCAGCAACCCATGCTTGCTGTAAAAGGCGACTATGCTTATCGTAAAAGGTGACTGACGGGATCGGGTGATCAGGCCCTTTGACTTGGTTGATGCATGTCTTCATATCCCAGTTGCGTAGATCGAAGCACGTCCAGATTTGATTATTTACAGACCGCCATCATATAGCTGGAATATTGCTGTGTGCAACATTAAACAACAAACAAACAAACAAATATTTCACAGTTAGGATTTCTCTTGTATTCAAGCTACTGTGGCAGATCATTTCTATCATTGCCTGTGTTGCTATATGGCTGAGGTAGTTCTAAAGCAACATAATATTTTAACTCACTTACTTGTTTAATATCCATTGCAATGTACTAATTTGTGAAAAACTATTTACCTTAAAACTAAACTTATTTCTTCTTATGATATAACTAATTAGAAAGTGTTTAAAAACTCAAATAATCCTAGTTGTTTGTTTTTATCTTCTGATTATTTCCGATAGTTCTGTCGCTTCAAATGTTTCCGTACTTTTATTTCCGTCACTTTTCCACACTAATCTTTTTAGCAGTTTTCAATTTCCGTTTTAGATCATGCACTATTGACTTGCACGAGTTTCCCTTGAGAATCTAGTTATTGGTTGTCCATTTCAGTGATGATACTGACAGTTGATTGACATGCAATTTTGTGCATGTTTCCAGATTTTTCAAGTGCGTAATATGTTGTTCTAAATGCAATTTGTTGCCTCAACATTGTCGCAAACAAATATGTCTGCTTACAAGTGTTGCGAATTCTCCGTTCATTTGTGTGTATATGTCATATTCTTTGCTTTTTGTTGTTCGTTGAAACACATTGTTCATAATCAATTTTATTGTTGGTTTGAATTTTATCTGGTACATTTTTGCAAGACAAAATAGGAAATATTATATACTTATGTTAAAATCAGTTGTGTGGAAGTCATCATCATTAATGAATCACTTAAACCGCGGAAAAGTTCACCGTATTACTCCGAGAACATATCGAGTTAATTGTAGATTGACAGACATACATGTAAATTGCACCTATTTAGCGGGAGTCGACCAACACTAAATGCCAGATCTGACGAATGCCATTACACAGTTATGTGTTCTGACAGACTACGAACAAATTTTATTTGGATACCGTTTGGAGCCAATAGCCATCAAAATAAGGAAATTTGATGGAAATGTGTCCCATTCTTATTCTTATTGGATTATTCTGTGTCTGAAATCACTTTTTGTATGAAGGGTTAAGTGGACAATGGTTCTGATCTGACTGGAATGTTATGAGCAAATGTGCGAGATATGTCACTGAGTGATACTGACGTGTCAAGATCATGTACATTTCAGATTTCAATGGGGAATTGACATAAGTATTCTGTACCATGTTTGTGGGTGAATTAATACTTTGGTCAACTGATGGAGATGTGTGAAAACTGAACATTTATTTGGGGGGGGCATGTCAGCTGATTTTGAAATATGCTCCAGATTGAAATATACGAATTCCAGGATGGTGTCGATGCTGCAACAGTGATGATCCTTAGTGAAGATGTTGATGTGAAGATGCTGTGAATAATTCTACGTAACTGCTGAGGTTTTATTTTTTTAAGAAATCAAAATGTTGAGGTATTGTTGTTATATTCCAGAAAAAGAAGATTCGGGAATGGAAAGCAACCGAGGGTCAAAGGTCAGTTTGTATATCTCATGTTGCATGTGTTCTGTTATCAAGTTATGATTCAGTTTCATGTCTTCACAATGGTGTTATATATAGAGAATCTCACCCAAGTGTCTTTTGATATCAAATATATCAATGAGTGTTGATATATTTGATATCAAAAGACACAAGGGTGAGATTTTATTTATCATCCAACATTTTTCCTACTATTTCAGTTTGAAGACAGTAATAAGCAGTGTCTTAAGTGTAAAAAGTACTGCTAACAGCTTCAGTAGCAGAGCCATTAGTGATGTCATTTGATTATGATGTCATGGTCTGCAAAGCATTGTGATGCAATTTCATTGCAGAGATATCTACAATGTAGATATGGCTTGATCTCACCCTAGCGATATCTCCTGTGGGAGCCAGTTTTGAATGAATTTTTTTTATTCAGTTATATTTTACACACATATTTATGTTGTATTCGATGGAAAGGCTAAATATACTGGAAACAAAACATGAATTACAGAAATATGTCTGACAAAGGTTACGTATGCATTCAGTAATAGCTATGGACGCTTCATATCACCAAACCAAATGCGAAATGATTGTAAGTTATGTCAGGGATAAAAGACGTGTCCGAGGTTTTAGATGACACAGTAAAACTTGAGTTAAGCAGTGACCGAGGAGATAAAATTGAGGGCATTTTAGCGAGGTTTTACTAACCATGTCACTACTGCCTGAAAACAATGGTGAATATCTGTGATAGGTTTATAAGTGATAGGAAGATACCTCCAATACAATAGGCAAAAGTGTCAGTAGGGTTATAAGTGTCATTCAATGCAGAACCTGCAGTAATTGTCAAGATATAAACAGCAATTTCAAACAAGTGCCTGTTTTCCTGTATGTTCCTTTTTTTTCTTTCTGTCAGTATATTTTGGTTTTGAAAATTGTTCACTGAAATGGATGTGGTCAGGCAATAAACACTAACGTTTTTTATGCAAATTGTGGCGGGTGGCGGGTGTTAATGGTAGGGCAGGTATCCTTACTCTTTTCACAAGGACGGTCGGGTAGCCTAGTGGAGAAAACGTTTGCACGTCACGCCGAAGACCCAGGTTCGATTCCTGACATGGGTACAATGTGTGAAGCCCATTTGTGGTGTCCCCCGCTGTGATATTGCTGGAACATTGCTAAAAGAGGCGTAAAACCATACTCACTCACTCACACTTTCACGAACACCCGCATCATCACTGATTTTCAGTGATCCATTCATATAATTTTCGCCACTATTTTGCCTGTTACACCTGGTGGGATCTGCTTTTGCATGTGATCAAGACTTGTTAACATTTATAGTGAATTGACTTCTACAGGTTGTGTCTTACTGTGTCAGAACTGCTATTAACCCTGTTAATGGTGCTGTGGAAGAGTACAGTCGTAGAATAAGTGTTATGGGGTCGTTATTCATTGTATATACCAAGGTTTTTCTTTCTTCTCCAGAATCAAAATGAAATTGCCCTTAGTGAAAGTCGCATGTCCTCTCTGGCTAGGAAAGGCCCTATTCAAGTCTACTGTGCTAAATATTCCTATCGCCCCTATGAGCACTCCCCCAACGACAACCCAGATGCAGAGTTGCCGCTCAACGCTGGAGACTATGTCCTGGTGCTGGGAGAGATGGATGAGGTGAGTGACGTACACGTCTTGTAGGACAAGGTGTGTCATGTATAGCATAAAACACGCCTCCTCTGTTCGGGTTGAAAATGTAAAACCATGAACGAGGGGAAAGCACCAAGGGCTTTTCCGGAGCTCAAGGTTTTTACATTTTCAACCAAAACCGAGGAGGCGTGTTTTATCCAACTTATGAACCGTCTACATGCAAGAAATACCATAAAAAAATAAGAAAACATTGACATACCTTGTAGTGAAACAATACATTGTATAGCAGTATAAAATAAATTTGCTCAAAGCGTGCGAGAGAAAAAACATGTGCAGCATGGACTAGCTGGAGTCATGACATAATAAACTGAACAACTTCTCATCACCTGCCCCACTATCTCAGTGGGAAAACAGTGGGTTACAAAACGATATGCGAGGTTGCAGGTTCAATTCTCGTCTTTAAATTCTTATAGTAAAAAATTGTGACTTTTAACCAATCATCAAACCCAATTGTGTTCGCATCAAGAGGCATGTTTATAAAATGGTACTTGTAAAACCCGGGGATTACATTTGAAATGTATTCATCAGGTCCCAGGCATTCCACCAGAACACCCCAGGCATCGTTGATATTGTCTGCCTTGAAACTTTACCAACATTTTGAAAAACATTCTGTTTCTGTAGTGTGATGGTTTGGAAGTACAGGTCATATAGGACTATGTGCAGAATGTGAAGACCATTTCCAGTGTCCCCCGCCGTGATACTGCTGGAATATTGCTAAAAGCGGCGTAAAACCATACTCACTCACTCACTCACTATGTGCAGAACAGTGAAATGGAAGACAACTTTGAGTTACCTGCCCTTGTTTTAAAATCTGAAAAATGCACGTGTTATGCAGAGGCTAATCGTGATGCCTCCGGAGATGATAAACATTAATTTTGTAAATATCTAATCAAGTAATATCTTAATGAAGATTACTATTTATGTTTTGAACAAAAATTGATTATCCTTTTTATCTTCCAGGATGGCTTTTTTGAGGGTGAGCTAGTTGATGGACGACGGGGGCTGGTTCCGTCAAACTTCATAGAGAAGGTAGCAGGTAGGACGGAAACGTGTTTTTACTTTTTTTACATTTTTGAATATCAATCCTCATTTCTAGATGTAATAGTCTAGGGCTTAGAGCTTCATTTTGTTACTGGTTCTGGCAGTTATCAGGTACAATATACATCCACCTAGCGATGCCTGCTTCCGCATCTATGTAGAGGGATTGTTGAATGTTGATTATCTCACGTAGTAATCTTTATGAATCTGGATCTCTATATGCATGCATAGCAGCTTCATTCTCAGATAGATAAATATTGAATTGCTTATAATGTTAGGGTGGGATAGGTCAAGTTACACATTAGTGTGAAGCACTTTAGTCAAACATGCATGTTGGTAATTTCTTTGACTACAAAGGTAATGGAATCTGTTTTGATTTTTCAAGTTTAAAGAAGTCATCATGTTCATGTGTATATTTAATAGACATTTTAGGAAATATCTACCATATTGCTTCATTCCAAAATCTAAATAGAAAGTCTTTTTTATCATTTTTTTTATTACAATTTCTTCATATTCTTTTTGTAATATTTTGGAACTTTTATTCCCAACAAAATACCAACCAGTACAATCCAACACAATGTAATACAATCCAGTACCAACCCTATACAATCCAATACTAACCCTATATAATCCAGTACCAACCAAATACAATCCAATACCAACCAAGTACAATCCAATACCAACCTAATACAAAATAATACCAACCCAACCCAACCCAACACAATACCAAAACAATACCAATACAAACCAATAATGACCCAATACAGTACAATACCAACCCAATAAAATCCAATACCAACCCAATACGATACTTTGCCAATACAATACAACACCAACCAAAAACAATCCAATACCAACCCAATACAATCAAGTACCAACACAAAACAATCCAATACCAACCCAATATATACAATCCAACCCAATACAATCCAATACCAACCCAGTATATACAATCCAACACAATACAATCCAATACCAACCCAATATATACAATCCAACCCAATACAATCCAATACCAACCCAATATATACAATCCAACACAATACAATCCAATACCAACCCAATATATACAATCCAATACCAATACAATCCAATACCAACCCAATATATACAATCCAATACCAATACAATCCAATACCAACCCAACCCAATACAATACTAAACCTTTCTCCTTTCTCCTCTCCTCCCTATCTAGAACCAACTGTGAGAAATACACTTCCCAACATTTGCTAAGGATCAACATGGTCACCTCTAGTTAGAGGTGTGTTCCTTAACAAGTGTTGAGTAGTCTAGATAATGAATATGAAATCATCCAGGCAGTTGATGACATTTATAGTTTTGAACTCGTTTCAGCTTCATATCAGCTTCGCTGTTGCATGATTTATTTTGTCTCACAGAAGAAGATCTGTCGGACTTCCATGCAGCTATGGCTGTAGCTGGGCTCCCCACTGATGATAGTATCGCCTCCAATAGTCACCAGGACTTAGAGTTTAACAGTAGCGATGAGATTGATAAGCTACGTTCTGATCTTACAGGTACTAGTCCCAAAGAGATGCTCCACTGACGAGTCAGGAAAAATTAATTATGCCATTGTACATGATGAATAACATTAGTTTCACCATTGGTAATTTTGGTCATATACTGACCTACAAAAGAAATGCACTAATACTATTTTTAAAACAAAAACAAATGAAATTTGGAATGGAAAGGGGGAAAAAATAATTTTAATTTTCAGAAGAAATGTTTTATTCTAAGATACATTGTCTTTTTCACCACACAGTTGAGGAAAAAATGAAATATTTTCATAAAATTTGGTAAATTACATTTGGCTTAAGCAGGGTACAATTTATGTCACATCGGTAATATTTTAGCCAGATAGCGAGAATTTGTTTCAAGAAGGTTGAATGAACAATAGACCAATTAGAGCCACAGGAGATATATTTGATAGAATATCTGTAGTAATATTAGTTGTTTATATAACAGAAAATCTTGTCCTTTGGGTTAAGAAGTTATAAGGTTTGGTGCATTTCTTTTGAGGTTGAGTATGTTGTGAAAAACCCTGAGGCACAGAGGATGTCTGAAGTCTTCCTGAATATCCCTTTAATTTTTTATTTAATTATTATAATTCATAGATGCAAGCTTTTGCATGTGCTTTGAAGTTTGAAGATTAGCTCACCTGGTCTGTTGGGTGACCTAGAGTAGAGATTTAGATTTTAGACTTTTCACAAATGTTTAAAGGAAATGATCCTATGTATTTTTTATGCCTGAAGTGACAGTAACGTTTAATTACATGCTTTGCAAAATGGTGTGGTTCTCAATACCTGGCAACCTTCCCTGCGGATGTGGGAATTATTATATATTATAGTTTTATTTAACAGTTGTTTTTTTGTTTGAAGTTTATGAATCATCTTTGAACATTCTTAAATTTTATTTTAATGTAATTTTTTTTAAAGAATTTTTTTTTTTTGCAGGACAGGTAAAAAAACAACTGATTTCTATTACAATTTTCAAAAGGTTTTAAGATTTAGTGTTTCTTAAGTGAATTGTTTTTTAGAATAAAATGATTAAAAAAATGAAAAACATTTAATAACCCTGCTAATATATTACGTGATAGAAAGGAATAATCTAAATGAAACAATTATCTTCTAGTTTAAAATAAATATGTAAATTTTTGACTTTATGGTAGTATATGAATTAACAATTGCCTTTTGATAAAAGATTTAAAAAAATTAAAATGACCATTAATTCTTCATAAATGAAAAAAATTTGTTAGACATTTTGTATTTGCATAAATATTTTGCTGTTTTACATCTGTAAATTGTGTTGTGTATGTGCTAATTTCCTCCCAGAAGATGGGCGACGTCGCCTTGATGCCCATGGTGATCTCAGCAGCATGGACCATGTGGATGGAACAAGGAACGCAGGTAGTAAAGGTGAGCTTTGATGCGGCAGAGTCGGCTCAGTTTGTTGTCTGAGAACATGCATGATTATTGTTGTTGATATATTCTCCTAAAATGCAGTTTTGGCACTGTGAGTGAGTATGGTTTTTCGCCGCTTTTAGCAATATTCCAGCAATATCGTGGAAGGGACACCATAAATGGGCTTCACACATTGTACCCATGTGGGAATTGAACCCGGTTCTTTGGTGTGTGGAGCGAACGCTTTAACCACTAGGCTACCCCACTGCCCGAGAACATGCCTGGTAATACACAGCTGTTAAATATTTTCTGAGATTAAAAGCGGACATGACACTAGTGAGATGAACTTTGTTCTGTTTTATTATGTTTCTCTGTTTTTAGAGAAGAGTTGCATCCCTTTGTTGTGCTAGGATCTGGTGATAATGGGTTTTAATCCCATATTAATCCCAATTACTATGCTAATGGTTTGTCAATACCATGCTTTTTGTTTTCGAAAGTATCAGTCAGTGGTCTGCTAATATGCTGTGGTATAGCTGACAAAATGTTTAAGGGGGTGTTAGGCCAAAATTTGTTGTTTGTTGGTTGTAAAATGCTACACTCAGCAATATTATATCTGTCCCCGTGTTGTGGGTTTTCAGACGCTTAAGAAACATTCATAGTTTTCTTGGTAATCACATGAACAACCGTTAAACATCTCACTCACTTATAAAAGAAAACTTCATCTTATAAACAAGCCATCATCTGAGTATTTACAATGTCTGTGTGATGCCACACCCCTCGTTATAGCATAAAATCACGATAAACATGGCCGTCTGAAAATGTATGATGTCAGAAAACCTATGATCCAACAATATGACAGCGGTCTATAAATAATTGTCAGGACCAGACAATCCAGTGACTGACATCATGAGCATCAATCTATGCAATTAGGATATGATGACGTGTGTTAATCCAGTCAGAATATTTCATGAAATAATTTGCATACCTTTGCAGCTCAAGAAAATGTATAGGGCTTACGACATCTTGTGTACAATACCATAAGAATGAATCTTTCTGATTTTAGCGATGCCGTTTCCTCGGAACCTATCCATTGATCGTCAACTGACCAATAGCGTTCTGTTGAGCTGGAAACCACCAGAGCAGGCGTCCGGCCTAGAAGTCTCATCGTATCATATCTTCATTGACAAAGAATTCAAAACTTCCGTGCGAGGCAGCGAGAGAACGAAGGCACTAGTAGAAGGGGTTGATTCAAGAGATGTAAGTTGTCATTCCTGTGTATGTCACTCCAGCTTGAGATGCGGGGTAGAATAGGTCTTCAGCAACCCATGCTTGCTGTAAAAGGTGACTATGCTTGGCGTAAGAGGCGACTAACGGGATCAGGTGGTCAGACTCGTTGCATGTCATATCCCAATTGTCTGGATCGATGCTCATGATGTCAATCACTGGATTGTCAGGTCCAGACTCGATTATGTACAGACCGCCGTCATATAGCTGGAATATAGCTGAGTGCAGTGTTTAACAACAAACAACAACACTCCAGCTTTATAACTGTGTGAGAATCTACGTCGAAACGTTGCTATATGCAATAAACAAGACGTTGTTATCCATAAAGTTGTACGTTTTCTTATTTACTCACCAACTTCAGTCATACCTGTGTTGTTGTTTCAAAGTCATACCTCAATGAACCGAGAAAAATACACAGTCAATGCTTATAATTAAATTCAACACCGAAAACATACAATAGTTTAACCAAAAACAGTTGTTAATATCAAAGCATTAGAAAATGATGAGATTGATAAACATTCCAGGTGTAGGAATATATACTGTGGCGTGACATGAATCAGGTGATTGTATAATTTATGCACATATCTTGACACGTCTACAAAGTCGGTGGCCAATCAACGGAGAGTAGAATCAAACAAAGTTCATTGGACCTGTCAATAAAGGCAAGAGGCGACAGTCAGACTGTATCGAACCGGAAAAATATGTCCGGGAGAAGGCGGCTGTTTCAAATGACATGGTCAGTTGCCACCAGATTCGAACATTGATTCCCTGAGAACGGAAGGCACAGTTGGAAAAAAACTAGTTAGAAATGAAACCCGAAGACATGAAAGTTGTGGAACCGAGGCGAGCAGGAAAAAACAGTCGAGAGAGCCTGCACGTTTGCTGTTTCATTCCTTCTCGTCTTTCGGTCCCAATGGGTCGTATGGATAATGAATATGCATGGATTTCGCTGAAGGTCCTGTGCATGACGATACACGTGAGCAGAGAGGGAATTCCCTCCACTGTAATATTGTATCCCCAGACATTCCGCAGTGATAAAAGTAGTCCACTTGTTGGGCGTGGCTTAATTTTTTACATTCATTGGAAAATGAATGCAATAACACATGACCAATTCAGCTAATCAGAATGCAGGAATTTCAATGAACACAAGGAAAATTTAATTATTATCACGTGAACAATGATTTTCTGTGAAATTTGTTTTGTAGGATTTTAATTGGCCTATGAGTTTGTAACTGATACAGTAAATAATGACGGTGATGCTACGTATATGTGACAATGTGGCTGTGGTAATGACACAAAATGAATCTTTGATTACCATTGAGGAGATTACCAAGACAACAATTTTATTTCCAGATTCATCGGATCTCTGTGCGATGCCTGTCTAACAAAGGCCAGTCAGTAGATGCCCAATGTACAGTTCTAGTTGGCAAAGGTAAGCGGGACACAATGCACCTTGAAACACCATCTGGATCTGAAGTACTTGCTGATGATATGAAGTTTCTGCTGGTGATGTTAAGTACATGCTGGTAATGTTAAGTACATTTTGAGAGCATTCTGGTGATGTTAAGTACATTCTGCTGATGTTAAGTGCATTCCGGTGATGTCAAGTACATTCTGGTGATGTTCTGTATATTCTGCTGATGTTAAGTACATTCTGGGGATGTCAAGTACATTTTGCTGATGTTAAGTACAATCATGGGCATGTTAAGTACATTCTGCTGATGTTAAGTACATTCTGCTGATGTTAAGTACATTCTGGTGATGTCAAGTACATTCTTGTGATGTTAAGTACATTCTGCTGATGTCAAGTACATTCTGCTGATGTTAAGTACATTCTGGTGATGTTAAGTACAATCATGGGCATGTTAAGTACATTCTGCTGATGTTAAGTACATTCTGCTGATGTCAAGTACATTCTGCTGATGTCAAGTACATTCTGCTGATGTCAAGTACATTCTGCTGATGTCAAGTACATTCTGCTGATGTCAAGTACATTCTGCTGATGTTAAGTACATTCTGCTAATGTCAAGTGCATTCTGCTGATGTCAAGTGCATTCTGCTGATGTCAAGTACATTCTGCTGATGTCAAGTACATTCTGGTCATGATAGGTTAGGGGTGGAAAGAGTCCAGATTTAATACCACCTATTACCAGATTAGTATTAGGTCTCAAGAGTTTGGTAAAGATTGGGAACTGTTTTACTGGAGCCCAGGCAAAATCTATTTAGATACACCTATAAAATGATCTGATTATACTTACACTGAAGTTGACTGATACTCTATCTTTACTCAAACAGATAAAAGTCAGAAGGAATGCCTGCATAGTCAGAATGAAATGCGAACATGAGCGACTTGATGTGAAACCACAGTATTATTGTCATTAAACAGTATATCATGTGACTAACCACGGGTCCAGGTAGTCCTGTGGGTCCTACTCAGTACCCACCAGACCCAAGTACCCGATCACCCGTCCCAGCCCTGTGGTAGGAGATTGTTATGACCTGACATTGGGGATCAGTGGCGAAGTCTCGTCGGTTCCTACTTTCATAGTCTCTTACTAATCCTACAAGTACATACCGCTTGATAACTCAGTCAGTCATTTCCCCTGCAGATGCCACGCCGACACCCTCCGAGTTGAAGATATCTGACATCACTGCTAACTCTGCCACTGTTTCCTGGTTGCCTGGCAACAGCACCTACCAGCATTCCATAGCTGTGAACGGGAAGGAGGTCCGCGTCGTCAAACCCAGTGTTTGCAAACACACTCTTACAGGTATGTATGTCTGAAATAGTATATCCTCAGTAGATGGATCCGTGAAGATCAGAGTAGCAATAGGTCTTCAGCAGCCCATGCTTGCTATAGAAGGCGACTATGCTTGTCATAAAAGGTGACTAATGGAATCGGGTGGTCAGGCTCACTGACATGGTTGATGCATGTCATCGATCCCAATTGCGTAGATTGATGCTCATGATGTCAATCACTGAATTGTCTGGTTCAGACTCGATTATTTATAGACTGCCGTCATATAGCTGTAGTAATGCTGAGTGAGGTATTAAACAACAAACAAACCTTAGTAGATGAGACAAGCCCTGGACAAAACAAAATGGCCTCTTGCCAGGGCTGGCCCCTAATCGACAGGATGCTGGAACATGATCTGTTCTGACAGTAATGTTTCTTATCCTCTTGCCAGGGCTGGGGGCGGTCGGGTAGCCTAGTGGAGAAAACGTTTGCTCGTCACGCCGAAGACCTGGGTTCGATTCCCGACATGGGTACAATGTGTGAAGCCCATTTCTGGTGTCCCCCGCCGTGATATTGCTGGAATATTGCTAAAAGCGGCGTAAAACCATACTCAATCACTCACTCACTCTTGCCAGGGCTGGCCCCTAATGCAGTACACAAGGTGACGGTTCAAGCCAAGAGTCTGACAGCGACGTACGAGGATGAGAAGAATCAAAAGAGAAAGGAGATGCTATCAGCCAGCACTGAGTTTAAAACAGTAGCTGGAGGTGAGTTACACATGCTGACCTATAATTAGCCCATTCCTTCTTCAAAAGGTTTATTTCTACATCAGAGTAATGCCCCTCAGTTGTTTTCAGGGGATGTGGAGTGGCGTAGTGGTTAAAGCATTTACTCTTCACACTGCAGACTGGGTTTGATTCCCCACATAGGTACAATGTGTGAAACCCTTTGTTCCCTGCCGTGATATTGCTGAAATATTTCTTAAAGCAGTGTAAAACCATACTCCCTCACTCAATTTTCAGACTTTATTAATGTTTGCTATTACTATTATTGTTTTTACAAAGTTCCCTTTTTCATGTCCATGGCTAAACACACTTAAGCCAAGAATAAATAAATACGGCTGCTATAGAGCGTTTAATGTTGTGTGGTGGTAGTTCCAAATGTTAATATACTCTAACCACACTAATGTCTGCATAGCTTGTCATGTATGTAGATCACTTGATTGTCTGGTTTGTTTACAGGCCGCTGTCGCATGGCAGGAGTACTGCTGTGTGGCATCAGTCAACAAGTAGGGCAGGACACGCGTACCCTTTTCGCGAACACCTGGTGTCATCCCCGACTTTCAGTGATCCATTCATATCATTTTCACCACTATTTTCCTTTTATGCCCAATGGAATCTGTTTCCATGGATAATCCAGACTGGTTATTCTCTGGCATTGACGTTCTATATTTACCCCCAGGGCTTCCGGACCCACCCCTCAATGTTCAAGTGGAGGCGGGGCCCCAGGAAGGCACCCTGCTCCTAACATGGCTGCCAGTCACCATCAACACATCAGGGTTCTCAAACGGTGCCGTTGTCACGGGATACGTGGTGTACGCAGATGGGCACAGAGCTAAGGAGGCCAAGGGACCAACAAGTAAGTTCTCTCGAAGTTTCCAAGGCTGTGGTATGTTGGTATGTTGGTATGAGTGAGTGAGTGAGTGGGTTTAACGCCACTTTTAACAGTATTCCAGTTATATCGCGGCGTGTCAGCTTAATGTGGGAGGAAAGCCCGTTTTACCACTTCGATGAAACCCACGAGTACGGGTATGGTGCTGACAAACCTAGAAATATAATCGGGGCATACCTGGATTCGAACCCACAATCATAGGTTTCTTGCTTGCCCAAGGGACGCAACTCTGCACAGCAAATCGCGGCGCCTTAGACGACTGGGCCACCCATGCCCCCTTATGTTGGTATGAAGCCATGCTAGATCCTTATATGGCTGCTCTACTTGTCTGGTGACTTTGTTGATGCATGTACAAATTGTGTAGATCAAAGCTCATGTTGTTAGTCAGTGGATTATCTGGTCTTCAGCAACCCATGCTTGCAGTAAAAAGCGACTATGCTCGTCGTAAGAGGCGACTAATGGGATTGGGTGGTCAGGCTAACTGACTTGGTTGATGCATGTAATCGTATCCCAACTGCGTGGATCAATGCTCATGACATCAATCACTGGATTGCCTGGTCCAGATTTGATTATTTACAGACAACTGTCATATAGCTATAATATTTCTGAGTACAGCGTTTCACAACAAACAAACAAACATTAGTTGCACATCGATTATACTTCTGAATTCCATGCACCCAAAGGTCCAGATCCTCAAGGTCCGATTTATCATTGCCAGATGACCACATTGTGCTGGGTGCTGAAGATTTCCAGGGCTTTATACCAAAACAACTGACTGTACGAACTTTGACCGTTGATCGGAAAGAGTCCGCAGACTCTAGTGTTGTTCGCCTTCCTCATAATTTAATCAAAGAGGTCACCGCCAGAGCTGCCAAAACTGTTGCCAGCGAAGTTATGTCAAGGTCATCCCACAGGGTAAGCTACAAGGAGAAGCATGCAGCTGACGATTGTGTCGTGTCATCATGGATATGACATTTCGTCATCATGATGTGGGCAGTGTTAATTCTGTTCTCTGTCATGTTATATAATTCAAGGACTTTCATTTGTATTTTTTATGCAAGATCCTGTTGAACTTTTTGTACTAGTTTAACAATCCTGGATAAGTTTGAATTATAAAATATTTTTTCAAGTTATGGAAAGCATGAATATTTTAGAAGATTATTTTTTGCAAAGAATATTTTTCAACTTGTGTTTATCAACACCACAAATACTGCTTAGGCCAGACTTTCTTTTAAATTTGCATTACGAAACCACCAATTCTCTAAAAACTGAAACGTGAAAAAAAAAAAGTAGTGGCTTTTGTTATTCCGCCAACCTGAAATAAGTACAATGTTTAAAAAAATAAATTAAAACCTGTTGAAAATTTATCTTAAATAACTTAATAAAACCCAATGAATTATGATAAATCCTGAAATCATTTTGTTTTTTTCTGACCAACTGAGCTGACTTTTTTTCACGTAATGTCAATTGCCCCCACCCCCTAAAAAAAAAGGTCTGGCTTATGGGATTGTGCATGATACACATTAGGTAGCTGAATAAATTCGCACTTTTAGGAGTTTTGCCGTAAAATGGCAAATCTTCAAGCATGTTCCTTCTTTCAAATGCAAGGGCTATCTTTGAGTGTCAGAAATAAAAGTAATTTATAAATTTTGTTAACAGCATAGAAAAATGACCCCATATCACAGACGGTTCCATGTAAGTCTGTTTATTTTAAATCACAACTCAGAGAATTGAGACTTACTATCAACATCTGTTTTAGACATGTGTAAGTGAGGTCTAGGTTTTCAAATTTTATGTGTACTTAAAATAATAATATGTGTATTTAATAAATCGGGTAATTGGTAATCAGTGTCTTTTGGCAAAAACTATATTTTTTAGTTATGACAAATTTTAAATATGTCTTTCTGAGTTGTGATATATTATTTTATTTCTTTGTTCAAATATTTCAAACACCTTTGAATTCTTGCCCAAAACTTGACGATTGTTTGACCTTTGATTTTATATCATATTTCTTTCAGTGATGGTTCATGCCGAACACAATTTGTTGATATACACCACTCTTTAACTGATTGAATTATTTAATTTACAAAATGCTATTTTTCAGGCTTAACCCATATTATTATACCCACATTAGAGTGCTCGGCCAAGGGAGATACAGACTTTGTTGTCAATATCATATATATATATTACGGATAAAAATAATTTGGTCATTTCAACTTCTAGATTGGATCGTTTTAAGAAGGAAGTTTATTATAGATTTAAACATTTATAGCATCATAATTTGAATTCATTTAGAAGTTTCACATGGTTTTAGAGATAAGTAATTCTTTGTTTTTCTTTTAAGTAATTTTTATTGTTTATGTTTTAATATGTCTATGAGAATTGTATTCTGGATAAAATTGTTTAATCAAAACAATAAATATAAACAGTTGAATGAAAAAAATAATTTCAACACCAAATATTATTTTGTAAGTCTTTTTTTTTTTTAAATAAAAAGAGATAAGAATAAGATCTTTGGGAACAATGCAGTTTACCAGGCGCAGTTTGGTTAGTGCTTATTGGCGAATGTGGCTCTTGTTTCATAGATCTTGCGTGCCTCTTCGATCATTTGGGTTGGTTGTGTTAGGGTTAGGGTAGGTTACCCCCAACTCTGTCCTTAGCCCTTGGATCCCCTTTCCGATCAAATACCCCTTCATATCCTTAGGGTTAGGCACCACATGCCAATGAAACACCCCTTTACCATCCATAGAGTCAGGCACACCTTGCGAGGTAGGGTATGGGTTAAATGTTTCCTGTTAATGAATTAATCCATTGTAATTTGAAGAAACTCCATACAATTCAAATTTTGAGTTTCACAGCGAAAATGGCGACTGCACATGCACATAAAGGAAACAATCGGGTGCTGATGACTTGGTAAACAAGCACTAATTATTTGTGATAGCTCCTGTGGTAGGGTGTTGGCTGATTAGATTAACTCATTAGCCTAGCTGAGCTTCAAGCTGGAAGCGTGAACTCGATCATCCACAAGGCCCGAATTGAAATCCGAAAAAGTGTGCCCGGTAAAGTGCATTACTCCCAATCTTTTCAAGCAGTTGAACAAAATAATTTTCAATATTTCTTTTGAAATTTCAACATGTAGATCATTTGGTATTAATTTCTGTCTAATTTTATTGTGCGTTATACTTCAGTAGACAGGGAAAAGTTCTTATATATCAAATAACATTCCATCTGTTCAAACATGTTTTTGATATACCCTTGGCCTAGCACAGTAGATAACTGATGGTTTGGGGTCTCCTTGAATCTATATCCGCACGTTCTCCTTTTCTGAAGAGCTCCAAGTCCCCGACAGGAAATAGTGAGAATGCTGGGAATGATACTGATGAGGAGATTGAGGCTGCGTTTCGTGAAGCGCAGGAAGCTGGCGAGCAGCTGTCAATGGTGGGTTACGTGGGAGATCATTCTGACCAATCGAAAACAAGTATACATTCTCTGCTTCAAATTTGGAAAACTTTCAAAATTTCGTTAGTGCATGAGTCAGGTGTAATTTGCATTTAAATGAGTAACTGATCAGTTGATTTTGTTCTTACTCGAATTAGAAATCTAAAAAAAATGAAGTTTATTTAAAAAATAATTAAGTGTTATCTCACAATTGTATTTTGTTGTCATGGAAACTGAATCATAGTGCACATGGTGGAAGTGCAGTAAAATCATGGGTGATGGATGCCTTGTTGTCATGGTAACCACACAATAATAATCAAGCACGAATCCCTGTAACATGTTATGTGGTGTGAACTCGGATACTGCTCTCTCTCAGTCTAATTTCGGAATGGCTACGTATTGTCCTTGTCAATGTTGATGTCCATCGAGAGTCCAGAACAAGTGCCTCCATCTTTCCTCTCCTTAACCCTTGTCTAGTCATAGCCAGAATTAACCCTCTGTAAGTCAAGTATACACAATTTTAGTGTTAACCCAACTTGTAACTCTTAACCCCAAATTCTTTACCTATACTAACAATTCTATTTATATTTTTTCTTTGAAATTTGCTTATTTTATTTTTTAAATATTTTTTATGCATGACCTTGATATTTGATTTGCCAGCATGAAATTTATTTATTTATTTTTTTCACATTTGCATGCTGAGATCAATTCATTTGTGCATGGTCTGGGTTGGTTTGGCTTCACATTTATAATTTGAACGTTTTTATTGATTTATGTATTCAATAAATTTTATTAACGCAGAGTCCAGAAAATTCAAATTACGCGGACCCGTACATAGAAAGTAGCAGCTCAGAGCTCTCTGATATTCCTGAAGTGGAGGAGGAATTGATTGGTGCAGAGGAGACCAATCAGAATGCAGATGTCTCAGGACATTCCCTCTCATTGGTTGCTCCCTATACACAAGCAACCAATCAGGTTAGACTTCAGTCCAAGTTGATTGCCAAGTGGGAAGTTCAGGTTGAATTTAGAGTCTCGTGAACAGTTATCTCCCTTGTCTCATCACTTTATGCATGCCTTTCAAATTGTCAGCAAAACTATGTTTTTTTATGCAAATATTTGATTTCTTGAAGTGTTTCGTTTTGAATTTTTTCGAGTATAGTTTTAATTTTATAGAAAATATTAGTACTCTAAACTATAGCATCTATGCCTATCAGTTGTTGTATGTCCGAAAAATAATGATAATCATCATAATAATAACAATAATACAACCCTTAGTTCAGAACATCTTGTCTCAAGAGTTCTGGATTTGCTTCTACTTTTTTAAAGGGATTTTAGCTTTTGAATTTGGATTTGAATTCCAAACTTTTACCAATTATCACATTTTTAATATTTTAAAAATATCAAAATGGCCAAAATCTCTTTGAAAAAGGGAAAATATCTGAAGATCTTTTGAGACATTCCCAATAGCTATCCAGACCACCGCTAGAAGACATAAACTTTGCAAATAAAATATTAAAGAGGGGCTTATATAATCAATATAACAAATATATTTGCTTGCTCATCTAACATTGAAATTTTATATCATGGGGAACATTATTGGAATCAAAAAAATTCAAATTCTAACCAAAGCTCTGTACAGCTTTGGAAACAAGCTCCATTCAAAGTATTTTGTTGCTGAAGGGATATTTGTTAAAAATGACAACGTTTGAAAGTGTTTTTTAATAGTATTTAGAAAAAAATACTTTCAAATCCACTGTCAGATCTTTTCACACAAGATATTTGTCTTCTGAACATATTAAGCCTACCTATACTACTCAAAAGAAGTAAAGGAACACACTTCTTACATGTGACTATCGAGTTAATCTGTCATGGCATGAGTGCTTAGCTGTAGCCATTTGAAAGAATTGGATGTTCCTTAACTTCTTTTGAGTAGTATATGTTCATGGGACAGAAGAAAAATGTCATGTGATTTTTATGTATGGTAATAATAGATATTAATCATTTGCTTGAATGTAATGCCTTAGGCGGATGACAGAAAATCTCCGAAACCAGCACCAAGGAAGACCGGAGTGGTTGGATTGTCACCCAACAGTGATCCCTCATTTCAAAGAGAGGATACCCCTGGCAGTGATAAACTTCTGCCTCTGCAGCGGAAAATACCGGCTATAGGTAATCATATGAAAAATGGCTTTAGGTAATGAAGTTTTTACCAGGAAATCGACAGATTATAGGTAATGAAGTATTTACCGGGAAATATGCAAGTTATAAGCAATGATGTACTTACCAAGAAATATACCTATGAATACACAATGCCATTTAGAAAGTGGTCATATGTAGCAAATGTTATATTTGGGATAACACTTTCTTAGTAAAGTACAGATTCTCGTACTTTTTGGGGGTTGAGTCCCGTCCGGGATTCGAACCCACACCTGCCAGAGTGAGGCACCTAATCGCCAGCACACAAAGTCAGCGATCTAACCCACTCAGCCACCGAGGCTTCCACAAAATGAAAGTCTGACAACTGGTAGTCTAGATCACGTACTTTGAGTACCCCTCTGACAAGTGTAAATTATTACCAGGAATTTCTCCACTGTAGATCAGCACATACTTTATGACCAGGAATTTCTCCACTGTAGATCAGCACATACTTTATTACCAGGAATTTCGATCTGAAAAATACTATCATGAAAGTGTATCTCGTGGATAAGCCGACCCCTTTTTACAGAATCTTTTTTCTGGTCCTCAAAATTCGGCTTATCTGCGGACATATACGGTACACCAGGATATGACCAGTTATATACCAGCTATAAAGATATTCTGATACTTCCAGGAATACCCCAGCTGTAATTTATCAGTAAGTCTATACAGCTCATGAGATTTCTACCAGGAACGTTATTTATTATCTATAGGATATGAAAAATCTCTCTCTTATCTTAGAACCTCTATTTCTGTGAACTTAATGGACTACTTTTTAAAGGTCATTTGATTTATGATCGTTATTTGTTTGCTCATGTGCACATGCCCAAACACGTGTATGTAATATATTGATACGCCATAATGGTGTGAGTGCCTTGCAAGCATGGCCTTGTCATCTACAAGACGTCCTTTCTTTTTCTGTCAGTTAGTTTACATATTTCTTTTCTTAAAACATGCCGTCTGTGCTGGAAATTAAAATAAAATTGGATCCTTCAATTATTTTTTTGTATTTGAAAAAAAATATAGTCAGGAGGAGAACTATTACAAATTCTTTGTTTGCCATTTAGTATTTTTGTGAAATGTTACAATGTTCAAATTATATATTGTGGCATAAAAACTATTTGTGATTTGTTATGATATTTCCATAAGAGTGATAATCAGGCTTTAATCAGCTTTAAACTTGTTTTTCAATATTCCTGATTTTGGGGGCTTGCAGATCACGAGTTTTGCTTATTCCTATGTGATAACCAATAATTGGAAAATTCCTGGTAATGAAGTATGTGATGACCTATGATGGGAAAATTCCTGGTAATGAAGTATGTGATGACCAATAATGGGAAAAATTACTGGTGATTTATGTGATGACCTCTAATGGGAAAATTACTGGTAAAGTATGTGATGACCAATAATAGAGACATTCCTGGTAATAAAGTATGTGATGACCTATTGTGGAGACATTCCTGGTAATAAAGTATGTGATGACGTATTGTGGGGAAATTCCTGGCAATAAAGTATGTGATGACCTCTTGTGGGGAAATTCCTGGCAATAAAGTATGTGATGACCTATTGTGGAGACATTCGTGGCAATAAAGTATGTGATGACCTATTGTGGAGACATTCCTGGTAATAAAGTATGTGATGACCTATTGTGGAGAAATTCCTGGCAATAAAGTATGTGATGACCTATTGTGGAGAAATTCCTGGCAATAAAGTATGTGATGACCTATTGTGGAGACATTCCTGGTAATAAAGTATGTGATGACGTATTGTGGGGAAATTCCTGGCAATAAAGTATGTGATGACCTTTTGTGGGGAAATTCCTGGTAATAAAGTATGTGATGACCTATTGTGGGGAAATTCCTGGCAATAAAGTATGTGATGACCTCTTGTGGGGAAATTCCTGGCAATAAAGTATGTGATGACCTATTGTGGGGAAATTCCTGGTAATAAAGTATGTGATGACCTATTGTGGGGAAATTCCTGGCAATAAAGTATGTGATGACCTATTGTGGGGAAATTCCTGGCAATAAAGTATGTGATGACCTATTGTGGGGAAATTCCTGGTAATAAAGTATGTGATGACCTATTGTGGGGAAATTCCTGGCAATAAAGTATGTGATGACCTATTGTGGGAAAGTCCTGGCAATATATCACATTAGACAGGCAACCAATTAGATTTGCTGTTTTGCCTTGTTTCTTTGTCTGTGTGCCAAAAGGCAGGAAGCAAATAATTATTCTAATGCTTGAGCAGTTAATTTCCTAAAAGAAATCTTGAAAGATTTCACAAAATTTCAAACTCACATTTCTAAAGAAACATTAGGATAGGCTGTCATTAATAATTGCTATAAAGAAAATAAAGTTGTTAGAAATATGCCATTGGGTTTAAACAAAACGATCTCATTTTGGAGAGAGAAAGATTTTCCTTCTGTCATATCTACTGCTCAAAAGAAGTATAGATTGACTATAGTCATAGGAAATATACAGATGTTCTTTAACTTCTTTTGAGTAGTATATACGAGTCAGATATTGAATTGTTCATGTATTCATAGGGGTCCATTTTGACATGTGAATATTTGTGAAATATATCCTTAATTGTGTTCGTACTGTGTTCAGTATTGTCATATTGAGAAAAAATACAGACATGAAAGATAAAAGTCACATTATTCATTTGTGGTAGGTAAAATTTAAGAAAAGGAAAATTTAGATTTTCAAGTGGTTACTTATTGAGAAAAGATCACAGATGTTTTGAAAAAAAGAACGGAGTAAAAACCAAAAAAATCTCGCTTATTGTCAAGGTTGAATATTGGTTCCATATCTTGGATACCGGTAAGAGTCTTTGAATGAAAGAAGTACAAACAGTAAATTGTTCAAAATAATTATACATAATTGATCCAACAATAGTTTTACTTTTGCAAAATGTACAGGCTTATTGTTAGACAGGAAAATATGCTGGGTATTCTTATTGATAATAAAACAACAAATATTGGTCTTCAGAAATCACCCGTGATAGCAGTACCGAGAGGGGAACTTCATTTGAGGATGATTCTGAAAATCTTCCGAAGAGGAGCTCATCGTTTGAGCCGTCAGAGCAGCAGTCGGAGACTCCCCGGAACACCCCCCCTGTTGTATCAAGGAGGAGAGTGTCGCCAGGACAGAACTTCAACGCTGATTCAGACAAAAAGGATTTCCGGGATCGCAAAATGACCACACCTACTTCTGCGGACTTTGACAGATCACATGATCATGGATCACCAAGAGGTCAAACTCCGATCAAGTCGAGACGAATCAGTCCCCAAAGTCCCGGCTTCAGAGAAAACAGGAGTACTCCCAATGAAAATGGCCATGACCTTGACTTTGATGAGAATGGAGACGTGGACTCAATTTCAGGGGAGATAAATCCTCCCGTGGATGACAACACAATACGACTATTTATTGCCTTGTTTGATTATGATCCTCATGTGATGTCACCAAATATGGATGGTGCTGATGAAGAACTGCCCTTCCGTGAAGGTCAAATTATTAAGGTATGTTTTTTAGATTTATCCTCCAAAACTAGCTTCCAGAGATATCGCTTAGGTGAGGAGCATTCATGACTAACTCGTGTTATTCCGGGACAAGCCAAATAGCGACTCATGCCATTTTTACGACTGGGTTCCGTCTAAGTGGAAACCGGCGTAGCTAACAGAATTGTCAACTCGTTGCTTAATAATTCATGTTTATTTCCCACATATATCCTATATATTCCAGATGCTATTGAATACACATCAGGACTTACAGTATTATACAGTACATTTGAACACATTGAAATGAATCTTGGGTATATTTTTAAATGCAAGACATATGTAAAATCAAAAATTGTTCCTAAGGGATTCTTTGACCGAAGTAATTGAAGTCAAACGCACATTCTGATTGGTTCGTTACTCACATAACATTCATCGATAGGAGGACGAGTCTTCTTGCAGGTTACGGAAAGGGGGGATGAATGGGGCGAGGAGATATCGCTACAGTAAATTGCATCACAATGCTTTCAGATGACATCATCAGTTACCATGACGACACAATTAAAAAGACATCCCTTATCTCTCTGCCACTGAAGCTGTTCAGCTCTACTTTTTACACTCAAGGCACTGGTTGTTACTGTTTACAAACTGAAAAAGTTGGAAGTAAACGGGAAATAGTATCTCACCCTTGTGTCCTTTGCTATCAAGCTTATCAACAGTCGTGGATAAAAGTTAAAACTCCTCAGTGTTCTAATCTGTTCTTGACTTGTTTTGGTATATACTCATCGCCAAAAGAAATGCAAACCATAGAGGTGAGGTGAAATGGGGTTATCGTCATATCCAAGATTATTCCATTTATATTGCGGTATGCATGCACGCGCGTGTGTGTGTGTGTGTGTGTGTGTGTGTGTGTGTGTGGCTGTGGCTGTGGCTGCTTGTACTAGTCTGGACTGATGCCGATTTATAGTGCTAGCCCACTGAGATACCATGCCGCAGTTTAACATGAATACCCCACTAGACACAGTATACTGACTCCGAGCCGACCAGCCCTTGTTTTAGCCCCTTAATGCCAAGTGCCAGACATGGTAACAAAAAGTACCATCTTTTAACGTCTTCTGGTATGACGCGGCCGGGGATCAAACCCCGGACCTTCCGCTCTCCGGGCGGACGCCCTTGACCACGGAGGTGGTCTCAAACCATAGAAACATATAGAGAAGTAGGTACACTAAGAAGAGATGTTTCCAGTGTGTACCACTTAATGACAAAACTAACAATTAGTCAAGTGTTACCACGCTTCTCCTACAAGAGACAAATGGTGCATCTCACATCATGGATCTATAACATCACATATGATGCGTTCATGAGTGTCGGTTCACACAACATAACAGTATGTTCGTTTGTGCATCAAATCTCATATCTCTCGAATATGAGTAATTCTTCAAATATCGATCAACATATATGGTATTCACGTTTCTTTTGTCAGTGCGTATATTTGTTATCCAAGCATTATGGAAAAAGGAACCCAGATTATTGTCTGATGATAATTTATGAATATTTTCTGATTGGATACCCATGGGCATCTTCAAGCTAGACGACCTCAATGTTCTAGTGTGTCTGCCCAGAGAGCGGAAGGTCGGTGGTTCAATCGGGGTGTCGGGGAGCCTTGTGGTTAAAGCGTTTGCTCGCCACGCCGAAGACCTGGGTTCGATTCCCGACATGGGTACAAAGTGTAAAACCATTTCTGGTGTCCCCCATTGTGATATTGCTGGAATATTGTTAAAGGGGCGTAAAATCCAAACCCACTCACTCACTCACTTGGTGGTTCAATCCCTGGCCATGACCTAGAGATGTTAAAAGATGGTATTTGTTGTTACCCTGCCTGGTATTTCAAATACTCAAATATTTTGGCATTTTGTAAATTGCCTCAGTGAAGATTTCAGTCATTTTACACATTGAATGTAACATATATACCTTGCAAGAAAAGGATTTATGTGGGAATGTTACAAAAGCTGTGTGTCAATCATGGCTTACTCAATCCTGTATGTGGTTACATCTTCGAGACTATAAAATAAATTTTAAAGCAAAACAATTAATCAACCATTTGCCAGATTAGTTTCATTGGTCTTTTTATCCCCACACACCTGAGAGCAGGAACGAATAAATATATAATATCGCTTTTCAAATATCAGAAACATGTCTAAATCAATTTCTGCATTGCTGCGGTTTAATTTTTTTGCCAAGAAATGGTTTTCTTTCGCTTCAGGTGAAGTCTCTGCTGGTGTGAGTGGGAGAGAAACAGATAATTATTCAAAATGTCACTGTAATAATAGATGTTTAGATAAAACCATACAGACGTAATTAATTTTTCTTTGTTTTGGAAAAATGGCTAAAAAGGTGATGGGCAGCCTTAAAAACAATCAAACGTGTGGAGAGAAACAAATAATTATTCAAAATGTCACTGTAACTGTAGATATTTAGGTAAAAGGTTGCAGACATAATTAATTTTTGTTTAGTTTGGAAAAATGGCTAAAAAAGTAATGGGTAGCCTTAAAATCAGACACATGTGATGTAGTATTTTTTGCTCACTAGGACAGTGTTAGATATAATTTGTGACCTATCTTGTCTGTTAGTGAACTTTCTGATTGTGGCTTTTTGCTCCAGTTAGTTGACATGAAAACCGAAAAATTAAAAAATTGTCACTAAGTAGGAAAGTCATTTTTTATGAAATGAATGACGAGTGGGAGTTATTAACGTACAATGAAACACTGCAGGGAGAATAAAACCATGAGGGGCGCAGCCCTGAGTGGTTTATTCGTTTATGCTTCCTGCAGGTTTTTATTGTACGATAAACAATGACCACAAGTCATTTATTTCTTATATGAGATATCAACCTTTTGTACAGCCTTTTTAAGGATTTCAATAAACTGTACAGGCTTTAAAAACATTCACCCGTATTGAAATAATGATGACTCCCCGAATACAATCAGACCTCAGCAATGTCGGACTACTCCATTTTATGTAGAGGGGGGTTAAGTTTGATATTCTCACAACCGTCACGTCGCTTATCTGCACCTTTTCTCCCAATACTGATCATCATATCTCTCCTAATTTTGGGTACGATCGTTTAGCCATTGTGTTCATCTGTGCTGTCCAGCGACATCTATTTGGAACAACTCACTAGACACTTCCCTCTCAAATAACGTGTCGTCCAGTTTACGACGTCATCAAGTTGCGAGCGCATGTTCGAATCTCCAGAAATGACGTCATGATAGAACAATGTTTTATTGTGAAATAAACGTTTCGTTCTTCATTGTTCTTTGCAATTTACCTCGTAGCTCTCTTATATAACTGTGACACCAGCTGTCAACTCACATACAATGAAGATCCGTGTTAGAATTGGTCTCCAGCAACCCATGCTTGTAAAAGGCGACTAGCAGGATCGGGTGGTCAGGCTCGCTGACTTGGTTGATGCATGTCATCGTATCCCAATTGCGCGGATTGATGCTCATGATGTCAATAACTGGATTGTCTGATCCAGACTTGATTATTGCTGAGTGTTGCGTTAAACAACAAACAAACAAAACAAAAATCACATGCAATGTACCAGGTGACCTACAGAGCCATGGTGTTATTATTGAGGTATTTCAACTGCTTGGCCAAGAAATACCCAAATTCAATTTATGATTTTTATCAATATAGATATATGGTGAGAAGGATGCAGATGGTTTCTATCGGGGCGAGTGCAATGGCCACTTGGGTTATGTCCCTTGCAACATGGTGTCGGAAATCCATATAGACGATCCCGAACTTATTGACCAACTGCTCAAAGAGAGTCAAGGAAATCCAGTCAACAAGTCTCAGCTGCCACAAGGTGGGTATATACTTGGTCATAACTGTCACTGGTGTGTTGATTACCTATATTACAGGGCCCTGAAGGTCCGGGTAGAATATGGTTCCCAGGAATCACTACAGGAGACAAGGATTGGGTTGTGGGGATTTGACAATGTCACTACTGAAGATACCTTTAGATATTCATAAAAACCAGCACCAGGGCCCACTTGCACAAAGCGATCTTAGCACTACGACTATTGTAAGCCTATGTTAAAGTATGGGAGTTACGATCATCTTAGCACTAAGATCGCTTTGTGCAAGTGGGCCCTGGTGTCTGAAGATCTGGGATAGAATAGGTCTTCAGCCATCCATGCTTGTCTGCCTGCATGAAGATCCGGGATAGAATAGGTCTTCAGCCATCCATGCTTGTCTCCCTCCATGAAGATCCGGGATAGAATAGGTCTTCAGCCATCCATGCTTGTCTCCCTGCATGAAGATCCGGGTTAGAATAGGTCTTCAGCCAACCATGCTTGTCTCCCTCCATGAAGATCCGGGATAGAATAGGTCTTCAGCCATCCATGCTTGTCTCCCTGCATGAAGATCCGGGTTAGAATAGGTCTTCAGCCAACCATGCTTGTCTCCCTCCATGAAGATCCGGGATAGAATAGGTCTTCAGCCATCCATGCTTGTCTCCCTGCATGAAGATCTGGGTTAGAATAGGTCTTCAGCCATCCATGCTTGTCTCCCTGCATGAAGATCTGGGTTAGAATAGGTCTTCAGCAACCATGCTTGTCTCCCTGCATGAAGATCCGGGTTAGAATTGGTCTTCAGCAACCATGCTTGTCTCCCTCCATGAAGATCTGGGTTAGAATAGGTCTTCAGCAACCCATGCTTGTCTCCCTGCATGAAGATCTGGGTTAGAATAGGTCTTCAGCAATCCATGCTTGTCTCCCTCCATGAAGATCTGGGTTAGAATTGGTTTTCAGCCACCCATGCGTGTCTCCCTGCATGAAGATCTGGGTTAAAATAGGTCTTCAGCCATCTATGCTTGTGATAAGAGGCAACTGACGGGTTTGGGTGGTCAGGCTCCCTGTGAATATTGAAAAACAAAGATGATCAGTCCATTTCCACTCCCTCATTTCCACTGTTGTTTTGTCAGACAAAGATTATCATCCAAAGATAGAGACGTCAAGTCACCGGACACTTAACGGCCTTCCTCCGATCCTCCCGGACGAAGTCGGCAGGAGGATGATAGCCGTGTACGACTACGACCCCCAGGAGTTATCACCTAATGTGGATTCAGAGGTAGCGTAGCCATAGAGAGGGATTCATATATAACCCAGTAACAACATTATTATTATCATCATCATTATTATTATCATTATTATTGTTGTTGTTGTTGTTGTTATTATTGTACGACCCAGAATATGTAGAGGGCTTCATGGAAAATGATAAATACAAAATTCTTTGGAATGGGCCCATTTACAGCCTCATACGTATCCAGGCCAACAAACCTGATCTTGTTCTTTTGATAGATCCAATGAAATCATTTATGTCATTGAATTTTTTCTGTCCCCTTTGACACTAATGTGATTGACAAGATTGAGGAAACAAATGGCAAATATGCGGACCTCGCTTTCAAAATGTCACGCTTGCATCCCAAGTACCAAGTTGCCCGACACCCCATTGTTCTCGGTGCCTTAGGTTTGGTACCTCCCAATATGTTGACTGACATTGGGAGAGTACCCGGGTTTGCTACCAGGAATACAGCCCTTCTGACAATCTGGGTAATGCAGAAGGCTGCAGTGTTGGGGAGTCTTCACATTCTCCAAAATGTTCTTGCTGGGTTCGACTAGGCAGCGCTTCCTGGGAGAAGTCCCATTCGCTGTCTGGGCTGCGTGTAGAGGGGGCAAGGACCCTGAGCTGATGATGAGCCTAACCAGCCTGACTGTGCCAGGATCACCCAAACCCTCTTTGCTGCATTTATCTGAAAAATAATAATAATAATAATAATAACATTAATAATGATAATGATAATAACAACAATAATAATAATAATAATTATAATAATATAAATACCAACAACAATGGGCATTTATTGTGGGCCAAATCAACCATGTTTTGCATGCCCGTAGCACACAAAAAGTACCCATCAATAAATGCACTGCATGTTCATTTCCAAATTGTAAACACTGACAACTGTATTTCATCACAACATTTACCCAGGATACAAACACAAATTCCAACCTGGCTATTCATTCCTCTCTCCTGTGACTTTGTTTCCAGCTCGAGCTGACTTTCAAAGCCGGTGACATCATAACAGTGTATGGCGAAATGGACGAAGATGGGTTCTTTCGGGGCGAAATGAACACCCGTCGTGGATTTGTGCCGTCCAACTTCCTACAGGAGGCTACAGGACCACTCTCAGATGACGAGGCGCTGGAGAGTGCCAGCATGGTCTCTCCGTCTAGGTCAGGCGAGAGTATTAGCGCGCTGTCTCGGAATTCAGACGGAATTGCAAATGTAGGTGCCTCACTTGCAGACATGCATGTGGAAACCCCGTATGGATCTGACAGTGCTGGTAAAATGCTTGCTCGGTAGAAATGCACGTGTTTTCGTTTTTATTTGGGTGGCCATTCTACAGCTAATTTCTGTTGCAGTATTTCCTAATCTCTTTTGAGTTGGATTTGGTTGATTTTAAAAGCAGAGGGGATATTATTTTTTTTCAATTTTCAATTACCATTTTTCTAGAATCATTAATGTTTCTACACTGCTAAAAAAAAGTTAAGCACTGCCCGATTCTGTCATATTACTATTATTACTCTCATGCCGTGACACATAAACATTAGTAATATGAAAGAATTGGGTGATTCTTGACATTTTTTTATTAGTACAGTTGTATTAAATTTGTTCTTTTTCAATTATGAATGTTTGGAATTAGTATTTTTGATAAAAAATTGAAGAGAAAGTTGAAAAGTAGTATTAAAAGGTGTAATAACTACTACATGCATGTGTTTTTTTCATAGAAATATATATTTTTCAAATTAGAATTCTGTTTAAGTTAAATAAATTGCACACTCATAATGGTCTGTTCTACTTGTCACATCAGCACAGTCACACACTAATCATAAGATAAGGCAGTGTTCCGCTAAGACAAGTCACTTCTTGCACTGAGAAATAATGAGTGCCTAAAGCATGTAGACATTCATAAGATGTTATGCTAAGATCCCAAGTGGAACACGTCCCATCAGGAATCTCTAAGTTCTAAAACAGTCAGACTAAGCACACTTTTACATCATCTTATGATGACTGTAGAGCTATAGCAAGGCCTCTGTTCACAAAGTGATCGAAGAATCTCAGAACAACACCTCACCTCACCTCACCTCACCTCACCTCACCTCACCTCACAGTTGGACATAACTTAATGATCAAGAACAGAATATCAAACACCATTTCACCTCACCTCACATCACATCACATCACATCACATCACATCACATCACATCACATCACATCACATCACATCACATCACATCACATCACATCACATCACATCACATCACATCACATCACATCACCTTATAGACACTCCACAATAAGATCTTGCATTGTTGTCACACTAAGATGGATTCCCTGATCATCAAACCCATCTTAGCACAGAGTTATGGCTCAATATTCAAACAAAGTTTTTGTAAGAATGCATATTGCATTGTCGGGGACGACTTTCATTTCCCTTTCATCTGAATATAAACTTGGCCTGGTCGGAATCAAATCTGAAAACAATCTGCACTTTGTTAATAAAAGCGTCAAAACCCTTTCTGTATTCATAAGTAATCTGTGCTTAAAGCAGAGTTGATTGTACAATTCCGGCTAAATCGTGAGCGTTTGTTTATGAATCACTATCAAATAGACCCTAGTGTGAGCGTGTCCTGCCCAACTAATGGTACCTATCACAAACACACCCACAGGCAAGTCAATTATCCACCTGAAATACACAGGATACTTAAAAGTAGAAAAAATACAATACTTCAACTGCCCAACAAAATACGATCAACTTACACCTAGGGTTAATGTTATTATTTTTGATAAATATGACTTTGCTGCATGACTAGAAATAATAGGTAAAATAACTAAGATTTGTCTTTCTTTCAGTTATATATATATATCACTTTCCAGTAATATTTCTCCTGTAGGCACTGTAAAATATATTGCTATTCATTTCTAAATTGTTGGTTTATTTCTTATTCTTAGGTTGATTGACAATGCATTGAAGTTTGCAACTTTACAAACGGAAAATATCATGGATATATTGTTTCCTTTTAGCCAACGAAAGTTATATCTAATAATGCATGTCTAAGTTTTTGCTTTTATTCGTAATGTAAATGTTTCATATGCAATGCTAAATGGATTGATATTTCTCTGTTTGAACAGTTTTTGATCTCGAAAATTAGCAGTGCTTTAACCTCTAGGTTTGGGAAATTCTAGGTAAAAATCTGAATTTAGCTTGTGACTATGAAAAGCACTAGCACGGGTTTTCATATCTGAATATTGTACACTTGATATTCTTTTCACAGTTTTATATATTTCTTGAATTTTCTGAATTTTCAATTAGATTGAATGTATTCAAGTTATGTGTTTATTTTAAATTTACGTTTCAAGTAAGAGGAGATACAATTTTGATATGATATGCATGGCTGCATGTTTTTTATAGAAGTTTTATGAAGGATTGATTAGAGAGATTGGTATTAGATGCAATCACAAATATTATGGGGGAAATTGTTGACATGTTGATGGAAACAGATCTTTATGATTAAGATTAATAGTTTTCTCGCTTTACAAACTCAATTGTGATAATAAAATGACATTGTTACAAAATGAGCAACATCTCTCTCTCTCTCTCTCTCTCTCTCTGTGTAAAAAACTACATGTTGGAATCAATTTAAAGTAGATTAATAGGTTAGGTTTGTATTAATCAAAATATAATTATATCATTTCAAATAAGATTATACATTAGCACCGTAAACAATTACTGAAATAGTTATTAGGGTCAATGATATACAAATATTAGACCTTTAATTTTTTTTACTGGTTTACGGATAAGCCAGCCTTTTAATTTGACAAAAATGGGTAAAAAGTTGGTGTTATTTTATTAAACCTTATTCCATCAGCAATTAAAAAAACATTTGATACAAAAATAATCTTGTAACTAAACACTATTTGGAATGCATTTTTGGATACTTGAAGAAAGTAAGAATACCAAAATTAATGACTTTCAAGTTCTTATTTAAAGGTCAAGAACAGCTGATTTTTTATTTCCCTTCTTATTGAAATAAATACAAAGACGCCACAAGTCAGTTGTCATCTATTTTTTAACCCTTGTATTTTGACCAACAACCAAATGTTTTTGCATAAGATCCGTAAAACAAAATTTAATACATTTTGGTCTAATTTGCATTTCAAAATAGTAACATTTTAAAATTTGAGTGATGCATTTAGACCTAGAATTCACAGACTACATGCATGTAGATAGCTATTAAAGTGGTATCATCTTTATTGCATTCAAACATTTGTCTTGAAACTATATTTTGTCATTTTTTTTGAATTTTTGAATAAAAAATAAGTTCTCCACTGCTGCTGAAGTAAGTATAAGAAAATGTTTGCTGTGATGTGGCACTGCACTGTCTGTGTTCCTTGGCATGGTCTGTTTTGAGCACCAACATGTTCCCTCTCTTGTTTTGCATATAAATGAAGATAATGTATGGTTGTATTTTGAAGTGCCAGTGTCTAGGGCTCTTGCCTAATGTATCCACACAGATATCTGCATTGGGATATGTTTTGCAATTTATTGGGAGCTGATTGACACTGATTGTACATGCAGATTCTATTTTCTCATTACTAAAGTTAATATTACCTGGTACTCTGAAAGGTCAGTTGCCACCATTTTGTTGTCATGGATACAGGGGAGATAACAATTAATGTGAGAGAAAAATTCATTTCCAAATTTCTGCTGTTTTGTCAATCAATTTCAAAGGGAAATGTCATTTGTGAATGAGTTTTAGGTAAAATGATACAAATAGTAATGTAACTTGACAAGTTGTTAATGTAACAGAACAATATCATATTGCATATTGCAGTGTACTGGTCCTATATAACTATATAAAATATAGACAGAATAGGTCCCCAGTTCACTCAGACCCACCATTTCCTTCTTTGAAGTAGGGGGCACGGGTTGCCCAGTCGTCTAAGGTGCCGCAATTCGCTGTGCAGAGTTGCGTCCCTTGGGCACGCCAGAAACCTATGATTGTGGGTTCGAATCCCCGTTCGCCCTGATTATATTTCTAGGTTTGTCAGCACCATACCCGTGCTCGTGGGTTTCACCGAAGTGGTAAACGTCTGAGACCTGCATCACTTGGGGCTTTCCTCTCACATTAACCTGACACGCCGTGATATGACTGGAATACTGTTAAAAGCGGCTTTTAACACAACTCACTTACTCACTCTTTGAAGTAAGGAGCCACAGTGTTTTCAGGATATCCAATCCTATGATTTTAAATTCACTTTTTAGTTTGCAAAAATATTATTTCCAAAAATTACTGGAAAATAATAGAACAATCGTAAAAAAGAAAATGAAACTACTGGTCCCAATATGAGGGTCCAGTGTGGGTTTGGGGGATTTTTAAAGGGAAGTTGGGAGGGAGGTGGGTGACACTTAAATGTAGCCATCAAGTGCTGCTTATTCACAAAATATGACCTATTTTTAATATCCCTGGGTTTTTCTATCCTCTGGTGTCATATGCAGAAATAGAATTCCATTTTCGCATAGTTAGGTCATGTGTTAGTTTAGGTCTTCCAGGGGTGCTCAGGTAGCCTTAGTGGTTAAAGCGTGGTAAAAGCGTCACACCGAAGACCCGGGTTCGATTCCAGACATGGGTACAATGTGTGAAACTCATTTCTGGCGTAAAACCATACTCTCACTCATGAGGTTGTCATGCCTCAGGGTATCGCTCGATGGCCTCTTCACAGGTGGTTATCTATTTCCACTTATTCTTTGTAAACAGCAAAATAATTAACTGAAGGACTGATTGTTTTGGGCAACTGAATTATTTCTGTAATAATTTATCATGGGTAAACTTTTCTACAGGGATCCCTGGATTTTGTTTGAGTGTTTAAGTGTCAATTGCCCCACAAACTTCTTTCTACCAGTTCAGTCAACCCATCATTGTATGGAAGGCCTGACAAAATCAAGGATGGACATTGGCACTTCAAATTATGCATTTATTATTTAACAATGTATAATGCCTGTTTTGAGTTTGCGATCAAGTATGGATATGTAAGCATGGTTCAAAATCTATTCTAGATTGGATGTTTGGAGTAAACTCTTGTTCAACATTATTTTGACTTTGGGAATTCACTCCATGATATTAATCACTGGATTGTCTGGTCCAGACTCGATTATTTACAGACAGCTGTCATATAGCTGGAATATTGCTGAGTGTGGCGTTAAACAACAAACCAGCCAACAACCATGAATTGGTTGATGATATTTTGGTTAAGCTTAGCAATGATTAACTTACAAAAATGATGCCCTTTTTCTTGACCTTTGAGATACATAAATGTAAAATGCAAAAGCCAGAGAAGAACCGGTCTCAATTATCTGCTGAAACAGATTCTTCAGGGCGTATTAAGCAAAATTAAGGTGAAAATTTTATGAATGGGTCAATAAAAATCTGTGATGCCAGGTGTTTAAAAAAAGGGTAAGCATGTCCTGCCCTACTGGTAGAACCCGCCACTCACACAATCTGCATAAAAAAGTGTTTGTTGCCTTACACTGCACATCAGTACTCCTGCCGTGTGATGGCGGTCTGTAGACAAACCAGACAATCAAGTGATGGACCAGACAATCCTGTGAAGCACTTGAACCATGTCAATCATATCCATATTTATTTTATGATATATTTATGTGAATGAGTTGGTGAATTAAGGTTAACACCGCTTTGAACAGTATTTCAGTTATATCACGGTGTGTCATCTGTGTGGGAGGGCAGCCCAAGGTGACAACATTCATTGACATTTACCACTTTTGTGAAACCCATGAGCCCCAATCGCTTGCAAGCGATGTACTGTGATTCGCCTTAAAACGGGGCGCTAACTATCAGCTGTGTGCATTGGTCCCAGTTGCTGGCTGAGGTCGCTTCCTTCTCAAACCAAAATGGCGACGTAGTTTGACAGCGGAACAAGAAATTCTTGACTGGATCAACTCTGAAATGAGCAAAGGCAGCTAACACCCCAGTCCCCACCTCAGTCTGCTCCACATCTTCAAGGCGGTCGGGTAGCCTAGTGGTTAAAGCGTTCGCTCGTCATGCCGAAGACCAGGGTTCGATTCCCGACATGGGTACAATGTGTGAAGCCCCGCCGTGATATTGCTGGAATATTGCTAAAAGGGGCGTAAAACCATACTCAGTCAGTCAGTCCACATCTTCAAAGTACTTATAAATTTCGTCATCGAGCCTCTTCTATTACGTTCTTTATTAGGGCAAGGCAACCGAGCGGTAGTTGCACCACCATATTGGTAGCATGTACAAACCCTTCTAGCTGTTGCAGACCAAGGGATGAGCGATTAATTTGCTTACGACCCGTGAAGATCCGGGTTAGAATAGGTCTTCAGCAACCCATGCTTGCTGTAAAAGGCGACTATGCTTGTCGTAAGAGGCGACTAAAGTGATCGGGTGGTCAGTCTTGCTGACTTGGTTGATGCATGTCATTGATCCCAATTGCGTAGATCGATGCTCGTGATGTCAATCACTGGATTGTAAGGTCCAGACTTAATTATATACAGACAGCCGCCATATAGCTGGAATATTGCTGAGTGCTGCGTTAAACAAAAAACAAACAAACAAACAAAAATGTGCTTACTTTAAGCGATTCGTGGCTGGCAACGACCTCTGGTATTACGCTCGCAGAACAAGAATCATAACCAGGGTGAAACCAGCTTCAAACCCATGAGTTGTCACCCTAGCCCGCTGGGCCACCCTGCCCCCAGACAATTCAGTAGAATTGATCATAGAGTACATATGTCCTGAAATGTCCTTTTATTTCAGGTAAATTGTATTTTTCATCTGGTAGAAATAGAGTCAGGACTGTTAATTTATTACAATGAATTCATTGTCTTCTCAGATATGATTTACTGATTATGAAATGTTTGTAGTATTTATATGAATGTATTCCAATTATGAAATTATATATGTGTGAATATGATTTCAAGTATAATATTTTTTAACAAGACATCATGGATAATTATCATTTGTTTGTATACTATACAATAAATATGTACTTATTATATTTGAATATTTGATGAATTTTGTTTCAATAATTGTAACTGATGTTGCAGACAACACGCTTGGACCCCCCCTCACCCCGGAGCGAACATCTGAAACTGGATCATGTGATATCCCCGAGTCCTCGTGTTCCCCAATCCAACCAGCTTCAATCCGAAGAAGACAAACGCAAGAAAAAAGGAGGAATTTTGAATAAAGGAAAAAATATTTTCAAAAAACTAGCCAGATAACAGTGACACATGTGAGCTGTTACCACTATCTCACCCAAGTGCGACAAAAGACGTTATGATAACGATTTTGTATTTTCCTCAGACGAAAAGTATTCCCAAGATGCTGTTTGAAGGTGTTGAATGCAACCCGTTTGTCTCCTTGATCGAACACCAGGACCCTGAATCTGGAATAAACAGTCTACTCGTGAGCAATAGTGTCCATAGTTGCTCGATGATGATTATGATGATGATGATGACGATGATCCTGAAACTGCGCGGATATGATATCATATGTCGTGAAGTAGCTTAAAGCTTATAATAAAACAATTGATCAGATGGACACCCGTATGCCGTGAGCCTGTATTGATGTATCTGGACTTGTGCGATGCTTGAATTAAGTCATAATTTGCATATGCTCTAAATGTATATCAAAATGGCCATTCCAGCAAGTGATACTATTTATTTATGAAGCAGCACCCTAGTTACAGTCGTCATGGGAGAGAAAGGGTGATAAAACTAGGAAAGAGGAATGAATTCCTTTGCATTGCATAGACTCTAGTACCTGGTTGGGGAAAGAGTTCCTTGAGACAGATCAAGGTCCAGTCTTTCTTCCATCTACCCCTTTAAACCTCAGATCCAAAGATTCAAGAGATGTTGATACAATGTGCTATGGAGCCTGGTCAGAAGACTTTTTTCAGTGTTGAGAACTGAACAGTCAATATTTATAGGGATATCACTCTTCTAAGAGGAAATAACCCTTTGTCCAAGGGAGATCACTCTAACAAAGGGACATAACCATGCAGAATCCAAGGGAGATCACTTTAAGCAGGGGTCCTGAGGCCAAGAGGAGATACAACTAATGATTTGAAGAGGAATGTCCCAGATTTGCCACTAGTACTTGACCATTTAAGAGTGTTTGTTGTGGGCAATGTGACTGTGATAATCCTAATGTCTCATAATTTGATGGTTGTAGTTAGAAACAACTTGAGATAGCAGTAGGTAGATAGCAGTTAGGCATGGCTTTGTGAAGCCCTTTCATGACAACAGTCATCAGCTGTGCAGCCTTAGGAAATGATGTGCCAATGAGAAACATATATAAGAACATTTACATATATGTGGTATGCTGCGAACTCCAAGGATCATATTGGAATATTTTGGCACATCTTGCCCAATCAGTGTTAGGAGCTGATAATTTCAGCCAATCGTATTTGAAAGTGAAGATGAACCGATGACATGCTGAATATTTTGGCTCATCTCAGACATTCAGTGCAAGGAGCTGACAATTTCAGCCAATCGTATTTGAAAGTGAAGATGAACCAATGACATGCTGAATATTTTGGCTCATCTCAGACATTCAGTGCAAGGAGCTGACAATTTCAGCCAAGCGATGTGAAAGTGTAGATAAAACGGTGACAAGCGGATGTCAGATGAGAATGGAACATCTCATGCTGAGAGGATAATTAGTTTTTTATAAGGTATCACACTGCACTGTGATGTTATGGAAATAAGAAAACTAGTGGTTTGGATGTGTAGAGATTATGTGACATGTCAGACGATAAAATGGTAAAGTTCCAGTGATTTGGGATTGAATATAACATGATTATTGTGTTGTTTGCATGACTTCAGTGGCTGGTGATTTCACACAGTGGATACCTGTAGACAGTGATGCATTTTGTAACCTTGGTGTACATGCACTGACATATGCATGTATAATTATATCTATAAATATAGAACCTGTATTTATTTTGTGTGACTAGAACTCTTATTTATTGTTGACAAGTAGTGCAGACTGCAGAGTACTATGTTTCAGTAAGGATTCCGTATGTTATGTAGTGCTGGAACAATGCAAGGGTGTTGGGGTAGCCCAGTGGTTACAGCATTCACTCGTCACACTGAAGACCTGGGTTCGATTTCCCCTCGGGTAAAATGTGTGAGGCCATTTCAGGTGTCCCTGCTGTGATATTGCTGGATTATTGCTAAAAGCATCATTTTTTTATTCAGATACGACACATATGAAAGATTCCATAAAGGCAAGATAATTTTTTAAAATTCAAACTTCCTGACAGATCCTCAAAGAAAGGAAAGAAAAGTTTAAAAAAAAAATACATTTGTTTGCTAGACATACTAGATGTCCTACAAAAAGAATATGTGTAGTAGAAAATGTGGGAGAAATATATTGTATGTCTTAAAGCACCAATCAAAGTAAATATTCCATCTGTAACACCATTCCGTGGCCTCTCCTTCCCCGCCCAGAAAATAACATCAGGGTGCCGTTCCACGAAGCAATTTTAGCACTGCGATTATCGTAAGCCTGTGTTAAAGTATGGGAGTTGTGATCACCTTAGTTTTAAAACCGCTTTGTGGAACGGGACCCAGATGTTGATTTAGCACAACTATCATAAGCCTAATTCTAAAATATGGAAGATGCAATCATCTTATCTTTAAGATAAGAACAGGACCTTCAAGATCCCCGTTGCACAGAGAGATCTTTGTGCTACAACAATCGTAAGCCTTTGTTAAAGTATGGCTTACGATTTTTGTAGCACAAAGGTCACCTTATGCTAAGATATACTTGTTCCCTTGTGAGATTGTAGCTTCAATGGAATGTTTCAGCCTTATGTTATGTAAGCATGACTATCAGACTGTGTTAAGTACCTTATTTTCTTGAGTATAATACACACCCAAGTATAATGAGTAACCCCCTCTAGCGGATTCAGTATTTTGGCGAAAAAATTTTTTTGTATATTATGGGCAGAAAAAAGTTACACCATACCCCTTCAGTGAATTCCAGTAAAAAAACGGGTGATAAGAAACTTGGTCAGTACAAATTTGAAATTTGAGATAAAAAATCACCAGACATGTTGATTTACCATTTAAATTGTATTTTTTGTTCTGCTAGGCATTGTTTTACATTGGATTAAGATTACCTTGTGCATTTTCTCGTTAACTAAGCTGTACACACGTTTTCTTGGCATCTACCGGTCATTCAGTTAAGTCCAGATATACACTGAACACTTTTTATAACCAGACAGTGTAATTATGTGATTAATTTGTGTACTTCAGTATGGATTTGTTGACATTGTATTTCCGGTGTGACGTGCACAAGGTAATGTCTTTGCATTGGGGGAAAAAAAACATCAAAACTCATTATGGCGTGTATAATGCGCACCCCTTCCAACCAGCTGTATTTTTTGGAAAAAAAGTGTGCACTATACTCAAGAAAATACAGCACTAGTTTGAGACTGTGTTAAATTTCCTCCTTAACATGTTCCTCCTTAAAATGTGAAAATAGCTGCGGTCTTAATGGATGGATGAGCCTCAATTTGCCACCTGATCAGTATTTAATTTGTGTAGATTTAAATTTAAATGGCCAAGTTGTTTTTCCCTTCATTAGGATATGATAGGAAGGAAAGAGGTTCTTGTCATGTGGGGGGCGCGGGTGGCCCAGTCGTCTAAGGCGCCACGATTCGCTGTGCAGAGTTGCGCCCCTTGGGCAGAAACCAATGATTGTGGGTTCGAACCCCGGTTTTGCCCCGATTATGTTTCTAGGTTTGTCAGCACCATACCCATGCTCGTGGGTTTCACCCAAGTGGTAAAAGTCCAAGACCTGCATCACTTCGGGCTTTCCTCCCACATTAAGCTGACACGCCGCGATATAACTGGAATACTGTTAAAAGCGGCGTTAAACCCAACTCACTCACTTACTCACTCTTTTCATGTGTTTAGCAATAAAATAGGTGGAAAATCGCCATGATTGTTTTGTAGTACAGTGAAAAGATATAACTGCTGTTTTGTAATAAAGTAAAATAATGCTAATGTGTTTGTAATAAACATATTGCTAGAATTACTTTATGAAACTGATGACACTTGAGATTGCATGTTGATATTAAATATTAGGCCAAATTTGTCAGTTGCATGAAATATACATTAGATTGTCCTTGTCAGCTAGATATTGGTGCTCATTATATGGGATTGGAGAGTTTTGTGCATTTTTGTAATTTTATTGTTTAACCCTCTGTATCCATGCTTGCATAACGTTATTTGCAATGATTATTATATAATTACCGTAAATATTCTGTTTATAGGAACAAGACCTTTATTGGAGTTTCAGTCCTGTTAGATTGACTGACAATTTTAGACTTACACCGCGAGAAGTCATACATGTGGTTTATGCTACTGGAAACATCATCTTGTTTAAATTACATTATAAAACAAATATTAAGATTGCAAAGATTCATTCATGGGAATATATTGGAGAATTTCAGAACCAACTGGTTAGAAATTAATATGTTTGATTTGTTTCGGTATAGAAATTCATCATTTGCATTTTCATTATTGACATTACTGTATTCGACATAATAAGCACCCGGGGCGCTCTCAAAATTAGAAATAGGGGGTCTTATTAGAACATAATTTTGTTGATAAAAAAAACAGAGTTGGATGATTGTAAATTTCATAGTTTATGCTGACAGCCTGAAATGGTACAAAAGAAAAGTCTGTGTGTACATGTATTATACATGACAGATATATTTTCCAGAATTTAATTGCACATAATTAAGGGTGCATATAAGACATGAGTGTGCATTATACGCGAACAAATAAGTCTTGTGTACATTGATCAATCGGAAGGGGTGCTAATTGGGATTGTTCACTGCCAATATATTAGCAAATATGGCCGTGGGCGCTTATTAGAACGGGGCGCTTATTACGTCGAATACAGTATTCATTTTGTCTGTTGCTTCTGAAGGTGCATATTGAAAGATAATGATCCCGTGAAGTCAGTTTACACCAGGTTCTCTAGCCAGATTAATGATGCTCTTGATTTATGGGCACCTGTTGTCTGAAATTCAAATAGGCCAGTATACAAACATCAGGAATTTTATAACTCAATATCAGGAATTCATTTACATCAGGAATGTGTACATTTCTGTAAATGTACAGGTTTTAATAAATAAAGATCTTGAGAAATTTAATTCTGCTTAAGGAATATACAATACAAGTGTATATTAAAATGGTATACGATTGATGTTAAATGTCTTTCAGGCACTGAAGAGTTCTCAAGTCTGTTACTTTAATTGACTCAAATTTATTTAATTAAATTTGGTTGGGCCTTTTTGCGATTCTTGCTGATGGACTATCCCCCTGATATAACAGGCATTGAGTTTTGATGTATTGTATCGTATTGAGACCTTCCTACTGAAGTAAGTATCGTGACAAAGTATATATCATTGCTGTCAATAGGTTACAAACCGACATAGACTCTTCTGTTTGTAAACGGACCTTACGTTATATTTTGGCTGCTAAAATGGTAGCAGGTTGGCTTTGTAAACTTGAAAAACAAGAACGGTAATCAGTGCTGTGTCTCCTGGTTTCGCCGTTAAGAAGGGATTTGTTTCCGTGTAGACAGCTGTTCTAAGATATTACTCTTCGATCTCATCTGTATGCATTTGGTTATTCAGCATTATGGTAAACTCATAATCATATTTACAAAGTATACCAAAGTTTGAAGACATTTATCGAGTATGTTAAAACATGTAACTAAATGTACCGGTCATACATCAATGTAGTTCTGATGACAAAAACAAATTTCTGAAAATTATTAACATAAGAATCATTGCAGTTTGGACAAAAGGGCTTAAAATAGAAATATGTTTCTCGGGGACTGGTGTGACACTTTAAATCCTGTCTGTCTGCTGTCCGAATTTTTTTTTGTTAATTTCTTTTTTTTTCATTGCCAAACAATGTTTCAAATGTGCTGTGGGGGCACGGGTGGCCGAATCGTCTAAGGCACCGCGATTCGCTGTGCAGAGTTGAGTCCCTTGGCACGCCAGAAACCTATGATTGTGGGTTCGCCCCGATTATGTTTCTAGGTTTGTCAGCACCATACCTGTGCTCATGGGTTTCACCAAAGTGGTAAACGTCTGAGACCTGCATCACTTGGGGCTTTCCTCCCACATTAAGCTGACACGCCGCGATATGACTGGAATACTGTTAAAAGCGGCGTTAAACCTAACTCACTCACTCACTCACTCACTCAAATGCGCTGTGTCTTGTGAAACAAGTGGCCTTCAATTGAAGAGCCAGGTTCAATGGGTGCGAGTTGGGTTGATATTCTTGGTGGGAAAAATATAAAAAGTGTTCCATCCCTCATCACTGATGTAAGTAATAAAATATATTAAAAAATTCAAAAAATGTTCCCGAGAAACATTTTTCTCTTTTTAATGCAGCCTAATCTGATATTTGCAATAAGGCCACACCATTTTTTTACATTTACTGCTGAACGCATCTTATGTTTTGTAATATTAAAAAAAATTGCTTTTTTTTTTATTAGAAATTTGATTTTGGAATTTCTTTTCATTTTTATGAAACTTTTCAAGCATTCTTTTCAAGAAATTAGCCCCAAATTCACATAATTTTAAAGTTCTTGCATCTTTTTGTCATAATGACCAAGATTTCATAAAACAAGAAATAAAAGTGATCTGGTCTAACATATATAAAACAGCTCATTATGAAACTGACTTTTTAATTTGCTCCAGTAATAATTTGCTGATAGGAAAATGGCATTGTGGTGATACCATTATTTCAGGGTTAACAGGTTCAGTCAAAGCAAACAAATACAGTCGGTCATACCACTTACCTCATTATTTCTTTGTAGACATGTAGTCATAATTTCTTGTGATAATCAAATGAACAAGCTGTCGTTTCCTCCTGTTAGTGATGTCATTTGTGATACTGTTTTCCCAACAACTGATTGTACATAATGTAATATTACCCTAACAGCTGGTGACATCTGCTCAAGTGCTACTGGCCTTGTGGCTTATTGTATAGTATTGTTGCCTGTATTTCTAGATCTTTTGTGTATAACATGCCTTCTATGTCTGTAATGAGGGCACCTAGGTTTGTGGCTGACCAACTTTGTTATACAAACAAATGATTATTTTTCAAAATAAACAAAGATTGAAATCAGATTCCATATTTGATTCTGTTGTTGATTTGGCAGTTTTCAACTGTCTGGGTTGTTGTTTTACGTCACGTCATGATCACGATCGAATCAGGTGCTGTAGTGATTCCCTTAGCGGAATTTGTTACAGTCATGTAGGATTTTAAGTATTTAGAGAAGTTTCCAAGACAAACAATTCACTACTGCACCAAATAACTGCGTCAATGTCAATGGAATTTTCATTCTCAGCTCCTTGGGGAGTATACAACCAAAGCTTCCTGTAAGGCACTAAAAGGTAAACAGTCACTTTACTATCTCACCCTCCCAGGTACCCATACACGGCTGGGTGAGTCATATTACGAAGTCACATGCCCAAGGAGACAGCATCGGCCCGAGAGTGCCAAATTTAATATTTAGGAGGAAAAAATCCTCTTGGCGTTCCCGGGACCAGTAAGGACTCAGATACTGTTAACTGACATGGGATTTGGCATTACCGGTACCAGGCAAATAAAACGAGAACAAAGGAGTTCCGCTCCTTTTCGTTATCCTATTTATGCATTAAAGTTGAAAACTGTTTAAAATGTACGTATTCATATCAGTCCCCGTTAAGAGGTTCTGGGAAGTCTATGTTTAATTTTAAGTTTAAATTTATGAGAAGTTTAAAATTTACATATTGAATGGTGCTACTTCCATCTCAAATGGTTCAGCAGGATGAGTGGGCCACTTCTTCAACCTTGTATGCGGTACACCCGACGACAGCATCATTCTGATGCTTTTGTGACAAAATCTATACCCCCTATACAGTTGCTGTCCACCTCTCACGCTCCATTAAAGTCACTCTCACTTGCGCTTTTGCTTTGTTTGTTTAACGCCACACTCAGCAATATTCCAGCTATATGACGGCGGTCTGTAAAATAATCGAGTGATTGATATCATGAGCATCGATCCACGCAATTGGGATCGATGACATGCATCAACCAAGTCAGCGAGCCTGACTACCCGATCCCATTAGTCGCCACTTACAACAAGCATAGTCGTCTTTTATGGCAAGAATGGGTTGCTGAAAACCTATTCTACCCCGGATCTTCCAGGGTCTGCACATTTGCCATTTTGGTAGTATTATTGTTTTTTCTTTAAGTGGCACCTTCTGCCTTTCGCAATTTCGGCTGACCTGTCCCTCTTTCGGACTCCTGTGTGAGTCGGGTACACATATGTATTGCGACTTTTGTTATGTGGTATTATTGTAGAAGATAAGATTTATTTAGCATGCATTATTCAGTGTCATATCTTTAATAGTTTTTATCTTCATAAGCGCTTTATCTGTAAACACATCCGCATTATGAGTAGACTGTAAACAGACAATAACTCTGAACTTGTTTATATCATAAAGTGTATTTCTACTAATGTATGCCTTGTTTATATCCGACCGCCTCCGTGGTCTTAAGGTAGAGCGTCCGCCCGGAGAGCGGAAGGTCCTGGGTTCGATCCCCATCCGCGTCATACCAAGAGACGTTAAAAGATGGTACTTGTTGTTACCCTGTCTGGCGCTCGGCATTATGGGGCTAAAACAAGGACTGGTCGTCTCGGAGTCAGTATACTGTGTCTGAGTGGGGTATTCATGTTAAAATGCGGCATGGTATCTCAGTGTGCTAGCACTATAAATCGGCATCAGTCCGGACTAGTACAAGCAGCCACACACACACACATACACGCGCATGCACGTCGCTATATAAGTGCAATAATCTTGGACGCGATGTTAAACCCCATTTCACCTCACCTTGTTTATATCATTAAACGGTACGCATTCACGGTCCACTGCACTCACGGGTTTTCTGTCGATTTGGCACTCCTGGTACCAACAGCAGAATCTCTCAATTTATGAGTTTGGAACACCTGGGACTATCTGAAAATCAGATTTGGCGTTCCCGGCCGATAACCAAGGAGACGCCACATGGGCAGGGCCGAAGCCCTAGACACTCTCAGGAGTCACGCTGCCAAACACAATCACCCATCCGGGGACTCGCTGTCTTTAGCACAGATTTCTTATGAATATGGAAATTATTTTTGAGGTTCAAATTGCCATCAAACATAAAGTACACAAGACATTGTTCAAATTGAATGATTTATTACCACTAAAACACACCTACAATACACATAATAATAATACTTCTCATAATAAAGTTCACAATATTTACAACAGCCATCCTACATGTAGATTTATGTACATATCACAGTTACATACTCAGCAAGGAATGTACACAACAGCCACTAAATTAATACTGCAAATATATGTCAAATATACATTCAGTACATGAGAAAATTGAAAAATACGAGTACATGAAAATAATTTCTAAATATGGATAGGTTGTTCCAGGAATATTTCATCCATTTCAGCAGTTGGCTAATTGCAGACTCGCATGAGGGAAAGTTTGGTAAGGCAATGGATCAAACTGATCTGAAGGCAAGCTTTGGTCCCTGGAAGTTATTGATGTGATCCAGCTGCAGGAATATTGAATATTGAAAAATAAACAAAATTATACATAATGGTAAAAAATGTAACAGATTATTTCTTCTAAATTCTAGAACTTTTGATCTGAGCAACAACAATGATACAAAAATGATATCAAACAAATAATCAGTTCAGTTACCTTGTAGAATGGAACAAACAATTGTACAATGACAAGTTGATTGTGGTTAGCACAGCAGTGTATTTCACTGTGATAATGCTATGAAAAGTAGTTTCTCTGATAGTGTTATGGAAAGTAGTTTCTCTGATGATGTTATGGAAAGTAGTTTCTGCATTAGTATTATGGAAAGTAATTTCTCTGATAATGCTATGGAAAGTAGTTTCTGTGATAATGCTATGGGAAGTAGTTTCTGTGATAATTTTATGGAATGTAATTTCTGTGATAGTTTAATGGACAGTAATTTCTCTGATAGTGTTATGGAAAGTAGCTTCTGCATTAGTATTGTGGAAAGCAATTTCTGTGATAATTTTATGGACAGTAATTTCTCTGATAGTGTTATGGAAAGTAGCTTCTGCATTAGTATTGTGAAAAGTTATTTCTGTGATAATTTTATGGAAAGTAGTTTCTCTGATAGTGTTAAGGAAAGTAGTTTCTAGTCCTCAGCTGCGGAATCTGCCTCAGCAGGCACTGCATTCTCCATCTTGTTCTGTCTCATCTTGCGCGTATGTTCGATGAGAGACAGACAGACAAACACCCAGTTGTACAAGTGCTGTGCCGGCAGCGAACCATACTTGGCAACTTCACCATGAGGCACATCTGAAATATCCAAGGAAAACTGTCAGTTGGCGAAAAAGTGAAAAATAGGTCTGTTTATCACAGTCTGCCTGTCCTCTTAAAAACAGTAACGCCATTGTAAAACTCTAAAGAAATTATTTTTTTGGTGGTGCCCAATTCCAGTCTTTTGGGTGGACATATTTCCATGATTTTATCAACATTTCTTTTCATTTTTTTATATGTCTAGCACATGTGAAAAACATCTATTGGATGACAATCAGTCAATGTCCCAGAAAATGAACCGATCTGAAACCCAGAGGTGTATTGCTGCCATGTGTTAATATCAGACACTTTCACATTATAATATTAATAAGGGTAATAAATTATTAATTTAATTAAACTTTTTATGGGCAAGGTCCTTGTCTCCCCTTAAAGATTTAGAACTGGAAAGGTGTGTTATAAAGTGCTTTGGAGAATTTTCACATACCTCTGAGATAATGTTCGAACTTCTCCGAAGGCAGGAGGTCTTCCTGGGCAGTGGGATCGAAGTCGGCAATCTTCTGATTCAGGTCAGCATTGATAAACTGAAATGTACAGTTACAGTTATAAACTGCAGTGTAAACAGCCTTGACCTGTCAAACTAGTGGTCGATAGTGTGAGCATCAATCCATGTCGATAGTGTTCCAGGGCGTCGTTGAACTTAGCGCTACGACTGTCGCAAGTCCATGTTAAGGTATGGGAGTTACGATCACCTTAGCGCTAAGATTGCTTTGTACAACGGCACCCTGGACACAATCACACAAAGGGTCTGGTGGTTACATTGTCTACTACCATTTTCAATACTTTATTATGAGTGTGTGCATGTGTGCGCTCGTATTTGTGCATGTGGTCTGCTTGTACTAGTTCGGTCTAATGCCATCTTTTTGAGTACCCCGTGGCACACTTGGTAGAAAATACATTCCCGTTTGAGTAATCAGCAAATATACTCAGTGAGTGAGTGCGTTGTGTTAAACGCCGCTTTTAACAGTATTCCAGGCATATCACGGAGTGTCAGCTTAATGTGGGAGGAAAGCCCGAGGTGATGCAGGTCTTAGACGTTTACCACTTCGGTGAAACCCACGAGCACGGGTATGGTGCTGACAAACCTAGAAACATAATCGGGGCGAACCGGGATTTGAACCCACAATCATAGGTTTCTGGCGTGACCAAAGGACGCAACTCTGCACAGCGAATTGCAGCGCCTTAGACGACTGGGCCACCAATGCCCCCAAATATACTCACTGCCAAGAGAAACACAAACCATAGAGACATATAGAGAAGTATGTACGTTAAGGAGAGATGTTTCCAATGTGTACCACTTAATAAAGCTTTACCACAATGTCTTTATTCTTATCACAATATGCTGCAAGTGATTTCCAAACTTTACACGCTAATCCTGCAAGAGACAAATGGTGCATCTCGAGTCGTGGATCTATGATGTCAAACATGATTTTTGTTTGTTTGTTTGTTGTTTAACGCCGCACTCAGCAATATTCCAGCTATATGACAGCGGTCTGTAAATAATTGAGTATGGACCAGACAATCCAGTGATTGACATTATGAGCATCGATCCACGCAATTTGGATCAATGACATGCATCAACCAAGTCAGTGAGCCTGACCACCCAATTCCATTAGTTGACTCTTACGACATGCATAGTCGCCTTTTATGGCAAGCATGGATTGCTGGAGACCTATTCTACCCCGGATCTTCACAGGTCATGTCACACATGAAGCGTTCATGAGCATCAGTTCACACAACATACCAGTATGTTCTTTTGTGCATCGAACCAATCTAATATCTCTTGCATGTGAGTAATTCTTAATATGTGCCCAACCATGAAGATAAGGGGCCTTAATGGTTGAAAAATGACACTTTGGCTTTTCAATATATTTTAAAACTACAGCATATTTGGCATTTGTGACCAACACGTGTTCTTCGGGGATAATAGCGACTCATGCCCCTCTCATGGCCATTTTTGCGATCAGGTTCCGTCTTTGCACAAACGGGCATACCTAAAACAATTGTCAACTCGTTGCGTAACGGTTCACATATATTTCCCCATATATTATATATATTTCAGATGAAATTTAAAGCACATTGGGACATGCGGAATTATACAGTATTATTGAACACATTTAACTGTGTCTTGGGTATATTTTTAGATGCAAGACATATGTAAAACCAAAAAGTATTTCTGAGGGATTCTTTGATGAAGAACTTGAAATCATACGTGCATTCTGATTGGTTTGTCGTATTTTCGCACAAAACATTCATCGATAGGGGAATGAGTCTTCTGGCAGGTTATGGAAAGCGGCGAGTGGTGACGAATGCATTTTTGGAACACAAAAATACAATTCACAAGTTTAAAGTCATATTTATAACAGTCATATATGACATCACACATAGCGATCTTCACTGAAGTAAGTTGACGACAAATGTCTTTTCACGTCATAGCACAATTGTATCCTAGCACCCATAAGGCCCCTTTGCTTATAGTGGGTCACATATATTAACCAACGTGTATGGTATTCGCGTTTCTTTTGTCAGTGAGTACACATATGGACTACGTCAAACATTGTAACCAGTCAAACATTGTAACCGTTCATTGTAGCAATCGATGTAACCTTAAACTACAAAAAGCCTATTTACCCCCTTGACTCTGGTCCAGTCATCAAACTCCCCGGTCTCCACCTTCTCCAGGTAGAATATTGCAATGGTGGCCTTCAGAATATCCAGGATGATGGCCGGCGGCTCGTTGTAACTCTTCAGCTCGGCGTACGCCTGTGTGTCCAGCTTGGTCACGTTGTCCCTCAGCTCCATCAGCATCAGCCGATCAAACATGATGTCCATCCGTGCATTGTCATCCTTCTCAGCATCTACAAACAGGCAACAGGCCATCAGATTGGTTCCTTTTCTACAACATTAATCGATTGACATCCAAAAGATGTTTACATGTATATTAATGTTTATGGCCGGAGGTCAATTCTTACAAACATAGTATTTTTACTATGACATTAGATTACTAAACCACAACTTGTAGAAATTCTATAGACATCAGATTACTAAACCACTATTTGCAGAAATTCTACAGACATCAGATTACTAAACCACTGTTTGCAGAAATTCTGCAGAAGAATGTTTATACCCATCTCTCTATATTTTTATCAACCAGAATTTTGCAAACAGAAATTTAGGTACAGATATTTTGTTTTATCATCCAAATAGGCTTCCACATGAGGTTACGCTTGGATGAGATGAAGTGATATCTCCTAGCGCTGCAATGAATTGCATAAAAATGTTTTGCTGATGACACCATCAGATACCATGATGTCAAAATCAAATGACATCACTAATCTCTGCCAATGAAGCTGTTTACAAGCTAAAGAATGATTTTGGATGATAAATGGAATCTCCCCTTCATCTTGTTTTAGATAACTTTAAATATATAATATAAACTTTTATCGACTTGAGTTTATCTCAAGCAAACAACATGAGGGTGAGATTCTTTATTTATAAGTATACTGAGGATGACCTGAGATTTGCAATATACTGGGACTTCTCGTATTAAGGCCCACACCTAATTACACTCATGGGCCTAAAAACGGAAATAATTCTGTATTTAGGCCCATGGACATAAATTTGGATATTTATTTGGGAGTGATCTTCCTGAAATTAATAACTTACTCCTTTCAAAAGTTAATATGTGGCCATGCACTCCGCGAGGCAAATCCTAATGTGCATTCAACAGTAAGTCCGGTCCAAAGTTAAAATTCATGTTTTATATTTTCTTAGTTAAAACAACTTAACAGTTTCTGAATTTTTCAGCAAAGGGTGTCCCCTATTAAGGCAAGAAAGTGTTAGCTTCTGAAATTGAGCCCTGGGCTTAATTTCTGATAACATGTAATAAATGAGTAAGTTCTATTTTCTGTAATTAAGTCCGGGGCTTAAATATGGGTATTCCCATTTGAGGACAAACCAGAAAACTATAATTCTGTTGATGCCATACCTAGAATCCTCATGGACTCCTCGCCTGCAAACTCAGAAGCAATCTCTTTGTGGGCCATCTGCAGCAGTCTCAGCATCCTCAGCGCCTCCTTGTTCTCGTGGGCAGGGAGTTTCTTCATGGTGCCGATACTGATGTCGATGATGGCTACGGCTCGGCCCTGATCGTCTCGGAGGGGGAACGCCAGGTGACGCTCACCATAAGCATCAGCTGTCACTGACTCGGAGTTGTCCACAGACTTGAACAGATAGTCCCTGGAAGTAGACAAGAGGATTATTTAGTTCTAGACTTCCGACTTTGGGACCCATATTGATAAATTGTAGTTGCTTGAAAATGAACAATTAGGCCACACAAACGAATGGTCTTCTTTTACAGAGTTGTCTACCCTAGATATTTCTGCTATGATGTAAATAACTGGAATCATAGCCCAACCAACAAGTTGTTCTTTGTATGTGTATACATGCCATCATGTTACACTGACACACAATCAGGCAAGGTACACATGGTAGCCACTTGTGTGTGTGTTTGTTGTTTAATGTCGAACTCAGAAATATTCCAAACTCGCTCACTCACTCACGAACGAGACCCACCAAAATAGGTTTTTACTCACAAGACCCACCTAAACAGGTTATCAGTCACTTACAAGACCCATCTAAACAGGTTATCAGTCACGAGACCCACCTAAACAGGTTATCACTCACTTACAAGACCCACCTGAACAGGTTATCAGTCACGAGACCCACCTAAACAGGTTATCAGTCACGAGACCCACCTAAACAGGTTATCACTCACTTACAAGACCCACCTAAACAGGTTATCAGTCACGAGACCCATCTGAACAGGTTATCACTCACTTACAAGACCCACCTGAACAGGTTATCACTCACTTACAAGACCCACCTAAACAGGTTATCAGTCACTTACAAGACCCACCTAAACAGGTTATCAGTCACGAGACCCATCTAAACAGGTTATCACTCACTTACAAGACCCACCTGAACAGGTTATCAGTCACGAGACCCACCTGAACAGGTTATCAGTCACGAGACCCACCTAAACAGGTTATCACTCACTTACAAGACCCACCTAAACAGGTTATCACTCACTTACAAGACCCACCTAAACAGGTTATCACTCACTTACAAGACCCACCTAAACAGGTTATCAGTCACGAGACCCATCTAAACAGGTTATCACTCACTTACAAGACCCACCTAAACAGGTTATCACTCACTTACAAGACCCACCTAAACAGGTTATCAGTCACGAGACCCATCTAAACAGGTTATCACTCACTTACAAGACCCACCTAAACAGGTTATCAGTCACGAGACCCATCTAAACAGGTTATCACTCACTTACAAGACCCACCTAAACAGGTTATCACTCACTTACAAGACCCACCTAAACAGGTTATCACTCACTTACAAGACCCACCTAAACAGGTTATCAGTCACGAGACCCATCTAAACAGGTTATCACTCACTTACAAGACCCACCTAAACAGGTTATCAGTCACGAGACCCACCTAAACAGGTTATCAGTCACTTACAAGACCCACCTAAACAGGTTATCACTCACTTACAAGACCCACCTGAACAGGTTATCACTCACTTACAAGACCCACCTAAACAGGTTATCACTCACTTACAAGACCCACCTAAACAGGTTATCACTCACTTACAAGACCCACCTAAACAGGTTATCAGTCACTTACAAGACCCACCTGAACAGGTTATCACTCACTTACAAGACCCACCTAAACAGGTTATCACTCACTTACAAGACCCACCTAAACAGGTTATCAGTCACGAGACCCATCTAAACAGGTTATCACTCACTTACAAGACCCACCTAAACAGGTTATCACTCACTTACAAGACCCACCTGAACAGGTTATCAGTCACGAGACCCATCTAAACAGGTTATCACTCACTTACAAGACCCACCTAAACAGGTTATCAGTCACGAGACCCATCTAAACAGGTTATCACTCACTTACAAGACCCACCTGAACAGGTTATCAGTCACGAGACCCATCTAAACAGGTTATCACTCACTTACAAGACCCACCTAAACAGGTTATCACTCACTTACAAGACCCACCTGAACAGGTTATCAGTCACGAGACCCACCTAAACAGGTTATCACTCACTTACAAGACCCACCTGAACAGGTTATCAGTCACGAGACCCATCTGAACAGGTTATCACTCACTTACAAGACCCACCTGAACAGGTTATCAGTCACGAGACCCACCTAAACAGGTTATCACTCACTTACAAGACCCACCTGAACAGGTTATCACTCACTTACAAGACCCACCTAAACAGGTTATCACTCACTTACAAGACCCACCTAAACAGGTTATCACTCACTTACAAGACCCACCTAAACAGGTTATCACTCACTTACAAGACCCACCTAAACAGGTTATCACTCACTTACAAGACCCACCTAAACAGGTTATCACTCACTTACAAGACCCACCTGAACAGGTTATCACTCACTTACAAGACCCACCTAAACAGGTTATCACTCACTTACAAGACCCACCTGAACAGGTTATCAGTCACGAGACCCATCTAAACAGGTTATCACTCACTTACAAGACCCACCTGAACAGGTTATCACTCACTTACAAGACCCACCTAAACAGGTTATCACTCACTTACAAGACCCACCTAAACAGGTTATCACTCACTTACAAGACCCACCTAAACAGGTTATCACTCACTTACAAGACCCACCTAAACAGGTTATCAGTCACGAGACCCATCTGAACAGGTTATCACTCACTTACAAGACCCACCTAAACAGGTTATCACTCACTTACAAGACCCACCTGAACAGGTTATCAGTCACGAGACCCACCTAAACAGGTTATCACTCACTTACAAGACCCACCTAAACAGGTTATCACTCACTTACAAGACCCACCTAAACAGGTTATCAGTCACGAGACCCATCTGAACAGGTTATCACTCACTTACAAGACCCACCTAAACAGGTTATCACTCACTTACAAGACCCACCTGAACAGGTTATCAGTCACGAGACCCACCTAAACAGGTTATCACTCACTTACAAGACCCACCTAAACAGGTTATCACTCACTTACAAGACCCACCTGAACAGGTTATCAGTCACGAGACCCATCTAAACAGGTTATCACTCACTTACAAGACCCACCTAAACAGGTTATCACTCACTTACAAGACCCACCTGAACAGGTTATCAGTCACGAGACCCACCTAAACAGGTTATCACTCACTTACAAGACCCACCTGAACAGGTTATCAGTCACGAGACCCATCTGAACAGGTTATCACTCACTTACAAGACCCACCTGAACAGGTTATCAGTCACGAGACCCACCTAAACAGGTTATCACTCACTTACAAGACCCACCTGAACAGGTTATCACTCACTTACAAGACCCACCTAAACAGGTTATCACTCACTTACAAGACCCACCTAAACAGGTTATCACTCACTTACAAGACCCACCTAAACAGGTTATCACTCACTTACAAGACCCACCTAAACAGGTTATCACTCACTTACAAGACCCACCTAAACAGGTTATCACTCACTTACAAGACCCACCTGAACAGGTTATCACTCACTTACAAGACCCACCTAAACAGGTTATCACTCACTTACAAGACCCACCTAAACAGGTTATCACTCACTTACAAGACCCATCTAAACAGGTTATCACTCACTTACAAGACCCACCTGAACAGGTTATCACTCACTTACAAGACCCACCTAAACAGGTTATCACTCACTTACAAGACCCACCTAAACAGGTTATCACTCACTTACAAGACCCACCTAAACAGGTTATCAGTCACGAGACCCATCTGAACAGGTTATCACTCACTTACAAGACCCACCTGAACAGGTTATCAGTCACGAGACCCACCTAAACAGGTTATCACTCACTTACAAGACCCACCTAAACAGGTTATCACTCACTTACAAGACCCACCTAAACAGGTTATCAGTCACGAGACCCATCTGAACAGGTTATCACTCACTTACAAGACCCACCTGAACAGGTTATCAGTCACGAGACCCACCTAAACAGGTTATCACTCACTTACAAGACCCACCTAAACAGGTTATCACTCACTTACAAGACCCACCTAAACAGGTTATCAGTCACGAGACCCATCTAAACAGGTTATCACTCACTTACAAGACCCACCTAAACAGGTTATCACTCACTTACAAGACCCACCTAAACAGGTTATCAGTCACGAGACCCATCTAAACAGGTTATCACTCACTTACAAGACCCACCTAAACAGGTTATCACTCACTTACAAGACCCACCTGAACAGGTTATCAGTCACGAGACCCATCTAAACAGGTTATCACTCACTTACAAGACCCACCTAAACAGGTTATCACTCACTTACAAGACCCACCTGAACAGGTTATCAGTCACGAGACCCATCTAAACAGGTTATCACTCACTTACAAGACCCACCTAAACAGGTTATCACTCACTTACAAGACCCACCTAAACAGGTTATCAGTCACGAGACCCACCTAAACAGGTTATCACTCACTTACAAGACCCACCTGAACAGGTTATCAGTCACGAGACCCACCTAAACAGGTTATCACTCACTTACAAGACCCACCTAAACAGGTTATCACTCACTTACAAGACCCACCTAAACAGGTTATCAGTCACGAGACCCACCTAAACAGGTTATCACTCACTTACAAGACCCACCTGAACAGGTTATCAGTCACGAGACCCATCTAAACAGGTTATCAGTCACGAGACCCATCTGAACAGGTTATCACTCACTTACAAGACCCACCTGAACAGGTTATCAGTCACGAGACCCATCTAAACAGGTTATCACTCACTTACAAGACCCACCTAAACAGGTTATCACTCACTTACAAGACCCACCTAAACAGGTTATCACTCACTTACAAGACCCACCTAAACAGGTTATCACTCACTTACAAGACCCACCTAAACAGGTTATCAGTCACGAGACCCATCTAAACAGGTTATCACTCACTTACAAGACCCACCTGAACAGGTTATCAGTCACGAGACCCACCTGAACAAGTTATCCCTCACTCACGAGACCCACCTGAACAGGTTATCCTTCCTCTCCAGCCTGGCCGGGTTCTCTGGCTGCACAGGGTTGCCACGGTTGTCTGTCATCATCATCTTACGGAGCACGTAGTCCTGGCCCTTCCCGTCAGGCTCCACCATGTAGAAGACCACCTCCGTCACGTGCGGGCTGCGGCGCTGGATCCACGACACTGCGCTCTCCGTGATGCGCAACAGCTTCTTCCTCATGTCCACGTGGTGGTACGCAACACTGAACGCCTTCGCCACACCCTGCAATGTGAGGCAGTGTGGAAATCTTTAATTTAGAAAGCTCTACATGACACTGTTCAGTGTGTGTTGGTTCCAAAAGAAAACCTGCGTCTATTGTGATACATGTACTATTTACATGTAAACTACTTACAGAAAATAATCAATTCATTTAAGTCCTCATCTGAATAAAACGCATGTCTTTCAACTTCCAGATTAATAATGTTACTAATGAATGAAAAACACGGTAAAGAACCCAAAGACAACTGATTGTTTTGGTGTGTGTGTGTGTGTGTGTGTGTGTGTGTGTGTGTGTGTGTGTGTGTGTGTGTGTGTGTGTGTGTGTGTGTGTGTGTGTGTGTGTCTGTGTGTGTGTCTGTGTGTGTCTGTGTCTGTGTGTGTGTGTGTGTGTGTGTGTGTGTGTGTCTGTGTGACGCTCTACCACTAGACCACGGAGGCGGTCTGTTTGGTTATTAAGCAGACAGGGTTGAAAATCTAATGCTTTATTTATCATGAACCTAAGTTCAACAGAACATAATCAACTGGAATTACACAAACTCATCATTCTACATTTTACACGACACTTACAGGAAGCTCCATCTAACTATACACTGATAAGGAAGAACACTTATTCAAAACTTCAGTCTAAAATATACTGACCTGGAAGAACTGAATCTCGTGAGTAATGAAAATGGCCTTTGTGTGAGGATCGGAGAGTGTGTCAACGCCCATGACGCCAAACACACGCTTCCGCCTGTCCTTAAGTGGAATCACAATAAACGACCCCTCTCTTTCCTGAAACCATAAACATTCATTTACTCAATTGCAGGATACAAATTTGGAGCATTTGTGAGAGATATTTATAATTCCAACTCTCCTGTCTTGTTTCCTGAAACTCATCTATCTATATTTGCTCTATTTGTTAATGGACCGATGGAATTGTTGGAACTGCCTTTATTTTCCTTAGTCATGAAAGAACTTTTCTTCTAGTTTGTTTGTTGTTTAATGCAGCACTCAGCAATATTCCAGCTATATGATGGAGCTCAGCAAATAATCAAGTCTGGACCAGACAATCCAGTGATTGATGTCATGAACATCGATCCACGCAATTGGGATATGATGACATGCATCAGCCAAGTCAGTGAGCCTGACCACCCAATCCCTTTAGTTGCCTCTTAAGACAAGCATGGGTTGCTGAAGACCTATTCTATCCCACATCTTCACTGGTCTCATGAGCACTAATCTATGCAATTGGGATATGATGACATGCATCAACCAAGTCAGCAAATCTGACCACTCGATCCATTTTGTCGCCTCTTACGACAATCATGGGTTGCTGGGGATCTGTATTTTTACCCAGAATCCACAAAGGTTCACAACATTGACATATGAATCTAATAAATGAACACAATGTTCAGCAGACAAAAGATTAAAAAGAAACATTTGATAAAGGCACACTCACATCTCTGTGCCGATGGGTGTTCCAGAAATGGATATTCCCATGGTTGGCCACACGGGGGACGTGGATCGGCTTGCCAGACTCAACCGCAGCAAAACTGGAAACAAACAACTCTCTGTCAACAACATATTTGGATTGAGTGAAAACAACAACTGTCTGTCAAGAACATGTTAGGATTGAGTGAAAACAACAACTCTCTGTCAACAACATATCAGGACTGAGTGAAAACAACAACTCTCTGTCAACAATATATTAGGATTGAGTGAAAACAACAACTCTGTCAACAACATATCAGGACTAAGTCAAAACAACAACTCTCTGTCAACCACATATTAGGATTGAGTGAAATCAACAGCTCTCTGTCAACAACATGTTAGAATTGAGTGAAAACAACAACTCTCTGTCAACAACATATTAGAATTGAGTGAAAACAACGGCTCTCTATCAACAACATATTAGGATTGAGTGAAAACAACAACTCTGTCAACATATTAGGATTGAGTGAAAACAACAACTCTCTATCAACAACATATTAGAATTGAGTGAAAACAACAACTCTGTCAACATCATATTAGAATTGAGTGAAAACAACAACTGTCTGTCAACAACATATTAGGACTGAGTGAAAACAACAACTCTCTGTCAACAACATATTAGAATTGAGTGAAAACAACAACTCTGTCAACAACATATCAGGACTGAGTGAAAACAACAACTCTCTGTCAACAACATATTAGAATTGAGTGAAAACAACGGCTCTCTATCAACAACATATTAGGATTGAGTGAAAACAACAACTGTCTGTCAACAACATATCAGGACTGAGTGAAAACAACAACTCTCTGTCAACAACATATTAGAATTGAGTGAAAACAACAACTCTGTCAACATCATATTAGAATTGAGTGAAAACAACAACTGTCTGTCAACAACATATTAGGACTGAGTGAAAACAACAACTCTCTGTCAACAACATATTAGAATTGAGTGAAAACAACAACTCTGTCAACAACATATTAGAATTGAGTGAAAACAATGGCTCTCTGTCAACAACATATTAGAATTGAGTGAAAACAACAACTCTGTCAACAACATATTAGAATTGAGTGAATACAACAACTGTCTGTCAAGAACATGTTAGGATTGAGTGAAAACAACAACTCTCTGTCAACAACATATTAGAATTGAGTGAAAACGGCTCTCTATCAACAACATATTAGGAGTGAGTGAAAACAACAACTCCCTGTCAACAACATATTAGAATTGAGTGAAAATGGCTCTCTATCAACAACATATTAGGAGTGAGTGAAAACAACAACTCTCTGTCAACAACATATTAGAATTGAGTGAAAACAACAACTCTGTCAACATCATATCAGGACTGAGTGAAAACAACAACTCTCTGTCAACAACATATTAGGATTGAGTGAAAACAACAACTCTGTCAACATCATATCAGGACTGAGTGAAAACAACAACTCTCTGTCAACAACATATTAGAATTGAGTGAAAACAACAACTCTGTCAACAACATATTAGAATTGAGTGAAAACAACGGCTCTCTGTCAACAACATATTAGAATTGAGTGAAAACAACAACTCTGTCAACAACATATTAGAATTGAGTGAATACAACAACTGTCTGTCAAGAACATGTTAGGATTGAGTGAAAACAACAACTCTCTGTCAACAACATATTAGAATTGAGTGAAAACGGCTCTCTATCAACAACATATTAGGAGTGAGTGAAAACAACAACTCTCTGTCAACAACATATTAGAATTGAGTGAAAATGGCTCTCTATCAACAACATATTAGGAGTGAGTGAAAACAACAACTCTCTGTCAACAACAGATTAGAATTGAGTGAAAACAACAACTCTCTTATCAACAACATATTAGAATTGAGTGAAAACAACAGCTCTCTATCAACAACATATCAGGACTGAGTGAAAACAACAACTCTCTGTCAACAACATATTAGAATTGAGTGAAAACGGCTCTCTATCAAAACATATTAGGATTGAGTGAAAACAACAACTCTCCGTCAACAACATATCAGGATTGAGTGAAAACAACAACTCTCTGTCAACAACATATCAGGACTGAGTGAAATCAACAACTCTCTGTCAACAACATATTAGGACTGAGTGAAAACAACAACTCTCTGTCAACAACATATTAGGATTGAGTGAAAACAACAGCTCTCTATCAACAACATATTAGAATTGAGTGAAAACAACAACTCTCTGTCAACTACATAATAGGATTGAGTGAAAACAACAACACTCTGTCAACAACATAATAGGATTGAGTGAAAACAACAGCTCAACAACATCCTGAGCCTGCATCTAGGCACGAAGCAGCTACAACACAGTATACGCCGGGACATATTTCTACAAATACAGAGTTGAAAACTGTCCTTGGGATGTTTGATATCAACTGTGTTCTTTGGTTAACACACCACACAAGGTGTTTCAGTTGCAATTTCACATTACTATGTTCATCTAACTTAATAAATCCTGTATCAAGAACATAAACTTCTATTGTATGTCAATTTATTAGTGTCTGTAGCTTACCAGAAATCGGCTTCACACATTGTACGCATGTCGGGAATTGAACCCGGGTCTTCGGCATGACGAGCGAACGCTTTATCCACTAGGCTACCCGACCGCCCCAAATAGATGATGAAGATAAGTTACAACTGGATGTATACCTGATTCCCTTCATGTCCTTGTGGAGGACCTTGGTGAGGACATAGTCGGCGTCCTCTGGAGTCGAAGCGACATATCTCAGACACACATCCCCCCGTTCAGGGACCTGGACGTTACGTTCCAGCATAGCGATGTTGGCGCTGATACGTTTGTTGTTCCCATGAGCCTCAGCATCCTGTGAAAACATAATAACAGTAACAATAAGTCCATTATCATGCGGCAGTTTCCATTCACCAAGTGAATACTCATGGCGCTATGTTATCATTACCCAGGTTCCCTTCCACAAAGTGATCTTAGCGCTAAGATGGTTATAACTCCCATACTTTAACATAGACTTATACAATCGTAACTCTATGATCGCTTTTTGGAACGGGGACTAGGGCCCACTTGCACAAAGCAATCTTAGCGCTAAGATGATTATTACTCCTATACTTTATCATAGACTTACACAATCGTAACTCTATGATTGCTTTTTTGAACGGGGACTAGGGCCCACTTGCACAAAGCGATCTTAGCGCTAAGATGGTTATAACTCCCATACTTTAACATAGACTTATACAATCGTAGCTCTATGATCACTTTTTTGAATGGGGACCTGGGCCCACTTGCACAAAGCAATCTTAGCGCTAAGATGATTATAAGTCCCATACTTTAACATAGACTTACACAATCGTAGCTCTATGATCGCTTTTTTGAACAGGGACCTGGTCTTTGAATCAAGTTACACTCAGCTCCCTGTGGAGTATACAAACAAGACTACTTTCAAAATATCAGCCTCTGGGAAACTTAGTCATGAATGACTTTTGTAACTCCTACAAGAAAGTGCTGACAAAGCTGACCTTGAAGAGAGCTTGGAAGACAGCTCTGTACACGGGCTCCAGACTGGCTCCTGACGTCTCGGCAGCTGTTACGATTTGCTGGAGCCACTTCTTCCTGGCATCACCTCGGACACGGTCAGCGTACGACCTCTACAACAGCAAGGCCATTACGAGATAAGACCCCTGTGTCTGAATACAGAGGTTTTTAAAAATAGATTCCATATGTGTAGGATAAAAAATCTATGGGCTTTCATGAGCTTTAATTTCAAGGGTTAAAATCTCATAAAAAAATTGAGGGTTCTATCTTCCTAATAAACTGAAAGAAAAATCTGACACAAGTTCACATTTCAACACACTTTTCATGAATCTGAGAAAACGGACGTAAAATATCTCTTACTGGTGTACATGCATTTGAAAAATATAAGAGCATTGTGGTTTATCAGTGCCTCTGTAACCTAGTGGTACGCACCCTAGGCTACAGATACCAAGGTTACGATCCACTGAAATATATAAAGGATATTTCTCATTTGATTTTACATCATTTCCTTAGGTAGATTGTGTTCAAATGCAAATAAAATCTCTGGCAACTGACATTCTATAGAATATCTCTGGAACAGTGAGTGATTGAGTGAGTTGGGTTTAACGCCGCTTTTAACAGTATTGCAGTTATATCCCGGCATGTCAGCTTTATTCAATGAAAGCCCGAAGTGATGCAGGTCTCAGACGTTTATTTACCACTACGGGGAACCTACGAGCACGGGTATGGTGCTGACAAACCTAGAAACATAATCAGGGCGAACTGGGATTTGAACCCACAATCATAGGTTTCTGGTGTGCCCAAGGGACGCAACTCTGCACAGCGAATCGTGGCTCCTTAGTCGACTGTGCCACCCGCGCCCCCCCCCCCCCGGAACAGAGGGAATTTCTACATAACATCCCTGGGCTGGTAGTACTTTCTATAAAATATCTCTGACACAGTGGGATATTCTGGAGAAAGTCTCTACTGAGTGGTTATTCAATGAAATGAAAGCCCTTTAAAAACAATAGGATGCCATCACTAGAGGTTCTTTTCATTTCAAATCAAACATGATAGCAGTAACATTTTCATGACGGCATAAGTGATGGGTGATGCAGCATTGATGGGGTAAAAAATATATATAAATTCACATGCAGAACATTATACAAACATATATTTATGTTGATGTGCAGCCACTCATCCCTCACCTCGATGCTGCTGGCAAGGAACTCTACGAGATAATCAAAGGAGTCTCCTGGAATCTCATCCACCACCAGGTCAATGAACGTCCGGAACTCCCTCTTGCTCAGCCTCTGGTCATGGTACTTGGACTTCTTGCTCAGCTGGTCTTTGGCTGAAAACAGGAAGTGGTGTTATGGGATGGGCTGTTGGTGTCGGGTCATGGGACCCATTTGGACAAGGGCAGTGGCAGAAACTAACATTTTTAGTCCACTTGTCTTTATAATGATAACATATACAAAACCCTTAAAAAGGCAAATTTCTTCTAGCTCTTAGGATACCTAACTATTGAGCTGTTATGCAAGGACTACAGGACTAGCGCCAATTTCTAACGCTGGATAACGATAACTATCTGAATCAACCGCAATCTGAAGTATTTTTTACAAGAAGATCGCCATCTATGAACAACATAACTTTTCAGAGTACACACAGTGCTGTGACAACATTCAAACTGATGGAAGTCATGTGGACCAGACATCAAGCAGTCTCCGTCTTTAGCCACAAGTCCAAAGCTGTAGTCAAATTCAGTTGGTCAAGTAAGCTCAGCTGATAATACTCCACAATATAACCATAAATTCTAAAAAGGGATGCCAAGAGTAAAGTTTGGACAAGTAGACTCCAAAATGTTCAGTACAGACTGCATCCAGAAGGTCAAGGATGTCACCATGCAACCTTTACTTTCAGCCCTTGGACACCTCAAAATTATTAACGTGTCCCCTGGACTCACGCAAAGACAGATGGAGGAAAATCGGGGCTCACCTCTGCTGATGGCCTCAGCCTCCTGGCCATCCTTGTACTTCAGCATGACCATCTCCACCTCGTCCAGGTCCAGGTACCCGGAGCCGTCGTTGTCCCATCTCTCAAACAGGTTGTCCATCTGAACCTTGCGCTTCGATGAGAGGGCTTCCTTCCTCGCCTGATGAAACAATTGTCACATCTTTAATGTTTTCAATGCTCATTAAAATCAAACATATCAAACTCTCCACAGGAGGTTGGATGAGGTCAATCTACTTGCATCAGTTGCATCAGGTCAATCTAGTTGCTTCAGGTCAATCTAGTTGAAAGATGCCAATCAGATGTCAGCTTTATAAAAAGATTCAGCTTCATTTGTTTTCAAGCTAAGGACATTATGTTCCTTCCAAAAGATAACCAACACTGAACACAAATGTTTATTCGATTGTTCTCACTTTTGGGTGTAGATGCCATGGGGCTCAGAAAGGACACTATGTATAAAATATCCACAACAATAATTATTTCCCTTCGGAACTGCCCATTTATGTTCATTTTGTGACAGTTCATTTTTTCAAATATTTTTTTTATATATTTGAACATTGTTTATTAGCGACTGGTCATTTATGAAAGCTGCTAAACATGAAAACATGTTACATAAATGGGGTGTTGGGGGGTAGGGAGGGGTGAGGGGTGTGGGGGGGTGTGAGGGTAGGATGTTGGAGAAAATGAGCGAGCTATGTACAACCTTTAAAAGTCTTTCCAGCTTCTCATCCTCCGTTTCCTCGTAGCCTTCCTTGATGTATCTGAGCAGCGTCTCAAACAGCGCTCGCTTCGGCCTGTCTCCGATGAATGTCTCAGTTAAATGGACAAACTGAGACACGTTCAAAGTGTGCTCGTCAAATGCTGACATTTGTGACTGGAGACTGGTGACGGTTCCAGCTGGAAGTAGATAAAGACAACATGTATTTTTCACCTCAATGGCATGTTACAATGTTAAGTAATTTTGGAAAATGTTGATCAATGACAAACTGACGATCCTGTGATCTTTTTGGAAAATTGATCTGTCACTGACCTAAACAGCAATCCATATCACTAGCTATGAGTGACATCAGTCAAATGACACCTTGAAGAGAGTGAGTATTTGTTTTTATTAGGAGATAAACTGAATGCGTAGCATGAGGTTTCAAATGATTAATTTTGAGACTATCAATTCGGTCTAACAATAATCTAATTTTCAAACACAGTACATTTTTCTCCATTCTCCCATGACTGATTTAAAATCGAACTCCTTCATTTCACGTTATCTGGCATGGTATGAGAGGCGAATTGAACTCGTATGTGAAAGGGATGGTAGGTGTCTTTCGTTGTGTTTTCTTAACATGGTAACGTAAAAAATATATACGTCCAAAGAAGACAAACAACCACTTGTTCAATGCAACATTTTTGTATGTTGTAAATAAGAAACAGCTTGGTTCTATGAACCCTTCAAACACGACAGAAACCAGCTTTCTGTTTGGTGTGCCATAGTACTGTACCCCTGCCAACACTACATGGAATGGCCGGACCTACTTATTTTCTTGGAAGTAGTTGTTGACAGTTCCGCAACAATATGAAATTTGGAAAGTGGCGGACATGCCAGTTATTACATTTTGTGCATTTTACAAATTTACAGTTGTATAAGTGTGAAGTGAAGCAGTCATAAAATCAGATGCATTTTTCAATCCAAGTTGATTATGTCTAATTTTATTGCTAGTATTTCACGTAGTCATGGTAGAATGCTGCTTTGAACAGTATTCCTGTAATATCACGGTGTGTTAGTTTAATGTGGGAGGAAAGCCTGAAGTGATGCAGGTCTCAAACCTTTAGCACTTTGGTGAAACCCACGAGCACGGGTATGGTGCTGACAAACCTAGAAACATAATTGGGGCAAATTGGTATTCGAAGCCATGATCCTAGGTTTCTGGCATGGCCAAGGGAGACAACTCTACACAGCAAATTGCAGTGCCTTAGACTGGGCCACCCATTTCCCTTGGAAATATTTTAGTTAGGCGATGACATGTGGGAGGTAAACCTACATTGTAGCAGGTACCCTATATTTGATTTGAAACACAATCAGATCCTGGCATGGCAAAGGGACACAATTCTGCACAGCAAATTCGAGTCACCTCAGACCACTTGGTCCCAGTATTTTGTTTAATGCCGGACTCAGCAATATTCCAGCTGTATGATGGCGGCCTGTAAATACATGACTGGACCAGACCAGTGTTTGATATTATGAGCAACGATCCACGCCGTTGGGGTATATCACACCCAATCACTGAGCCTGACCGCCCAAACCATTAAGAAGCCTCTTATGACCAACACAGGCTGCTGCAGATCAATTCTAACAGGGCGTCCCTGGTATGATTGGTTGGTTGGTTTGTTGTTTAATGCCGCACTCAGCAATATTCCAGCTATATGTAAATAATCGAGTCTGGACAAGACAAGACAATCCAGTAATTAATATCATGAGCATCAATCCATGCAACTGGGATCGATGAAATGTATCAACCAAGTCAGTGAGCCTGACCACCCGATCCCGTTAGTCGCCTTTTACGACAAGCATAGTCGCCTTTTATGGCAAGCATGGGTTGCTGAAGACCTATTCTACCCCGGAATCTTCACGGGTCTGGTCCCTGGTATGAAGTACAATCTGTATCATGACTTCACAATCATACTCGAACTCCGGCGCAGTGGTGACTCAGCATAACACCACTGCCACAGGCTAATTTGCATATCACGTGACCGGACTTTTCTCTTGTTTGTAAACAAACGCGCTTTTTCAGAAATCAGTGTAGAACGGACTAATGCAAGTATTTGGGGTCGCTTAACATATTGTTTTGCATAATTATATAGATATGCTACTACAACTGTGACAGTGAGTAGCATGACAATAAATATTTATGCATGAAAGTGACCGTATCGGCAGCTCTCTGTTGGGCTTCGATGACAGCACGTGGAGCCTTACAACCAATGTAAACAAAGGATAACTACGCAAAAACAAATAGATTTTCACGTATTAGGATGCTTTCTTAATGAACCGTAACCATTCTTTGACGTTTGTTTATGAAAATGTGTTGACTTGTCAAACATGAAACTGATGAAAAGCATATTCAATATCTTGAATGGACTATGAAAGATGTGACGAATCTTCACATGGCGCTGGCCTGTGTCAGAGGTACTATGCTGGCTGGCGGCCGGCCGCATGGAACTCTGGGTAGGAGAGTGGATCATACTCTGTGTGTGAGAAGTACTCAACCTGTCTGGATCTCTCTGTCGAACTCTGTGCCCTGAGCGAAGGTGACACTGAGCCGACCAGTCTGGGTAGTTCCGGGTGGGTTCATATCATCATCGCTGGTCTTCAGGTCCAGCTTCAGGGATTTGTCATCCTCTTTGGGTTCTAGAAGAAATGAAAATGTTCTGTATTCAATATACTTAGAACAAAGGCAGCGTTTGAAACTGGCACTAGTCCTGTAGCCCTTGCCAAACTACCCAATAGTTAAGGTATCATAAGGACCTGTAGAAATGTGCCATTTTTAAGGGTTTTGCTATATATGTTATCCTTAGAATGACTAGTCGCCTAGAAATGTTAGTTTCTACCGCTGAAAGGGTGTGTAGAAATGACTTTTCTGTATTTGAAGTATAAATTAGCGTGTATTCATAATCAAGGGAGATAACTGGTCGTGCAGATAGGTCTTGTTTGTTTGTAGTTTAACGCGCACTCAGCAATATTCCAGCTATTCGACAGCTGTCTGCAAATAATCCTGTCAGGACATGACATCATGAGCGAAAAATCCTTTGGGAACACATCCAACCATAAGCTGTACTGAATATATTCAGTAAGATTATTGCTGACTTGTTTCGCCTAAATAAAACTTGTTTGTTCTCAGGCAAAGCCAAGTCAGTAAACTACTCACATTAAATTTTTAATGCCTGTGAAAACGAGGAGCTACCATCTGACCAGTGTTAAGCACACTTTTTCAAATTAAGCAAGGGCTGATCCAATCTCATTAAAATCAGATCTTTGTCCTCGCTTCCGCTAAACAAAGATCTGAGGACATCCCATTACGGGTCACGTCAGGCCGACCTTGCGCAAACTTTGACAGACCAATGGAATGACCAGTCAGAAGGCAGATTTCTCGTGCTTTACGGCACAAATTTCAAATTGGCGACTACGCTTCGAAACATAATTTGACAAATTCCCGATTACAAATTTGAAACCTGAACAAAAAAACATTCTGGAATGGCTAATAGATGGTCTAGATTGTAAGGATTCAGTCGTTAAACCTGTAACTATTGTTCGGAATACCCCGTGTAAAAAGAGATTGCATGACTAGAAATCACATTCACACTGTCACTTTCATAATCTGGTAAGCGACGCACTGATTGGTTGGATGAAAGGTCATTCTGATGTGACCCCTAAGCGGAAGTGAGAACTAATGTCTGATTTTAATGAGATTGGGGCTGATCCAGCAAGGGAGGGGTCCAAAATATAAAAATCTTCTCTCAGTCAATTTTACTGCCTACAACATACCACATTTTGTTTTACAAAGGGTTGGGGTCCGGACGCCCCACATACATCACCCGACCACCACCCTCCCTCGCCCCCCGTCCTCACCCCTTATGCAACCCAGACCTCCACCCCTGGATCCACCTACGTTCAGAAAAACAAACACAGGCTACCTACCTAAAACTTTTCAAGGTGATTGCCTGAGAACAATATAAATTTTGTAACCTCATTATTTTACTCCAGTTCTTTTGTTTTCACTTATATTTGAAAAATTACTGTATATAAAGATCCAAAACACTCACCAGCTTCATCCTGTTCCTTCTCGGGTAGACCCTGTGTTGCCTGCTCTTTCTCAGACACTTCCTGTGTCTCTGCCTCAGTCTGTGTTTGACCTGCCGTCTCCGCATCTGTTGGATTTCCTGTCCCCGACGTCTGCTCTTCCGTCTGCTTCTCCGTGGCAGACATGTTCTCCTCCCCTGACTCCTGTTGCGCCTCTTTTACTTCCTCCTTCTTTTCTTCTCCCTGTTCATCTTTTTCTTCATCAGCTTTTTCCTTCCCTTCTTCCTTCTGTTCATCACTTTCTGCCTTCTGTCCATCTTCTGCTTTTTCAGCTGCATCATCAGGTTTTGTTTCTTTAGCTTCCTTGTTTTCCTCTGTTCCTTCTTCCTTCTTCTCCAGCTGTTCTTCCTGTTTCTCATCCTTCTGTTCTTCTGTTTCTTCCTTCTTTGCTTCTCCCTCGGTTTCTTGCTGTGTTTCTTGGCTGTCATCTACTTTCTCAGCTGATTCAGGTTTCTGGCTATCTTCTGCAAAATATGATTATTTAATTATTTAACCGTTTAAATAACAACATTCCTAACAAATTTGTAGGTTGTCACATGTCTAACTTCTGGCTATTTATTATCTTTCGGAACCTTGGCAATATGATAATTTTCATAAACGTAATCCAAGATAAATATCTTCCATCCTATTGCCAAAAGTCTGGCTATGATATATGCACATTTATGACATCATGAGAAGGACATCTGCTATAAGACAGAGAAATCCTCTGCTCAGATTGACTGTGGATGCGCTGGTGTAAAGAGTGGTGCTAGACTGGTGTTGGACTGCTTTATGACTGGTTTAAGACAGCTGAAAAGAAGGTGGTTAGACTGCTGAGTGACGGCTGAAAAACTGCTGAAAGACTGTGGAGTGATGGCTTAAAATCTGCTGAAAGACTGTTAAAGAAGGTTGAAAAACTGCTGAAAGACTGTTAAAGATGGCTGAAAAGCTGCTGAAAGACTGTTAAAGATGGCTGAAAGACTGCTGAAAGACTGTGAAAAGATGGCTGAAAAGCTGCTGAAAGACTGTTAAAAGATGGCTGAAAGACTGCTGAAAGACTGTTAAAAGATGGCTGAAAAGCTGCTGAAAGACTGTTAAAGATGGCTGAAAGACTGCTGAAAGACTGTTAAAAGATGGCTGAAAGACTGCTGAAAGACTGTTAAAAGATGGCTGAAAAACTGCTGAAAGACTGTTAAAAGATGGCTGAAAGACTGCTGAAAGACTGTGAAAAGATGGCTGAAAAACTGCTGAAAGACTGTGAAAAGATGGCTGAAAAACTGCTGAAAGACTGTGAAAAGAGGGCTGAAAAACTGCTGAAAGACTGTTAAAAGAGAGCTGAAAAACTGCTGAAAGACAGTAAAAGATGGCTGAAAATCTGCTGAAAGACTGCTATAAGACAGCTAAGGGATTGCTGTTGTTGCAATATGCAGGCTTCACTCACCATCAACATAAGAACATACTTTGATCATGTAAATAACCTGTCAGAATATTTTACAGTTCTTACCATCGTCTTTCTGTTCCTGAGCTTCCCCCTGGCTGTCTTCTACCTTCTCTCCATCCCCTGCAGGCCTGGCTTCATCCTCCATCTCTTCTCTCTCCTCCGCATCATCCAGCATACCCAGGTCCTCGTCGTCACTCAGAGAGTCCTCCGTCTCATCAACCTCCACCACTGGCCCTGCCACGCAACATCAACAATTGTACATCTGACATTGTATCAAATATTAGCTGACAATATATGAGGTAAAAATCAGACACCAGACAGGCTGTTGCTTTTTATTTAGGCTACCTAACAATTTTACCCATGAGGGCAAAGATATCACTGAGCACTGATTGGCTAGTTTATGCAAATTGTTCCATAGTTTCACTGTTTGTAAATGAGTGTGTATGGTTCTATGCCGCTTTTAGCAATATTCCAGCAATATCCAGTGGGGTGCCCTGGAATGGGTTTCACACATTGTACCCGTGTCAGGAATCAAACCCGGGTCTTCGGCGTGACCGCATACCCTGATGGGTCTGATTTACGACTTCAAGAAGTTTCGCTCAGAAGTTTTTCACTGAGCAGCTACCCCACAAGTCAGATAATATTACACATTTTAGATTTGTTGTCTTTATCTTAAATATGTAAAATAACAAATTTATTGATCTGGGCCTTTTTGCCTATTTTCTCTCCTCCATCCAGCCATTTGGATCCTAAGAATCTGTTATACAAGAGTGAGTGAGTGAGTGAGTACGGTTTTACGCCGCTTTTAGCAATATTCCAGCAATATCACGGCGGGGGACACCAGAAATGGGCTTCACACATTGTACCCATGTTGGGCATCGAACCCGGGTCTTCGGCGTGACGAGCGAACGCTTTAACCACTAGGCTACCCGACCGCCCCCTGTTATACAAGAAAGCAAATTGGTCTGGCTTTGTTTCTGACACACATAAACTTACATCTCCTTGGGTTGCGGAGGCTGCGTCGGAGATCATCATTTGCTGCATCCCAAAAACTTTCAAACAGATCCAGAATACGGTGCCGGTCAAGTATGCCAATCTAATGAGGAGGAAATTTCAAACTATATATTGTGAGAAAGAACAATATGGAATACAAGAATGTGATGATGACAATAACAAAATTGATCCTACCATACGCAGTCAAAAGATAGCATGAAGGTTTTTTTGTCATAAACTTGATTTTGAATGTTAGAGATTAACGGATTCATAGATTCCAATACTATAAATTACATTATATCATGAATTAGATAGCACACTTTCCAATATATAACTGCAGAAATGAACTTAGACCATGATAGATCTAAATTATTACCCTGGTCAATGAATCAGGTCCTTGGGTAGTATACAACTGAAGCAGCCTGTCAGGCAGTTAACAGTTACATTACCATCTCATCCTACCGGGTACCCATTCAATGCTGCGTGAACAGAGGCACAGGAGCAAACCTTAGAACCCCACGACCCCTTAATTTGGAACACTGTCATGCAACAGAGTATACTGTTTCCAAGGGTCGGTGGTCACAAACAACTACCTTGTCAGCCAAGGTTCTGAACATTTCAATACATCAAGAATACAATTTCTTTGTTTGTTATTTAACACCGCACTCAGCAATATTCCAGCTATACGACGGTGGTCTGTAAAAAACCGAGTCTGGACCAGACAATCCAGTGATTGACATCATGAGCATCGATCCACACAATGGGGAATACAATGACATGCATCAACCAAGTCAGCGAGCCTGACCACCCAGTTCCATTAGTTGGCTTTTACAACAAGCATAGTCACCTTTTACTGCAAGCATGGGTTGCTGAAGATCTATTCTAACCCGGATCTTAATCTTATCACTGATCCTGATGCTGCTACTCCAGGTACTGTGATGCTTGGTGCCATGTACCCACATAAAACTTAATATTCCAGTCACATTACACCATCGCCGTGAAGATCCGGGGTAGAATAGGTCTTCAGCAACCCATGCTTGTCATAAAAGGCGACCCAATTGTCATCGATCCCAATTGCGTGGATTGATGTTAATGATGTAAATCACTGGATTGTCTGGTCCAGACTCGATTATTTACAGACCGCCGTCATATAGCTGGAATATTGCTGAGTGCGGCGTAAAACAACAAACAAACAAAAAACACAATACACTAAAATGACAAATAAAAGAAGTGTTTTCCCATCACCCTAAAAATATCATTTGTTACAAAAGCTGATATAGAATTAAAGGTGCCAGTATATTTTTATCCCAACCCCAAACCATGTTTTTGATAACAAAAATTCTATAAACCATTTAACGAAACATAGAAGTTGTGATTGCTTTGATGCGATTGCATCTCACTCATCAGTTCATTTGACCATCCTTTCATATGGCATCCTTTCAAAGTTAGGATTGTAACCCATGATCCGCAGATTCTGGCACAGCTAGGGGATGCAACTCTGTGTTCCCTATTGTGGACTAATGAGAACGGTGTACTATTGCACCATGTTTACAAAACTTCATGGATATTGTATTTCAAGGCATTGATTCACTATTTAATAAAAGTTTTGATTTTGTTATATTTGGTTCTGAGGTGAGGTGTAAGAAATGGGGTTTAATGTTGTGTTTCACATTATTGCAGTGTGCATGCATGCAGTGTGTGCGGTGCATGCTCGCATGCAGCCTTCTGAGATACCATGCTACAGTCTAAATATGGAACCCCCTCCGTGGTCTAATAGTAGAGCATCCGCCCGGAGAGCGGAAGGTCCTGGGTTCGATCCCCGGTCGCGTCATACCAAAAGACGTTAAAAGATGGTAATTTGTGTTACCCTGTCTGGCGCTCGGCATTAAGGGGCTAAAACAACGACTGGTCGGCTCGGAGTCAGTATACTGTGTCTGAGTGGGGTATTCATGTTAAACTGCGGTATGGTATCTCAGTGTGCTAGCACTATAAATCGGCATCAGTCTGGACTAGTACAAGCAGCCACGCAAACACACACACGTACATTCATGTCGCTATATAAGTGCAATAATCTTGGAAGCGACGTTAAACCCAATTTCACCTCACCTCTAAATATGGATATGGATATCCCACAAAGATCAGTATACTGACTCCGAGGCGACTAATCCTTGTTCATACCCTTAATGCTGAGCGCCAAACAGGGTAACAAAAAATACCATTTTTTAATGCTTTTGGTATGATGCAGCCAGGGGATCAAACCACAGGCCTTTCACTCTCTGAGCAGAAATTTCTGTCCACTCCACCACGGCGGGGGAATCATGAAAAGAGTGCTTTTAGACATGATGACAAATCCAAATCACTAAACTAACCCCACTATGATCGCACGCCAGGAAGAGATTTGTCAGAATAATCCGCCGAGCTTCTCTCGCTGTTGCTAGGTGATGTGCCTGTGCACACTTGGACATGTGGATCATAAATTGATCAAATATTTCCGTTGGCAGGGGATCGATATATGTTGACAAATACTGAAACGAAAAAATAAAAAACACTGAAAACATGCACCTGATTATGATCATCAACCAAATATAGAACTTCAAACAAATTAGTTTTTAGGTAACTAGTATCAACCTATATAAACATGATGTCAGGAAACAAACAATTTACAGTAAAATTATTATCTAAGGCTAAAAAAAAATAGTCTAAGTTCTCAGGCACCGCCTGCATTATCATAAAGTTTGCCGCATGTTTTGTTATTATAATAAAAAAATAACCAATAAATCCTTAAATATTCCAAGTCCAATTGTGTATCAGTATTCCAGTATTTTACTCATCAAGGAACACAGTATGTAGGGAGGCCCTTTCCCAGGCTGATTGTACACAACTGTTTATTTGGTTACACAATTGTTCATTAGGTTGCATTCTATTTTGAACAGCCAAAAACAAAAAATAAAAACAAAACACCAGCGGCCCCACTATGTTTTCAAAAGCCATTGCCTGAGAACCAATTTTTTATATTTTTTTAAGCCTAACATTAAATATCGCCACATGATCAAAGGGAGGTAATAATGTATTAAAACAACCAACTATAAATTGTCTCCCCTTGTCTTTACCGGCTCCCCAAGTAGCCATTTCATTATTTAATGTGATGTAACTGATTGTCAAAATCAAACCATAATATTAGCAACTTATCAAAGAGTAATGGTCATATATGCTTATTTCAGTTTTATAGAAATTATTAATAATTATTATTTCAACCTGATGAAATTCCTTCATGTTCAGCATGCGTCCGCTTTCATCAGTTGGCTCAATGGCAGCCCCAAACCTGGCAGCCTCTTTCAGGTCATCAGGGAATAGTTCTACCATTTCAGCAAAAGACCTGAGAGTGTTTTGAATCTGAAAAATAGAATAAAGCCAGAGCTCCAGATAAGCTGCGTATCTGCGTGAAATACGCATCAGAAATGCAGAAATACACAGTAAAATATAATCCAAGCGTATCAAATACGCAACGAACATTACAGATACGCTACAAAAATAAAACTTGTGCGTTTCATCAAAATACTGTGAAGTAACCCTGCGTATTCGATTAGCAAATCAGGAACTTATTTTGAAATTATAAAGGGGCATTCTGTCAACCTTGCCAAACTCCACGATGACAGTTACATCATGATCATTTGCCATCACACTTTCTTGTGGAAGTATCGTGGTATTTTTGAGTCCTATAAAGCTCTCGAACCCACACGACACCAGTTTGCAGGGAATAGATGAATAGTGTTTTTAAATATTTAACTTAAATACCCACATGTGTAAAAACTAGTGGGTAACAGAAATTTGAATGATCAGATATCAAAATATTTTACAAACTACGCAGACTATTTGGGATCATTTGAAATGCACAAATGAAACCAAACCTTTATGAACTTTTTTTGTTTCTTCCCAACCAGTTGTGTTAAAAGGCTGAAAGGTAGGTATGCCTTTCTTTTGTCATAAAATTCTTTCATTCATCTTTTTTTCAAATGATCAACAAATCACCCTAAAAAAACAGGTCCCCACATGCCCTTGCTAAAACATTTAACCAAGGCATCAAAATAAAGGGGCTTATAAGGCAAGATAAATAAATATGCCTTTTTCTCATGACTTTTTTCAAAACTAAGGATTCAGTTTTATTAATTTATTTCTTTTGTGGGTAAACGTATATTTGATTCTAATACACAAAGACATCTCTTTCAACCATGCCACAGTGTCTCAAAGTATGAAGCGACAGGCGAGACCACAGCTAAGTTTCCTTGCAAATCTGACAATTATGAATGGCAAAATTAGGAATTTAGTAAAAAAAATTGAGTTGAAAAAGCTGTTTCTAAACTATGCTAATATTTCAAAATATTATGGTCAGAGTCATAAGAGTGAATGAGTTGGGTTTAACATCGCTTTTAACAGTATTCCAGTTATATCACAGCATGTCAGCTTAATGTGGAAGGAAAGCCCGAAGTGATGCAGGTCTCAGACATTTACCACTTCAGTGAAACTCAAGAGCACGGGTATGGTGCCGACAAACCTAGAAGCATAATTGGGGCGAACCAGGATTCGAACCCACAATCATAGGTTTCTGGCGTGCCCAAGGGACGCAACTCTGCATAGTGAATTGTGGCACCGTAGACAACTGGGCCACCTGGCCCCCCAGGGGAATAAGAAACAAGTAAGGTATTTTACCAAGCCTAACAGGTCCTTCCTTACTGCCTGCCTGTCACCTACCAGTGCCAACTCTACTTTGCCATGAGAGCTGAGCATCCATTCAGTGAACTGTTTCAGAAGGCAGTCTTCTCTCCTCTGTTTCTCCTGAAGCCGTCGCATCTCCTTCAGTTCTCTTTCATCCCGCTTTCGCTTGGCCTCAGCCTTGATACGAGCTAATCTGTAAACGATAAAACAAATTCTAAACTAATATTTGACTACCACAAATCTCAGGCCTCAAAGTTTAAATTTTTATTAACTTGTCATTTGGCTACAAGTGTTTTTTTCCAGGTAGGCAGTGGTAAAATCATGAAGTCAAGCCAATAGTGTAGGTAGCCAAAAGCATTTGAAATTATCTTTCATCAAATTACTTTTATAATATTTACAAGTCATAGCACTAGTCTTGGAATTGTATATAAGTGGAAACTGTACTTGATTTTTGTTATTTGTGACTCAAACAATGATGCATTTTAGGTTACTAGACTATGTAGGTATATCCTTGCTTATCCAATGAGCATTGTCAACTGAAATAAAATACTAATTACATTAATATTTATGTACTTCGGTTCATTGTCGACTTTAGGAGGAATTATTCGCAAGTACAATTATTAGCAGACATGTTTTGTATGATCAGCTGTTATTTATTTTTGTGTCTACATACGTGTAGCAGTGAAATTTAGTTGCCACAAGATATTTTTCAAGGTAGTCATTTGGCTACCTATGAATTTTAGAAAGTAGACAAATTGAAATTAAGGTTGCATTAGGGACCGTTTTAGTCGCAACTTTGAGGCCTGACAATTCAGTTTCTTGTTTTATGACTGCAGGCAGGAGAGAAAAATTATTTTTTTTAAATTAACTTGATTATTTTGAGGTCAATTTCTATAAAACAACTCTTGAAGTAAACGTTGAACAAATTATCAAACAAAAAGTGGTTTAAAAAGTCATATTTGCATTCAAACATCTGAGGAAGCTCACCCCAAACTGTTACATCTATTCACTGATTAAAAATAGTTGATAAGATGCTAGCATTTGTCAAGAGAAAATAAGAGGGCTCTTAAGTTCTTTAAAAAATATATACACTTTAAGTTGTAGCAGGGTTTTATGCGTCCTGTGTTTTATACCACAAGCCAGACGGTTTTATGCGTCCCGTGTTAGGTTTTATACCACAAGCCAGACGGTTTTATGCGTCCCGTGTTAGGTTTTATACCACGAATCAGAGAGTTTTATGCGTCCCGCATTAGGTTTTATATCACAAGCTGGAGGGTTTTATGCGTCCCGCATTAGGTTTTATATCACGAGCTTGAGGCGAGTGGTATAAAACCAAGCGAGGGACCCATAAAACCCCATGTACCCGGAGTGATCCTGTTACGAGGAATTTATCTTACTGATATGTTTAAATGTGACATTGAAAAAGAATTAAAACAAATTCAAAATTGATAGAAAACAGCCATTGGATTGAGCTGGAGATCAACTTGTGCAATGTCACATGACTTTCATTGACTCAGAAAAAGCTTGTGTGTTTTTGCTTCGAAGCGGGGTATAAGGGATTTATTCTCCTGCTGAGAAATTTATTTCCCTCCCAAACAGGATACATAGTATTTTATCAAGATCATGTGTACCAATCAGATCTCATCATTCTGACATGGAGGTATGATAAATATATTTGTTTCACTTCCAAGCTCTCATCTTGGACATATGAAGAACATTTTTATCAGTTGTGCCTTCATCTCAAATAAGTGGGTGTTTCCATCATCGAGTGTTCACATATAATTTTGTGATGATAAATACTAGGGCTGTTAGATTCGCCCGCGTATTAGGTTAATCAAACCGCATACCTTCATGAATTGAATTCAAATATTTACCAAATAAAAAAATAAAAAAATTAAAGACTGCATCCATGAATATGCAGTCATGTGCATTTACATACCCTGTACCTAAAAATATCCATAAGAACTTATTATATGCATAGATTTCTTTAGAAAGACAACAATCTTATGGATTTAATTTGACAGTGATGTGGTCACTGGTCATTGTCGCATTTCAGTAGATACTAGTACCTGGATAAGTGCAGTAGATGAATGTCTAATTTAATAATAATTAACACTATCAACCAGGGGTCCGGAAACCGTCATATGCGCCGGACATGTCCGATTGGGAATCTCAAATGTCCGGTTTAAAATATTGCTTACCGGACATTTTAAAAAGTATTGTCCGGACATTCTTAAATTTTGACCGGACATGATCAACAGTTAGGACTGAGCAGTTTCTGTCTGCAGTTGCAACACAATTAAGATTATCTACACTGACAAGCTTTGTTTGTTTTGATTGCTGTAAATACATCGTACCTACATGATAGTCCAATCGGTCAATCACTGTAATAGGCAATAAACTGAGTTGACACTGATTAATTGAGGATTAATTACTGAGAACATCTTGTTAATTTGCGTAAAAGGTGTTTACAACTGTACATAAATACCTTGCATCATCGATGTACATCATTATCCTCACAATATTACGATACGTAACCTCAGACAAGAAGCGAAAACGTGACGACAGCCAGTCGACCGATGCAGATCAGTGGGCAGATCTGCCAAACCCCCAAAGTCTAGACGATCATTTTGTAAGTCGTGGCTAACAACTTTCACTTGGTTGACATACAATGAAGATTTGCAGATTTTATTGTTTTCAGTAGCTAGTCGTATATTGAATCTTGATTGACCGCCATTTTGCTTTCTCGGACGATCGATATCAATTTTTTTTATGGTCAATAATTAAGTACAAATGAAAAAAGTATTCAAATGACTATTGCTCTCAACGATATTTTAGTATTTGTGATTAAATTATCTGTCTTGTTTTTAAAAAATCTTTAGTTTAAAAAAAACTTTTCCCGTGAGGTCACGTGATAACCAAATATGGGATAATAGTCTCGATCCAAATGTTACAACGCGTACACTTGAGCAGACTCATGAATATAACTCATGAATATTAATTAGACCGTTTACTACGTTAACAGATCGTTATTATAACAGAAACAAACGTATGTTTTCCATGTATATCTAAAATGATATTATTTTCCGGTGAATTAAACAATTTAAATTGAAACAATTCATAATTCATCATGTTATGAATACGTAAACTTGTAATGTGTGTCAAAAGTCGTACTAAAATACGCTATTTGAAGGGGGCGTGGCCTAAATGCAAATGTCCGATTGGGATTTTAAATTTTCCGGACCCCTGCTGTCAACATGGTCAAACCATGTCAAATAATTTATTTTGTTATTGTTTCACTGAATATAATAAGTAACACATCAACTGCTGACTTGTTATTGTGTTCGTGAATAAATATTCATATTTATTACCCTATATTCGTGATATGTATCGTATTCGCCTCATAGTGTATTCGTTGCAGCCCTAAATAGTACCCTTTACCCATTCACTATCACAGCTGTCAAGTGACCATCTCTTGTATCATCAACTTAGCACAGAACTTCTCTTGTTCATGAGTGTAATTGATGGACGTTATTTTTAGCATTTGGTCATTAAAATCAGGCTCCAAGTGAAACTATGGAAGCGAATGGGTCCAGGGTATTATCATAACAGAATGGAGTGAGTGAGTGAGATTGGTTTTTAACAGTATTACAGTTATATAGCGGCGTGTCAGTTCAATGTGGGAGGAAAGCCCAAAGTGATGCAGATCTCGGACGTTTACCACTTCGGTGAAACCCACGAACACTAGTATGGTGCTGACAAACCTAGAAACATAATCGGGGTGAACCGGGATTCGAACCCACAATCATATGTTTCTGATGTGCCCAAGGGACGCAACTCCGCACAGAGGATCGCGGCGCCTTAGAAGACTGGGCCACCTGTGCCCCCATAACAGAATGGAATAACACTACACTTGATAATTGAGTATAGGTGGCTCCAATACAGAAAACAGTTTCAGTAAAATAATTCACAGTTCATATATTCATGCAACAGTTCTCCCTGAAATTATATAACCAAACCTAATGTGCAAATTTCAATTTTTAAATTTGAAAAAACATGTTTATAATTGTTTAAAAGCTTTACTACAAATTCCATCCAAAAACTGTCCTTCAATGGATACACATAGACATTAAAATATGAAGCTTTATAAAATAGTTTGTGATTTTAGTTCAGAAAAAGAGTAAAAAGGAGGACAAAAGGATTAAAGGATGTAACCATTAACTTGATATTCAAAAAAACATTTCTTCTTTCATTAGTTTTTTTCGTTTCTCCTGACCAAAATACTTTTAAAGAGACCTGTTCTTATTTCAACTTTTAAATCAACCATCAACCATATGTTTGGAAAAAGAAATCCATAGTGCAAGTAATAAAAAAAAGATGTAATTTATTTGTAAGTTATCGGGTCCTTATATTGAACTTCACCTGTTATCTTCCAAGTGGAAGAGCTGTTTACGTAATTCCTCTGCCACTTCACGCAAACCACGGACATACGGCGAGGCCTCTGCAAAGTTGCTGTACTTTGGATTGTTCCTCAACAGATACTGAGCTAGGAAGTTCAGAGGGTTGAAATTGGGATCCATTAATGCCACCTCTGACAACCCTCGCTTATCTGCCTCACACAGTAACTTCTCTACGCCCAGAATCAAAGTCGGAAAAACCTTGTCAACTAAATAAGCTCTCACTTCTACTGTGGCCTCGTTGTTTTGGAGCCATTCTTTGGCCAAAAGTTCTGTTGGTATTTTCCTTGCCAATTTTCTGGCATCTTCTTTGGCTGCTTGTAAATGTTCTTTTTTCTCGTTTCTTATCCCCACCAAACGTTTCATCATACTTTGTTCGTGTAGTCTTTTCCATCTTCTAACAGCACTGCGGACAATAGGTTTCATATAATCTGGAGTGGATGGTGTTTTCCTTGCACTTCCTGCACTTATAACTCTGAATGATCCTGCAGAACTTCTCTTCGATAACTGACCTGATGATACTCTAACCTCTGCCCTTGACCCAGCTGAAGGTGTCCTTGGCTCAGACAGGGTCACTCTTCCTGCACTTCCTGCACTCCCAACGCTCCCTACTGGAGTGGGACTACACGCTACTTCAGCCATCTTGACAGAGGCAAACTCTTATGTTGTGTTATATCTGGAATAAAAATAAACTACTTTTGAAAACATGTCACTGGAATCTTCATAAGTAACATCACAAATAAGATCAGCAAGCTTACTTTAAAAGTTTCCCCTAAACAAAAACAGTTCTTGTTTTGCCAGGGCAGAAAATATTTCGTACTTCATGTCCTTTTGTTCAGAGCAGTGTTTTTTATTTAATTTCAAATCTTTTTTACCAATTTTTAAGAGAAAATCTGAGAAATGTATGCTTCTTGGACATCAGAAATCTATCATCAGTTGTTGTTAACTTACTCACTTACCCACATGTACCGTATTTGACGTAATAAGCGCCCAGGGCACTCTCAAAATTAGAAATAGGGCTCTCTTATTAGAATATAATTTTGGTGAGAAAAAAACCCAGAGTTGAAAGATTGTAAATTTCGTTGTTTATGCGGACAGCCTGAAATGATACAAAATAAAAGTCGGTGCATATTATACACAACGGATATATTTTCCAGAATTTAATTGCCCATAATTAAGGGTGCATATAATGTATGCGTATTAGGAGGCCATACTTTTCACGTCCTGCTCATTTTGGGGGGCCTTTTTGCGCAAAAATGCCTCCTAACGGATTTCAGCATGCTAGCGCGTGCGCGCTTATATGTAAGCAAAGCTGTCTTTGGCAGCTTCCTTACAGGAAAAACCCGAAGTGGGGACCCAAATACTGCAGTTGACCCAATATAGAAATTGTGTCATGCCTAACATCAACTTCTCCAATAGATGGAGAACACTACCAATTTGAAAGTTGAAATGGACCACACCCCACAAGGATTTTATAATCAAAACATAAAATATGAAACACATAAGAGAAAAATAAGGTCCAACAAAAGAACAGCAATGTCCAGTGAATAGATTAATATCAGACTTGCAGCGACAAGGGCAATATTATTGTGTGAATTTCGTCTCCAACCGTTTACAGTCTAAAAAGATGTATTTCTGGACTATATAGATCTAACCTGTTTTCTAAATTATGTTGTTGACATTGACAACACTCAAAAAGTTTGCATTTTAGTTTGTCTTCACTTATTGATCAGCTCAGTAGCATTCAACAATTAAAAGCCAAAAGCCATACAAAACCCCTTTCATCGCAGCATCAGTGCATATACTTACAAGTATTATGTACACATTTCGACCGCTATCCATTAGTGAGCCACTGACACAGAGCACCGACCGCCATGTTTGTTGTCAACACGTTGCTAAGAGGAAGTAGTCTTCTACGCATGTGTGGAAATGGAACCGGAAAGCACCTGCGGAAGTGGGGTCAGAGTCTGCGCGGAATTACTTCCTTACTCGATAGGAGTGTGACTTGGTACGAATACTGTTGTGTCACATTTCTTAAACAAATGTGGAAGACACAAATACTTTTGAACTGTCGTATTTAATTGAATAAAGCCACCAATGGCTTTGGTGACAGTTCAACGATCTCCGAGCCCTAGCACCGATCCAGATTCGGTAAGTTTCATTTGCGATCTGTATGGGAGAACTGTCATCCAGATTCATTCAGTGCATTGTCAAACTTTCACACCTTCGGCTAGATTGTTTTTGTTTGCTTGTCAGTAAACACGTGGTAAATCATTACTATTAGCCGCCCTGGTGATGACATGCATGTCTCCAAAAGTAAATCTGCCACTTTGTTTTATTTAGCAAAGCCGCAATGTTTGTAAACAAGGGGCAGCTTATCAAATAGATCGACAGTCATTCTGATTAAAACACATCGAGCTCAAGGTATTGAATAGAACATAATAGTCATGGTAGATACCAGATTCAACATTTTGAATCACAGTACCTTTGTTAATTTTATGAATTGCTGTCTGCTATGAAAACCGTGTATCTAAACTTGTTCAGTTTATAGTCTCCAACAAAATATTGATCCGTAAATAATGTACAAATTGCTTGGCCAAAGGCGGTGTAGCTAGAGGGGGGATATTTGCCCCTCTTCCACAATAAATATGTTGAACTGTCGATACTGTATCGATACAAATTGATTTATATTTATTCCAAATCAATGTTTATATTGATTATGTTTGTTATTTATTATGATGAACAATGAGAAGAAAGAAAATTCCAATTTTGACATGTAAAGGCAATGGTCTAACTTTCCAACATCTGTATCTAAGTGATGTTATCCAATATATTCTGAGTCATGATGCCCCTTGTTGATAGTGCTGTCAACTCCAGGAACGTCACTCCTTATCAGTGTCAATTACTGGTCAAGTTCTGGGTTTTTGCTTCCATCCAGAAGAAAGTTTGATGAATATGTAAATGAATTACAACTTCAAAAGTCAAAGTTATATATATTCTTAATGGCATGTTTAATGCCCTATGTAAATTTCTATGTTTAACGTTGTTACTTTTAAAACCAAATATGTACTTCTCCCATAAAGTTCATTTATATTGATTATGTCTATATGTTGTGTTCTGTACTGACTATTTGGGAACAAATAAGATGCAAGAATATTTTTAGTTGTTGATGATCTTAATCTCTATACAACTCTCATTAGACCACAACTCTCCTACCAGTAACCAGTGCTAGGCTGGCGTTCTGAGTGGCAGTGTGTGAGGATGAGCTGAAGAGATGTTACTGACAACAGTCGTAAGAGGGGAGAAAGATAAACCATTTTCCGCAACCGTTCATGGTCTGCCTTTAATGGATCCGTCTAGTTCATTTTTAGCATTAAATTGCCGATTTGCATTGGTAATTTGAATACACAAATAGAATAATTAATCTTATTATTAATCGATATATATATATATATATTGTGATACTAAAATTTTCAATCGATCTGTTAACAAATGGATTGTGTAATACCTTCTTGTAAAAACAATCAATTACTAACAATCAATAACAAAACATTCAATCAACATGCCAAGCTTACCAACATGTAAAAACAATCAATTACCGTATTCGACGTAAGAAGCACCCTGGGCACTCTCAAAATTAGAAATAGGGGGCTAAAGAGTTGAAAGGTTGCATTTTTCGTAGTTTATGCTGACAGCCTGAAATGATACAAAAGAATTACGAATAAATAAGTCTTGTGTTCATTGATCAATCAGAAGGGGTGCTGATTTGGATTGTTCACTAGCCAATATATTAGCAAATATTGCCATGGTTGCATATTAGAGCGGGGCACTTATTACGTCGAATATGGTACTCCTCATAATTACTAGACAAACCAGCTTAGTAAACCTTGGTCTTCACTTGAAAGAATTGCAGCTTGCCATCTTGGTTCACATCTTCTTCTCCGTCAGTAGGCATTTTAAATACTTATATGTACAATTATAGGTTATAAAATGCAGATTTGTAGTAACTACAATATTCAATGTATGTCATAAAGCCTTTATGTAGTACTAAACCTTGCAAGAAACATTTCTTTGCCTACCTTATGTGTAATATAAGCATATTGGTTTAAAAAAATATATGTTTAAGCAAATACAGCACCATTATTTGTTTAGAGGCTGTAATCTGTGTTTCTGTAACTGAAATCATCAACTTATTCAAAACAATGGACTAAACCCATACGGCCTAACTCATTATCTTGGCTAACCCCATTGGGTTTGCGTTTAGGTTAATCATGGTAGTAAATATGCTACTAGTGATGTAAATGTCATAAATCTGTCAAGTTTATCAAGTGGTCATTGATCTAATGTAAGGGACTGAATGCCAATTTGAGCATTCAAGCGTAACAATGACTCATGCAAGTTTAGACCTAGATGATGCTTGGCTTGCTGCCATTAACCAAACAAAGAAATGCATTATGTTAATTGTGTTACAGTTACTGTACTTTTGTAGTAAACAAATGTAATTGTGTTGCCATTGTATAAAATGGACCGCAGTGTTTGAAATTTGAAAGTCAAGGGGTCCTTGTCATAGTCTGATGTTAACATATACAATTTGGGGGTCCTATTTTCAAATACTATGGGGGGTGGTGGGGTAGTCTAGTGGTTAAAGCATTCACTTGTCACGCTGAAGACCAGGGTTTGATTCCCCACGTGGGTATATGGGTTTCTGGTGTCCCACTGCCGGGATATTGCTGGAATATTGCTAAAAGCAGCATAAAACCATACTCACTTACTCAAATACTACAGCATCAGTACTAGTTTGACCTAATTATTTCTGAAACAGTGGAAAAAATCCAAAGAACTGCTCGTCCAAATCATTGAAAAAACAACGATTTGCAAAATAAAGCAAACAACATATACTAAAGAAGTATGTCACAGTCCCTGAACTATATCATTTTCCTATCTGCCCATCCCTTACTGTATTGCTATGACCCAAAATGAAGCGAGTCTAGATTTTCCACAGGTCTCAATCTCCCATCTCACAGAGGCTCCTTATCAATTTAAATGTAGCTGCTTGTTTCTATCAAAATTATATATTTTCAGATAATAAATTTTACTCTACTACCAGAGAAGCAATGAAGGAAATGCAAATATATGTTCATTTGGGCAAGTACCATATTCGACGTAATAAGCGCCCCACTCTAATAAGCGCCCACGGAGATATTTGCTAATATATTGGCGAGTGAACAATCACAATCAGCACTCTTCCGATTGATCAATGTACACAAGACTTATTTCTTCGTGTATAATACACACTCATGTGTTATATGCACCCTTAATTAAGGGCAATTAAATTCAGGAAAAATATATCTGTTGTGTATAATACACACAGTCTTTTCTTTTTGTATCATTTCAGGCTGTCAGCATAAAGCACAGAATTTGCGATCTTTCAATTTTTTTCACCAAAATTTTATGCTAATAAGACCCCTTATTTCTAATTTTGAGAGTGCCCTCGGCGCTTATTACGACAAATACGGTAAATGTTTCTTTAACATGCCCACATGGTTAATGATGCTCACATGGTTAATGATGCTTGTGTGCCAAATGCTAACGCTGTTAGATGTTCAGGCTTGTGACATGGATGATGAGACTTTCCACACCCCATACCTTGATTGTCATGATTTATGTATGAGAACAGTAACTATGATACAAGGGAGACCACCCACTGATCACAGTTGACCAATTCCATTTCCATCAAGTAGCACATTACTGTGTGGGGCTTGAGCCGAATGTGTGTTGTAATGAGTCATGCGACAAGCCCTTTCTGATAGATGTAAGTTGCTTACTAATTATTTATGGCGTATCTATATTTAATGATGAGAACATAATTATGGTCTTCACACTAACCATCCACGCTATCACCAAGGATGATCTTAGAAAAATTGTTTCTGATCATGGGATGTAGGGGGCCACGAGTGGCCCAGTCAGTTACGGTACTGTGCAGAGTTGCATCCCTTGGGCATGCCAGAAACCTATGATTGTGGGTTCGAATCCCGGTTCGCCCCGATTATGTTTCTAGGTTTGTCAGCACTAAACCTGTGCTCGTGGGTTTCACCGAAGTGGTAAACGTCTGAGACCTGCATCCATTTGGGCTTTCCTCCCACATTAAGCTTACATGCATTGATGTAACTGAAATTGTTCAAAACTGTGTTAAACCAAAGTCAGTAATTCACTCATTCAGTGTCGATTCAGTACTTGGCAACCCTGCAGAGATAATAAACAAATCACAGGGCAAGAGGAACAAACAGTTTCCAGTACTCCTGCTGATTGCTTATTGGCACTGACTGCTGGAGGCAATTAGCCAATCACTCGTACATTGCATCAGCTGTTGTATATTGACGTGTGTATATAGCAGTTTATGGCAGGCGTTGTGCAATAAGGTGTGGGCCTTGTTTTGTACATTACTGGATACAGAGTGTGGTATTTCTGTGACTTTCAGGAGTGAACTGTTATTGTGTGGTATTGCTGTGACTTTCAGGAGTGAACTGATATTGTGTGGTATTTCTGTGACTTTCAGGACTAAACTGATATTGTGTGGTATTTCTGTGACTCAGGACTGAACTGATATTGTGTGGTATTTCACTCTACTGGTATGTATCATGGTATTTTTGTACGGTATGTTTTGATGGTATCCACTGTACAGTGATTTTTTCCTGGAACAATGGCAATGGGACATTTTCATCATGCTATCGCTCTTTGGTTTTGTTTGTTGTCAGCAATATTCCAGCTAAATGACAGCAAACTGTAAACAATCGAGTATGGACCAGACAATCCAGTGATTGATATAATGAGCATCGATCCATGCATTTGGGATATGATGACATGCATCAACCAAGTCAGCAAGCCTGAGCACCCCATCTCATTAGTCGTGTCTTACGGCAAGCATGGGTTG